CCTTTGACCCTATTTCTTCCTCCTCCCTCTCAACCACAATCACCCGGATGAAGTTCACCACTTGCTACCTTGACACCCTCCCCACCCAGCTGCTGGTCACTCAATTCCCCCTTCTCTCCCCACTGCTGGCCGACACGGTCAACCAGTCTCTCTCCCCCTGAAAACCGCTGAATTCACACCAGTCCTCAAAAACCCACCTTCGATCCCTCTAATCTCCCACACTTCCGTCCCATCACCAACCTGCCCTTTCCTTGCCCTGGAACGCATTGTTGCAGGGTCCTTGAACATATTCAAGTCTGAGATAGATAGATTTCTTATTGCAAAAGGGATTAAGGGATATGGGGATAAGGCAGGGTTAGATTGGAGTTAGATTGGAAGATCAGCCATGATAGAATGGCGGGGCAGGCTCGAAGGGCCGAATGGCCTACTCCTGCTCCTACACATTATGTTATCAGCTTGTCTGGCAGACATCAGGCCTGGATAAGTGTAAACTTCCTGCAGCTGAATATGGACAAGACGGAAGCTAGACTCCTTGGCTCCCGTCAACGTCTTCACTCCTGCGGATTTGAACTCCTCAACCTCCCTGGGCTCTCCCTCAGACTCATCGATCAACTGCGCAACCTAGGCGTCTGGTTCGACCCCAACTGTCCTTCCTCCCCCACATCCAATCTCTGACCAGGACCACTTTTTTCCACCTCTGCCACATTGCCTGCTTCCGACCGTACCTTACCCCAAACATAGCTGAAACCCTTGTGCACATATTTGTCACCTCCCACCTGGATTACTCCAACGCACTCCTCACTGGTCTCCCCAGCTCCACCATTCACAAGATCAGTTCATTCAAAATTCTGCTGCCCACATACTGACCAGAACCAAGCTCCGTAACCACATCTCACCAGTTCTGGCCCAGGCTCCACTGGCTCCCCATCACCGAACGGATCAACTTCAAGATCCTACTCTCGTGTTCAAATCCATTCACTCCCTGGCCCCTCCCTCTCTCTCCGACCTTCTCACTCCCCAACCCACCAGCTGGTGCCTCTGCTCGACTGGCACAGGCCTCCTGCTCGTCCCTCGCATCCTCCGCCCCATCATTTGAAGCCGTGCTTTCAGCCATTGTGCCCCAAAACTCTGGAACACTCTCCCTCAATCCCCCTGCCTTGCCCCCTCTCTCCCCTCTTTCAAATCCCGCCTGAAACTGTTCCTCTATGACCGTGCTTACGACCACCTCCCCCCTCCCCCAGATCGGAGTCAGGCTCCGCCACTGTTAAGCACTCAGAGATGCTACCCTGCAAATTCTTGTTGTTGTTGTTGTACTGTTTGAAAAGAGGAGGAAGTTCTCCAATGGCCTGGTCAACGCTCCCCCAAAACTTTAGTGATTCACTTCATGGCTGTCTTTGGGACATTGCTGTGCTCAAATTAGCTGCTGTGTTTAAATACACTTCATAGTAAATCTTGTGAAACACTTTCAGTTCTTTAGATGACGTGAAAGGGAACTGTACCAAATGCAAGGATTATTATTATAATGATGAAGAAAATGAAAGGGGAAGTTTGTAACGAGTTTCTATCAAAAGAGGATCCCAGGGCGTGTTTTAGAGCAAAATCAATTGAGGGACATTTAAAAGAGAATTGGATAGGTACGTATAGAGGACGGTCTAATAAAAAGTTGAGGTGAAAGCGAAGGGAATTTGGATCAGGATGGATGCTTCATTGGACTAACAAATTTCAATGGTTTGAATGGCACCCTGCTGTCCTGTAGATTTCTATGCTTCTATATTGTTATTGTACCTCTAGTTTCTTCTTCCCTTTGATGTGATGAGCCATTAGAAAGAACGTTGTCCTATTTCCTGAGAATCTCTAATTTTCAAACAAATGTTGTCCTCTTTTAATGTCTATATGATCTTAACTTTAATAACTACTCTTTAGAAATTCGACTTGGGTCAAGATGTATTCTACTCTATTTCTTAACTTTTCAGAGGCCCAGAATTTAGCAAGTTCCTAAGTTCTTAACTTTGAAGCAAAGTTTCTTTGGATTTCAAAAGAACACATAGAAAAACGGCTTCAATATTAAGAATGCATTCAAGAGTTTGTCAAATTCTGATGTTCCAGCAGAGCTAAGTAAATAGTGAAAATACAGATCCATGTGAAATTTCTGCCTCTCTCAGTTCTAATAATACCCTCTGCCTGAAAAGAAAGTCCTACCCACTTTTCCTTAATTCTTCCTGTGCTTATCCTATACAGTCAATTCACTTTACAGTATATTCTGCGAAGCACATTGAGATATCTCGAAGACGAGATAAGGGGCTATATTAAATTCAAGGATTATTATTATTTACCAATTCAGTAGTTTTCACTATTTATCCTATCAGAATCTATTACAATTTTTGCTGACCTCACACCACTAGATCCACTCCTAACCATCTTTATTCCAGAATAAATGTTTAGAGTCTCTGTTAGCTGTAACTCCGCATTCCTGGTAATATGTGTGAACTTGCTGTCCGTTCTCCATGACTGTCATGTCCATTCTATAATGGGACATGCAGAACTGTCATGTATGACATTGGTTCAGGCCACATGAACATTGCAGCAGTAGCCTAAAGCAATGCCTTACACGGTTCCAACACTACTTCTCTCTCTTGGGTTGAAAATGTACTCCTCTGGAAAGCTTCTTGTGGTGTGAACCCCAACAAAGGAACGCCATTTACATCATGCTGACTTGCAAAATACAGCCATGAGGAGGTCTTGGGTGAGAGCTGAGGTCTTTCAAGTCAGTGTGACTTTTACGAAGCTTCCTGCTGGAGACACAGAAAATGACTTCTGAAGCCTATCTTCACAACTATAACCTATGACTTGTATTGTGGTTCTCTTTATGCTGACTGGCATTTTTATCTCTCTAAGCATGTGGCAATGTGGCAGAACTGACCAGTGATTGCACCCTGATACAGTACTGGCTGGGATTTTATAGACCCCGAAGTAGGACTCCAATGTAGATGTTAACTTGGCTTAGTCAGTAATCCTCCTATGCGTGCATTCAAGTTGCATGTTAGCCCTTGAGCTCATAATCAGGCTGACTTTCTAGCACAATACTGGGGAATACTGCATTGTTTTGCCCATAAAATATTCAATCAATTCATTTTACCGTATATCCTGTTAATGCTTTGAGACGTCTCAAAGACGTGATAAGGCGCTATATCAAATGCAAGGATTATCATTATTGTTGGAGGTGATTCTTTGGATGAGATGTCGCCATGTGCAAAATAGCTGCAGTGTTTCCCTACAAAAAGCAGCCATTGCACTTGACTACGCGTTGAGAATCTTTCAAAGTGATTACACGCTTTACGAATGAAGACCTATTCTGTTGGGCTTGTGTCCTGGTTCTGAGTATGTCCTGTACTGAACCCAATGTATCAGAGTAGACACTCTGTGAGCCCTGACATCTCCAGCACAGACAGTCATGACATTAGGACCTTACAATTACAGGCTCCCTTTGCTCCAACTATTTTTATCATGTTCAGGAGTGTGTTGTTTTCCTGGTACAGAGATTAAATGCCTCTTCAGACTTAATCTGCCACATGGAATCATTTTCCAACAGTTGAAATCCCGGATGACAACCACAAGCTTTTGGGAAGAATGGAATTTCTACCACAAAAATCAAACTGACACTTTCATTATTCCCGCATATCCTGACTTGATGTGAGGAATCGCGGTGATCACGGAATTATTACTAGGGTTTAATGAGAGGCTTTTCTCTGACTGACTAATTAATGACATGCTGGTCGGAGCTCTGTGTGGAGCAGCAGCAGGGAAGTTGCTAATTAACTAACGTGTGCAGTGCCATGGGCTTGAATTGGTAGCCCTACCAACACACGATAACCAGGGAAACGCTCAGTGCAAGCGCCAACTCGGCCATTCATGGAAGCAAATGCAATCATCAAAACTGGGAATGCCCCACTCACTGGGAGTGACACACACACACACACACACACTGGGATTGACACACATAAACATTGGGATTGACACACACACACACTGGGATGACATACACGCACACACTCAGGGAGTGACACATACACAAATACACTGGGAGTGAGACACACACATTGGGGTGACACACACACACACACACACTGGGAGTGATACACACACACTGGGAGTGACCCCCACACACACATACACGCTGGAAGTGACACACACACTGGGAGTGAGACAGAAACATTGGGAGTGACACACACGCACGCACACACTGGGAGTGACACATACACACTGGGAGTAACACAAACTGGGAGTGACACTGGGAGATTTATCTTAAACCTCTGTGATTGTGAAGTCCTGTAGTTCAGTGGTTAGAGCACTCAACTCGAGAGACCTGGGTTTGATTCCCAGCAGGGCGAAACCTTGGGCAAGTCTTGCTCCTTGCTCCACACACCTGATAATAATCCCTCAAGAAAGAAAACAACAATTTGGTCGCTTCAATCCACAACGGTTTATGAGACACAGCTGTGCGCAATTGGCTGCCACGTTTTGCCCACACCTTAATTCACTTTACAGTCTATTTTGTAAAACGCTTTGAGAAGATGTGAAAAACGCTATATCAAACGCAAGGTTTTTTTTATTGTTATTACTTGTAGAAACGCTGTGCCTGCAGCACTGGTCCCAGGAACAGCCCTGATGTTGTAATTTCAAATCTCACACTAGTGCAAGAGTTACCGGTGCTTATCAGCACATTCACACATTGTCTTTCATGTACAAGGAATGCCTCAAAACACTTCACAGAATTACATTAATTAGAAATGAAGTGAACGCTGTTAGGATGACAAACACGGCAGCTAGGGTGTGCCAGCGACATCTCACAAACCCTCGTTGCTCTCAGATGAATATGGTTTGAATGCTCTTAGTGCTCATTCTATGACCTCTCTGGCTACCAGTCTGGCTGCACTGTGTGTGTGTGCGTGAGTGTGTCTGACTTGTCTGCATTACTCACGATGAACTATCTCCTATTGCAGGGTCAAAGGGGACTGTCCGGGCCACCTGGAACGGCTGTAAGTACAACAACAACTTGCACTTATGTAGCACCCCTCATGCAAGGCAGCATCTCAGAACGCTTACAAACCTGGGGAAGGGAAATGATGATCTATCCACTCACCAGCTAGGGCAGTCTCAGATATATAATTTGATTTTACATTTTTAATGCAGTATTATGAACAACGTACAATTGCGTCAACTATTTCTAAGCACCCACGCACAAACATTTAATCAATAGAGCAGAAGAGGGTTTGCCACGGTGCCTTTATTACCTGGGGTGCATGAAGCAGAATAAACGGCTCACCCCACTCTACCCCTTCCGTTGTGCTGTTTACACATTTGTGAAGTCTGAAATTCCACCTTGTCTTATCCTGTTTTGTTCAAAAGGTTAAAATTGCGTGGAGTTAGAATTTGGGAGCTAGTCCTTTGGAGAAAGACCGTTTTATAAAATATGACTAAAATTAAAAATTTCCCACAATTTCCTAAATTTCAAGATGAAATTGTCTTAATAGTTAAGGCTGATTTGAATTCCATGTCACTGGTCCCTAGTATTTTCAATGTTAAATACATGGCAATTAATTAATTCCCATCAGAAAACAGCCTGAACTAACTTATTAACTGTTCCTTTTGTCCTTGATTACTTTAGGGGCTTGGATTCCCAGGACCTTCTGTAAGTTCAGCAACTTTATTCTGTAGAGATTGTAATTGATGTCGGCCTGCACATTTATGGGTGTTGAGTTTGCCTTTTTTCCAGTCCTGGCAGTCACACTGCCAGGAGAGGGGATGGGTGCTGGGGAAAGGGCGGACATTGGTGGGGTGGGCATAGTTGGAGAGATTGGTGGGAGCAAGTGGGTTGGAAGGATCGTGAACACCAACAAATTGCACTTATATATCACATTCTATGTCAGGAGGGCATCTCAAGATGACGAAGAAGAGGTTCTTGGGTTTGTGAGCGGAGGGGTAGGGTGGTAAGGAGAGTGATGGGGATAGTGAGAGAGATGTAGGTCTGTCTGGGGAAGGGGACGAGGCCAATGGGTTGGAGGAAGGATATATGGTTCTGGAGTCTCCCAAACCTCAATGATGTTTATATTTCTGTAAACATTGAGCTCCTAACAACAGCCACACTGTTAAGGGATGGGGGGAGGGTGGGAGGTTCTTCCCTGAAATGAAGAGAAATATGAGCTTGTGACACAGGTCTGGATGTGCGCAGTGGTTGGTTACAGAGAGTGTTGTTAGCAGCTCACCCCAAACCCCTCAGCCAGGACGAAACAAAACCAAAGAGAGAGGGGAACAAATTCAACCATGCAGAAAGAGCACGGATTATGTGGTTGAAAAAATTATAACGGGTGCTGTGTAAATTATCATTGCTGATAATTATCACAGTGTTGATCAGTGTGACCAATCAATAACAAACCCCCACCCACCCAACCTACTGGATTCAATCAACGATTGAGCCTGATGCCAGCCCACCTGCCATTGACTAGATACAGTGATGGGGGGACGGTAGGGTGGGTGATCTGGGGGGCTGATGGATCGAAGGGCTTTCTTCATCCAAGATGAATCTTGTGATCTTATGACAACAATTTTGTGTTGCGTTAAGATTCTCAGGGAAGTCCAATGTGATCCAATGGGAGTGTGCCCTTACTTTGGAGCTAAGTATAAAGTCTGTAATTGTCTCATTGCCCCCCTTTTATCAACAGTGAGATTATTTTGGCTGATTCTCACATGTCGTAATGTTCATCCCATTATTACATTATAAACCAGTTGCTTTTTTTTCAGGGTCCTTCTGGACGAGTTGGTCTTCCAGGAGAAATCGGACGTCCTGGTCCCAAAGTAAGTGACATTTAGAGGCTAAGGAATTCACTACTGATTTTGTTTCATTGTAGACATTAAAGTCATTTCTTTTATTTGGAAAGTAAAAATACACAGGAGACGTGACTTCAGAGTACAGTGGCACTGATGCCCAGCCAGCTCTGATGTGTCCTTGTGTCTGTTCTGGGATTTTAGTCACTCTCGATAATGGACCTGGCTGTAGTGAGAGGAACATCAAAATCCACAGATTATACCAAATTAGGGACTTGGCAAACTAGGGAGCAGAATGTCAGGGAGTTTGGAGGAGACAAATAGACTTGTGGGGCAAATAGGTGGGAAATACAGTTCAACATAGATTATTATGCAGCAGAACATTTTGGGGGAAATTAGCAGAACACATACTGAATAGGGACATTCTTGGAGGAACCGAATCAACTAGAGTTAGTCTGAGGAGGTGCCATCCCAATTTGACATGTATTGTACCTAGATTTCCAAATTATCACTGGTTGGCGCAGTGCTTTTCAATATAACTGAGGCAACTAGTGATGCAGATACAGAGATTTGTAAAATGGATTGTGAAAAAGCCAAATGAGAGTAGCTCAATGCCAATTCCAGGCAGAGGGCGAAACCTTGGGCAAGTTTCCTTACTCCACACAGAGCCTAATAATAATCCCTCCAAAACCAAAAACAATAATAAATTGGTCATTTTCAATCTACGACTGTTTGTGGGACATTGCTGTGCGCAATTGGCTGCCGCGTTCGCCCACAAATATACAGTCAATTCACTTTACAGTGTGTTCTGTGAAGCGCTTTGGGACGTCCTCCCGATTTGACCATGACATATATAATGCAGTGCACCTAGATTTCCAAAGGTCATCGGTAAGGTATCACACAAGAGACAAACTCATATCAGTGATTATCAATGTAAGAAATGGACACGGATTAGTAACTGACTAAAGGGAAGGAGGCAAAAGGTAGAGATTAAAGGAATTAGGTTGAAATGGGACGAGGTATTAATTGGGTGTTGGGCCCCCTCTTATTCTTTATATACATAAATAACCTGAATTCACAAACGTAAGCAATTTAGGTAACGTGCAAACCAAGATATTACAAAGGGAGCTCAATAGCAGTTGGTTGGATCTCTGGGAAATTAAGTTCAATACAGATTGATGCAAGATGCTACACATAGGAAGTAAAAATAGGAGGCACATGTACTCCATGAAAGATATAGAACTTGTTAAAGGGGAAGTCAAAAGAGGTCTAGGGCTCTTGGTACAGATTTCATTCACCATGTGAACAGCGTGAGGTAGCAGTGAGTAAAGCAAACCGGATGCTGGGCTGCATTACCAAATCCCTGGCGAATGGTGATTTAATGCACTTAATTCTGTGACTGACTCAGGGATCCTGGTAGTAAAGACTAGGCAGGTTTGGCTTCTGCCAGCCTGTGTGTGTGCTCTCTGGAGCAGGCAGACAGTGCATGACAAAAGAGGAGTATTGACTCACTCCATCCGAGAAAAGAGCACACTGCTTCTGTCAAGCGCTATATCAAATGCAAGGATTATTAATATTAGAATTTGTGATTTCTTTTAAGAAATTATTGCGTTAGTTACGACTAATTTATAACTAATTTTTCCAACTAAGTTTTTGGTCAAGGCAGACATGGAGACATGGTTTGCCTCGCAGATCGATGCTGGGAAAGTAATATTTACCCAAATTAAAGAACTAGGAGCCCGACATAGAAACTAAACTTTATATTAAAAAAAAACTTGTCTCAGTGTAAAAAAAATGGAGGCGAAAAGAACTGAAAAAGAATAAGCCACTTATGAGGAGAGGGGTGCCAGTGGTAGCTATTAAACATTCCTTATTCAGCACAAAGCACAAGGAAAGTCCTAAAACAACTTCAAATTTCACCCCTATATTTAAATAAAATTTAAATACATTTGACTTTAAAAAGGCGATTGAGCGAGCTGAAGGAAAGCAATTACAGGAGGTGGCACGTACTTACCTCGTGGTGTTTAGCAACCTTCCCTTGATTAGCACAAGCAATGCAACAAAAATCATTCATTTACTCTGTTCTCTGAACTTCACACTTTGCTCTACCCTCCCATCACTGCTGCACCCATCCTCGTTTTCTAACTGAACGCAGAGACTTTTTTTGTACAGCGGGAGACACGTTAAGATGTTGTTAAATTGACCTTTGCTCATTTGTTTGCTTTTAGGGTGCGGCGGGTCAAAGGGGCCCAGTCGGACCGCCAGGACCATCCGGGATTCAAGTAAGGAATTCTGCTCAAACATCTGAATCCAACTTTCAGCCTCTTAGAGGGTGAACTTTTCACTTTTCATCACAGATTCGACAGCTGTTGAATGTCTCATTCGAGCTCTTGTCACATGTCGCTTTTTCCTATTCATTCCTGTAGACTGAACCCCTTTCTCCGAGCTTTGGGCATGTTGTTTTGGGCACAAGGATTTCTGTTGTTTTCTGACAATGAAGGGCAATGTTTCAGTGCAACCGCAGTTTAACCCACGACCATAGACATTTACAGAATAGAAGGAGGTCATTTGGCCCTTCAAGTCTCTACTTTCAATCCCACTATGGAAAGGTTAGAAGCAATGGGGAAGTTAGGAGGAATTTTTTTTGCCCATAGAGTAGTTAGGATATGGAATGCACTGCTGGGACTGGTGGTTGAAGCAGAATCCATATTTACCTTCAAAAGGGAATTAGATATAAATATCTAAAATGAAGTAAGCTGCAGGGGTTCAGCAAAAGGGCAAGTAAATGGGACTGAAAGGATTGCTCTTAAAAGAGCAGCGCAGACACGATTAGCCAAATGGCTTTGTCCGGTACTGTAAATTTCTGTGGCTCTATTCCCATGCCTCCAACCTTCATATATCCATCTGCTTCCTTCTTGAAACCCACATGGAGCTCCGGATAGAGTTGGTTGATATTGTGTAGATGGAGAAGCTATTGGAACCCTCCTGTTCCTTGAAACAGACCCATTAAAGCCAGTTACATTTGCAGGTGGCACCAAGCTGGAATTATCAATTTGAGGAGGCAGCAAATATCTTACAAAGAGGATATGGGGCATCATTGGGAAATTAAGTTTAATACAAATAATTACAAGATATTAATAGCAGGCAATTATACTGTATGGTCAGGCTAGAATTCGTAATAATAATCTTTATCATTTGATAAAGCGCCTTATCCCGTCTTCGAGACGTCTCAAAGCACTTAGAGAAAATACTGTAAAGTGAATTGACTATATATTTTGTGGGCGAAACGCGGCAGCCAATCGCGCACAGCAGTGTCTCACAAACAGCCTGGGCGCACGTTATAGTTTTACATCAGATGCAGGTTACGTAACTTACGAGCAGTGTTTAGTGAAATAGACTACAGCGAGTCACATGGTAGTGGGTTTTGATGTGTTTCTTTCTCTCTTGTGTCCTGCCATGCCGACCCCTTTGTAACTCGGTCGCTGGATTCAATATCTCAGAAACCCCGTTACAACAAAGTGTGAAGAAATGGCCTGCAACGAGAACTTTTATTTTTCTATGAGACTGAATAAACTCAGTTGATGAATAAAGAAAATAAACTCAAACTCCAGGTGAACAATAATAATAATCCTTGCATTTGATATAGCGCTTTTCACGTCGGGAGGACGTCCCAAAGCGCTTCACAGAACACTCTGTAAAGTGAATTGACTGTATATTTGTGGGCGAATGCGGCAGCCAATTGTGCACAGCAATGTCCCACAAACAGTCGTAGATTGAAAATGACCAATTTATTATTGGTTTTGGTTTTGGAGAGATTATTATTAGGCTCTGTGTGGAGTAAGGAAACTTGCCCAAGGTTTCGCCCTCTGCCTGGAATTGAACTCAGGTCTCTCACTTGCAAAGCGAGTGCTCTAACCCTGAGCTACAGGACTGCACAATGTCAGGTCACAGGACTTTGGCGAGGTGCCCTGCACTAATACTGCATAATAAATGGTGCCAGTTTAACCCTGTGGGGCTCACCACAAACATGTGTTGTTAATATGCACACATCACATAGCCAGCCACAGCTCCTCCACAGTGAACACCGAGCAGTGTAATGCCTGTATAGTAAATACCTGGCTGGGTAGAGTACTTATTCTGATGTTGTTGGTGTTTGTAGGGTAATTCAGGCAATGTCCATGCTGGAGAGGGGAGTGCGGATCTGGTAAGATTCTTTTCTTTGATCACTAAATCTCAGCGTTTGAGACAAACCTCTGCATCGAGGGCACTATGCAAATGCAAGTTGTTGTTGTTGAATGTTATCTTATTACGCACAGTGAAGTACTTTGTCACCTGTACTTTGGTGTCTGAATGAACAGAAGCATTCAGTACATAATGAAAGATAATCCAGAGAGGGAATCTCATTTAATTTCTCGACTTGTAGTGTGCATTGGACAATGTTAATAATAATATAATCATCCTTAAATTTGGTACAGCGGCTTTCACGTCAGCAGGAGGTTTGAAAGCGCTTCCCAGGATTTCACTGTGAAGTACAGAGACTGTTATGTGGTCTTTTTTTGTGCTGAGGGCAAAAGAGGGATCTAGAGCCTCAGTGTGATCCCTGGACTGTGCTGAGTTGTTTGATCACAGCTTCGGGTAGCGGCTGAGGCTACAGTCAGCTTGGATTCAACACTGATTGTGGCTCCTGATCACTGTTCAGTAACCCCTGCCCTTGCTATAACGTGGGTTGGGAATTAATTGGATTCCAAACACAGGGTTATAATGAGGCTGCACTGGAACTGGGATACAAAGGAATGGAGGGTTGAGAAGTTGATGCTCTTGTATTTTATGTCCAGAAGCAGATTGCCTCCAATTCTGTGCTATGCTCTTTTGCAGTGCCCGACCTCATGCCCTCCTGGACTTAAAGGCCCCCAAGGACTTCAAGGCTTAAAGGTGAGTGTGTTTGTCTTGACTTATTCAGCCTGTATTTCACCTAACGTCAACAATTTAATCCAACTTAATTGTTTTTAAACTGGAACTAAAGTGCTGGAAACAATAGCAAAGTTTGAATCACATACCTTGACACAACGAGGAGCCATTGTTGTGGCGGAAATGGAAAAGAAAACAACAGATTTTTATATTTTTGTTCACAGGGACACAAGGGCCGATTAGGACCATCTGGAGAGTCAGGGAGACAGGGTACTATGGTGAGTATCTTGTTAGTTATACTAGATGCCTAACAATAATAATAATAATAATAATAACATAACAGGTTATATACATGTTATAACCTGTTAGAATAAATAATAGCACTTAATGCAAAACAATGGAATGCATGATTTTATACAGGCCAACACAGCATCAAACCAACGACAACCCGTAATGAGATGAGAAGCTAAATACCTAAATCGAAAGGATTGCTGTTCCAGCCCAAATGCTCTGTGGAATTGTGTGCTGGGGAGTCGAATCTGGAACTCTCTCCCCCAAAAGGCTGTAGATGCTGGAACCATTCAAATTTTCAATTTTGTTGTCTAGGACACTGGATGAAATTCCCTTCTCTTTTTGAAAAGTGCCATGGGATCTTTGATGTCCACGTGAACAGGCAGACTGGACTTTGGTTCAATGTCTCATCTGAAGGATAAGAAGAATTAGAGGATAAGAGGAGGAGAAATGGGATTAAAAGATTTATTATAACCTAATCAAGTACAATAAATAATGCCTCCTTTTAATCCTCTGATAGTGAGGAACTGAAGGCTGGACTAAGTTTGGATTATGGATAGGCCATTTGTCACTGACATAATTCAATTCCAGACAGGGCGAAACCTTGGGCAAGTTTCCTTACTCCACACGCCTAATAATAATCCCTCCAAAACAAAAACAATAATAAATTGGTCATTTTCAATCTACGACTGTTTGTGGGACATTGCTGTGCGCAATTGGCTGCCGCGTTCGCCCACAAATATACAGTCAATTCACTTTACAGTCTATTCTGTGAAGCGCTTTGGGACGTCCTCCCGACGTGAAAAGCGCTATATCAAATGCAAGGATTATTATTATTATTATTATTATAATTTCACTCTTTGATGGGAAAAGCGTTGGTCATTAATGAAGTTTTATATAAATGTAAATTTGCATTGTATTTCGAATTCAAGATCCTCATCCTCACCTACAAGGCCATTCACGGCCTCGCTCCCTCCTACCTCTCCGACCTACTATCCCCCTACCTACCCGCCCGTACCCTCCCTTCCTCTGGCTCCGGTCTGCTCCACATCCCCCGCCCCAACCGCCCGGGCCTTCAGCCCCGAGGCTCTGGAACTCTATCCCCCAGTGCCTTCGCCGCTTCCTCCCTTTCCTCCTTCAAGACCGGTCTCAAGACCTTTCTCTTTGACCGTGCCTTCAGCTCCCCTCTCGACTCTCTAGCCCCTCCTCGCTCCCTCCCTTCCCTCCCCTCACCCTGACCATTCCCCCCCTGCTCGGGTCCTGACCCAACTGTACAGCTCCTTGGGACGTCCTCCCGACGTGAAAGGCGCTCTATAAATGGAATCTTGTTGTTGTTGTTGTTGTATTTGTGTTTTAATGTTGTTTTCCTCTCTCTCTCTTTTCTAGGGTGTTAAAGGTCAAATCGGCATCTCCGGAGAACAAGGCATCCCAGGCGCTCGAGTAAAGTATTTGTACTCATTCCTTCCCCATGTGACACACTGAGTGAATGAGAGACACACCACTACCTCAGACAGGTGCAGGTTAGACTGTGACAGGAGGGGTTAGTAGACTGGGACTCGAACAAAGTTGTGCATACAGGAAACAGAAAGAGAGAGGGGAGAAATAGCTGATGATTCTAGGAGAGCTGGTGTCTTAGATGATTAGATATTTCAATACAACAAATGTTGTCTTGGGCCGGCTGGCTGGTGGGGGTGGGTATAGGGGGCAGGTTGAAGCCAAAAGCACTTGAGGGTTTAGCAGAGATGTGGGGGATTATCCTGGACAGTGGATTATATAATAATTATAATTAATATTCGAGGAACGGGGAGAAGATAATTAGAAGAGTCCCTGGGGTGATTGAATATGATATGATGGGAAGTGGTGCGTATAGGCTGTGAATGCTTTGGTAGGACAGACTGAATGGTATTTTCTTGTTCCTGAGCTTTCACAGTAAAGAAGAAACCAAGACTTAGCAAAATGTATGTGTTTAATGCTCACCTATCTGACGGCGTGTTTTCTCTATATGTAGGGCCCCCAAGGGCTTCAAGGATACCCTGGGATGATGGGTCCAAAGGGGAAACAAGTGAGTAGTGTTTAACTTTATTTTCTTTCAACTTAAATTGCTGACAGGGATGATTACAAATTGCAGCACCACAAACGGGAGTGGAATTCAGACAGGTGAAGTCAAATGTCACCTGAACACACACCAGTTTTGGGCATTCAGGTTCTGATGTAGAAGTGTCCAAATTATTTATTTCATCGACAAGGTTAAATCTGTAATGGAACCCTCCCACCTCCACCCATTTCTGAATAGTGGTAGCAGGCTGAAAAGTCAGAACATGAACATGGCGGGATGTGTAACTGGAGAGATACAACAACAGCAACAATAACAACAAGATTCCATTTATAAAGCGCCTTTCACGTCAGGAAGACATCCCAAGGCGCTGGACAGTCAGGGATTTGGACGCGAGCTGGGGTTGGGATCTGGCAGGGTGGCCAAAGGCGCCTGTCAATGAGGAGGGTGCTGAGACGTGCGTTGCCTTAAATAATAAAAATAATAATCCTTGCATCTGATCCAAAGCTATAACATCAATGTCTCAAAGTGCCTCAAAGGGAATTACGGTCCTCTGAGTTACAGCGTTCCGAGACGCTATGCCCCATGAAAGTCATTATATCAATGCAATCTGTTGCTGTTGTTGCAAGGAGAGGAATCTAAAGATGCGAAACATGGGCAAAATAAAGGTTCAGAGCAAATCTTATTTAAGAATCACTAGACCCCAAATAGTATCGATAAACCATACCCTAATGTTATTTAATGGTCTTGGTGTCCTGGGCAATAATCCTCCAAATAGACTTGGTAATTAATTTCACAGCTATTTGTGGACATTGCTGTGCCAAATTGTTTCCCTAGTTTCCCTATAAAAGTGCATGGCCACTACGCCTTATAGTACCGTATATCCTGTGAAGTGCTCTGAGATGCCTTGATGATGTGATAAGGAACTATATCACATACATTTATTACAGTTATAAAAGGGTTCACAGATTCAAGCTCAGAAGAGGGAAGTTGAACAGAGCTTAAATTCAAATAATTTACAAAGAGAGTGATGAATGTCTGGAAAGAAGGACCCAGCGATAACATCAAGCGCTCAAGGATCAGTTAGAGGGCACTTACACACAGAGAAAAAGTTGTCTTTGCAGTACTCCAGTAACAAAACTCAATGCAACCCTAGAAGAATGCCCCAATAGTGATTTATTTTATTTCTTGCAAATCTACCTCTGGCCGTGATTGTCAACAACAAACAAAAATGACATTTGTATAGAGCCTTTCACGTCGGGAGGACGTCCCAAGGCGCTGGTCAATTTAGCGATGGATTGTTCTGCGCTGTGAGCCCACTGGGTTGAGACTGACCCAACTTCCTTTCCCACAAAGTGCTTACGGCAAGAGAAAAGAAACCTTGAACCAGTCAAAGGGTGGGTTCTGATGCCAGTCCCTCGAGGCAATTCCATTTTGTTTTCCCATTTTTAATGTTTTTGTTTCTTCCTTCCATTCTCTAATAATAATAATCCTTGCATTTGATACAACACTTTTCAAGTCAGGCGAAACATCTCAAAGCACTCGGCAGGATTCACTATAACGTACAGTGATTATATGCTTTGTAAGCAATTCTCTTCTTTCTCTCTTTCCTTTATACCTCTATTCGTTGTCTGTGGGACATTGCTGGTCCAGATTGGCGCAATGTTTGGCTACGTAACCATATTGTATATTATATAAGAGTTTACTTCAGGGAAACCCTGCTATAAGGTGCTAGTAAAACCCCAATCTCACCAGAGCTATGATGGCTGCAATACACAGGAAGTGACAGAGGACCTGTTGACCCAAAAGGAAACAGGATGCCAACCAGTGTTATTTGGGGAGCCTTATAACTGGGGTCCACTGTATTTATAGATCCCATTCTTTGATTGGTATTACTTTAGATTACATCTGCCTTGTGATTGAAAAGATATATGGAGTGTTTCTTCCAGTTATCTTGGTTTATACTACCTTCCACATGCAACACCAACAACAACTTGCATTTATATAGCGCCCCTCGTGCAGGGTAGCGTCGCAGAGCACTTGGCATCCAAATTTATTTTCCAAATCAAATACATTGGTTGCTCATCACATTATTGCTTGTGGGTTATTGTCGCTGGTGCAGATTAGCTGCCATGTTTGCCTCCATAACAACATTTATTCATTCGTATCTGATCAATTAGATTTTGGAAAAGTACTTCAAGATATTTATTTTACATGAAAGGTGTGACATAAGTACAAATTATTATGAATAATAATGGTGGTCAGTGGTCAGCGTAAGACATTTTGTAATACCCTCACTTCTGGGGCAGAAAGTTGTGAGTTTAAGACCCACTTTGGATATTTTCAGCTCATATTTAAGGTTGCAGTGAAGTATTGAGGGAGTATTGTATTGTTGGAGATGGTGCTCCTCAGATGAGATATTAAACCAAAGTCCCATCTGTCCACTTAGGTGAACATGTGACATTAGTGGTGAAGAAAAGGAAGTTTCTTCTTGTGTCCTGGCCAGTAATCCTCTAGATAATGACTGTTTATTAGACCTAGCTGCGCACAAATGCGCTGCCACGTTTAGCTACAAAAAAAACAGTCACTAGATCTGACAGCAATTGCTCGTGAAGTGCTTTGAGACCTTTTGATGGAATGACCACTGTATCAAATGCAAGGATGATTTGACTTGAGGAGTGCATCAGTGCTTCATTGTGTTATTTATTTACCCGCAGGGTCCCTCTGGCTATAAGGGGACGATCGGTCCAGTAGGTCCGAGAGGACTTCAGGTCAGTACATAGCTCTGTTCTTAGTGTGTACACATGTAAGCCTGTCCCTGGATCCATGTTCCTCTGGAAAGACTACCAGAAGAGGAGCAAGAAGAGGCAGCATTTGATCAGTAAATCCCAAACTCCTTTTCATCAACAATTAAAGGTTTACCAAAGGCATTTTGCAAATACAGCCACTAGCTGCATCTACTCTGCAGTCTTTATTCACTAGTTACCTCCTCACAGATACCAGTAGATCCATGAGATATGACCTCTGAAATGGTATCTAAAAATGAGTAATTTCTATGGGTTTGGAGATTGGGAGTGATAGAGCCAGCACGGATGCAATGGGCCAAATGGCCTTCTTCTGTGCTGGCGATTCCAAATGGTTTGAAGGACCAATTGCTTCTTAAAGTTCCCAGATTATTGAAGAATTCTATTAGACACTATATGAGATCTAAAATCTTAGAATCATACAGAACAGGAGGAGCCCATTTAGTCCCACCTGCCTGCTCCTTCACAGACACTTTTATACTTTAGTTTTTGTTCTCAAATATTTAGAAAATGCTAATTTTACAAGTTATTATAGATTTTATTTCAACCATCGGTTTTGTTCAGGCATTCCATATCCTAACACATGTATTTGTGTGTGTGTGTGTATATGTGAAAAAAGTCTCACCTCTGCCTTTGATTTTTTGGTGCAGATCTTAAATCGACCCATTCCAGTTACTTACTCTCCAGCCAATTAAGTTAAAGTAGACATAATCATAATCGTGCCTGTTGTGTGGAGGGCACTGCTGTAATGAGGGGGTGGTTCAATGACGACAGGAGGGACCACTATTGTCCTTGCTATATTCATCAGCTAATGAGGCAGTAACTGAACCATATCTGAGATGTAGTTGGCTGCACTGGTGCTGAATGACAATTGTTCCTTTCTTTGATCAGAAATTTAACAAGTTGTGTATTTTTTATGCCTGTCTAGGGCCCCCAAGGGCCGGAGGGATCTCTTGGGGCTCCTGGTGAGAAAGGAGAAGTGGTAAGTATTTCGGAATGACATCTCTACCTGTTCTACATGTGTTGCCTCAGTGCGGGATGTGTTGTGCCATGGTGACATGGGGTGCAGTCACTGGGTTTGGATCATTATAGATAGCGGTGAATGATGCACTAACTGGAGATGTGGCCCCAAAATGACAGGAGATGCCAATGTTACCTTAGTAACCTCTCGGAGCCATGGTCTCAGACAGTATTTGACTCCTAGCACTTTGGGTCTTAACCCATTGAAGAAGAAAGTTGATATTGGAGGAGGTAAATGGGACTACAGTAAAGACCTGGAAGTATATCATGGGGCAAAAAAATGAGAAATGGCACAACCAATTCCACGTATAGGCTGGGCTGTCTATAACACTGCTGCACTGTGGATCCGCGCGTACTGTAGGTTGGTAAACATCTGATATTTATTGGTCGGTTGACTGTGCATGGCACAGGAAATGACATCAGAGTCGATCTGATCGGCGCTCATTTTATAGCATGCTCCGTTATAATTTCGGTCTTAGTTGCTGGAGCCAAACCACATCATAACAGGTTTATAGCCTGTTTTATTGAATATGCTGCAGAATATTTTATGAAACATCGCAATTTTTCATCCATTCCAAGATTGGTATGGAACTCCCTCCCTTCCCACTCCAGCGCAGAGGTTGTACCTGAAGTACAGAGTAACTTCACTGCTATCAGTTGATTGTTGTTATCATAACCGGAGCCAAGGTTTCTGCGCTAGTTCATTGGACACACACCAAGTTAATCCCATGAAGAGGCTCTGAAACACCACAATGAATGATACAACCATGGCAGGATTGAAAATAATAATAAGCATAATAATTAATAATAATAATAATCCTTGCATTTGATATAGACCCTTTCATGTCAGAATGACATCCTAAAGTGATTCACTGTGAAGTGGAGTGACTGCATTTGTATGCCAATAGCGCACAGCAACTTCCCACAAACAGCCATGAAACAAACGACCAACTTTATTTTGGGGGATTGTTGGCCAGGACAACAGGAGAAGCTCCCTTCCCTTCTTGAATAGCGCTATGAGATCTTTAATGTCCTGAACAGGCAGATGGGGTGGCAGTTTAACGTCTCATCTCTAGAACGTCACCCCTAACAAAGAAACACACCCCACCGGCACTGCATTGCAAGGATTAATATTATTATTGTTGGAGTGTCACCTTAGACTATGTGATTCTAAGTCCCGATGTGAGACTTGTGCCCAGAACCTTCTAACCCTAAGGAGAGAGCGCGACCACTGAGCCAGGCTGACACAATAGGAAAAAGGAACTAAGGGAAATAATGCAATGTTTCTGAAAAGTTTCGACAACTCAAAACAACAGTTACAGGACCTGTTCTGATACATTTAATTTTCACCCTGAAACATTTTTAAGTTGCTGGAGAAACGTATAAGCTGGAATGAATTCCAATACAAAAGAAGTGTGAGCAATGATCTTTTTTCTGATGCTCTTGTATCTCTCGTCTTTCAGGGAGAACGAGGACAACGTGGCCGTCAGGGATTGACTGGACTCAAGGGTCAGAATGTCAGTAATTTCTGCTTTTATTGGCTGTAACACAAGTTTCATTTCTTAATCTGACTGGTCTCGCTGTGGCTTACTGCTCCTTCCTCTCAACTCGAGGACCTGGGTTTGAATCCGGCCTGGACTGATGGGATAAAAGTCCCCTTCTGTCTGCCGGCTGTGAGCGTCCGCTGTGGAATGACACAGTAGGAAAGCTGTTGCTAATTCAAAAGGAGTTGGCGTTCCATTGGCCATCTCACTCAGAGGTCACAGGGCAGCTGGGTGGACAAGACACCAGGGGGGTGGAGGTTGGGTCACATCATTGGATTGATGTGGAAGGATCTTTATTCTGTTTCTAATCTATGCTGTAGTAGATCTGGGAGCGTTGGATGGGATATGAGACACCCTCCGTGTTCTGATTAATGGTAGCAACACAAACCCGACTGTGAAACCTTTGCATCTTGCATTCCTGCTTTGAGTCATTTTCGAGTGACCAGAGCAGCCACTGCGAGAGCATCAGGAATTGCTGGCCTAATTCGATCTGAATTAGAGCCTGTGAGTATTGGCAGAGAGGCAGCTTCTGTGCTCACAAACAGCGACTGGGCTCCTGGGCTCCCAGATATAAACTGGCCGAAGCAGTTAAAATCAGAGAGTGCCTTAAAATGAGCTGTACTGGGCAGAAATCACAGGCGGCATCTTTATCTTCACATTTCATCCAGTAAATAATGATCTGAATGTGTTTCGGAACCCATTTATTATGCCACTTCTTTATCTACTTCAATTTCTGTTACAATGAGGTTGCAACAGGAGAGTGGGTGATAATGAGATTTCAGCCCACTGAAAGGTATCCTGATTGGAGTTAAAGAGCAAAGGGAGAGATTTTTCTTTACACAGAGGGATGTTAAGATATGCAATGCTCTGTGATCGAGACTGAATCTAAATTATGATAATAATCCTTACATTTGGTATAGCAGCTTTCATGTCAGCAAGACATCCCAAAGCGCTTCACAGGATTCATTGTTTAAAGTGCAGTGACAGCGTGTTTTGTGGGCGAACGTGGCAGCCTATTTACATTATTATCTTCTAATAAGGAATTAGCTAAATCTCTGAAAAGGAGAAATATGAAAAGGTGTATGGGGTGGATGGTGGGACGAAGGGGAAAGGCAGGGGAGATGGGCTTAAATTCTGTACCACTTTCTGTGCTGAAAATGTCTTGTGTTTCTAAGAGTCATTTCTTGGCTCTGTGAAATTCCGCTGATTTATTTCTAACCCATTCTGTGTGTTTTATTTCAGGGTTTACCAGGGATCGATGGCAAGGATGGAACTCCTGGTATTCCTGGTATGAAGGTATTTAACAGCAAAACGATAAACATGGTCTGGAGCACGACCTATTTCCTCAGACAATTCATGAAAGGTCATTTCAGAGTCCCTCAAAACTAAACTAAAGTCTCGGATTCTGCTCAAACAAGACACCTGTATCTTGGCTTTAAATTATAGCTTTTTTTTAAATCTCCAGTTGGTTAAAATTCCTAATCAGACTGGGTATCAGCGTGTTCCTCTATAGTATATAGCTACTTTGATGTTACAAAGGTTTTAATGCACCTGTCCTCTTAATAATTTCCCATTACATTTCCGGTTATATTTCCCGTCGAACCTGCTGACCACAAAAAAAAACATCAATTAACATTGACTGGTGGACTTGCATTCCCTTTTTACTTTGCAACAGAAATTAATTTTCCACGTTTTCTGAGTATGCATTTCACAGAGGTGTCGCACAGTGATTGATTTGGGATTAGTTAACCTACAGCACCAAATCAGAAATAGCCGGTTTAAATCGCTAATACCCCCAAATGCACTCATTGGAGGCCCTAATACCCTGGCTTCTGCCAACTCACACCCAATTTCTCTTGGCACAGGCAAATGTGGGAGGGTGGGGGACTGTGTGTGGGCGTGGGGTGGTGGTGGGGGTGATGGGGAAGTGTCATGGAGCACAGGATCTGTGCTTCACATTGGCAAACTCTACGCATGAAACCCTTGGAGACAACAAGGGGTTTGTCTGTTTCAGACTCCCATCTGTCCGAAAAGGAGGTGCTACTGAGGGCTGAGGAATATGTCTGCTACAGTCACATATTTATGACTGTTTTCTCATACTTAAAGGGGAGATGATGGTGGTATTAAAGGGGAAGAGTTGTGATACTGCCAGATAGGTTATATTATGGTATTAAAGGAGAAGTGTTGCGGTGTTAACTTTCTCTTTATGTTCCATTGTAGGGAGGAACAGGCAGACTAGGATTCCCAGGAGCACCTGGGTCTCAAGGGGGTGCTGTAAGTATCACTACTCGCCGAACAGCATCCGTTTAATAATCACGGCTTTTGTAAGAAAGAAAACTTCTGTTTTGATCACGCCTTATCAACTCCGCCTTATCACATTGAAACATCACAAAATGCAACCAGGGTAATTATCGTCAAGTGTAGTGACTGTGCCTGAGTTCCCTCACCTCAGTCAGAGCACTGATGGAACTATCACATTTGGCTACAGGGGCCCTGGGCTGTAAAGCCAGGATTCTGTGTGTGAAAGGGCACAGTATTAGTATCTGACTGTGATGTGACCTTGTGTCTAATACGCAGCGATTTTAAAAGTGTTTCTCAAATTGAGGAATGCGAATGGGGACACAAGTTTCACTCCAAAAGACAGAACCTGCCTACAAGTAAAACACATCTAGAAAATATACTGTATAAATGGTTGTTGTTGTTGATCTGATGGTTTGTGGTGTTTTGCAGGGTTTATCAGGGCAGCCCGGGCAGAAAGGCGGACCTGGTGACAAGGTAAAAAACTCCTGAGTGTTTCTACACAGAATATTGGTTCAAACTACTTTACAGGAATTCAATTGATAGCAGTTTAAGAGCAAATGATAGAAAACTGTCTTTTGTTCCTTTCTTTGAAGCAATTACCAATGAAACACTTTTTATTCCGAGCACAGAGGATGTGTGAACCTGTGCCCATTTAACACTGTCTTTGCGAGTCTCTGCCCTTAAAACACAATGTGGACAATGTGCTTTTAGATTCTCTGAGAATTTAGATAGAAACTGTATGACATTTATTTTGTACACCTACCCCCCACACCCCACCCATGGTGCAACCTTCCCCACTCACTGCAGCCCTGCCCCCACTCACTGAAGCCCGCCCCCACTCAATGCACCCCCTCCTCCACTCACTGTAAATCCGCCCCACACACTAACCCCACCCCCACTCACTATAACGCTCCCTTGCACACACTCACTATCGCCCGCCCATCAATAACTCTATCCTACCCCACACTCACTGTAACTGTCTCCCACCCTCTTACTGTGACACCCCACCCCCCACGCCCCTCACTATGACGTACAGTGTGAATCCCTTGCTGTTTACCAGCTTATTGAGCCCCTGTCAGTATTCATTCCTCTAGACGGTTGCGCATTTGATGTTGCTCAGCACTGACTGATGTTGTTTTTACGACACAGGGGGAGAGAGGTGTGCGGGGAATGACCGGCCCTTTTGGACGTCGAGGCAAACTCGTAAGAGAAATCACTAAACCCGTTCTCGCTGTGTCTTGAAATGTGACTTTCTGGGAGATAGATATCAGACTGATGAACTGGTTTGATGTTCGCAGGGCGAGAGAGGAGATCAGGGTGAGATTGGGCCACCAGGTCCTCAAGGTGAGAAGGTAAGTGATGATGCATTAAATAAAACTCGGGCACTAGCGCAAATCTATAGAAGCTAAAGCGTGTACTATACTAAGTCTCAACAAAGCTCCACAGATACGACATAGGTTAGTACGGAGCTTCTGTGATGCCTTCCACATGCTTTGCACTTTCCAGTCACTTCAAAAGCACACAACAGGGAGGATGTTGCACATGATTTCAGGTTGTTGATCAAAGGGACAGTCAGAGAGATACATAAATAAGAACATCAAAGTGAAGGAGCGAGACAAAGGGATTTTGGAAGAATATTCCTTAGAGCAGGGACATACAGGCGGGAGGCTTGACCACCAATAGCAGGATAATGCGAGTAAGGAGTGAGCTGTAGACCAGGGCTGTAAGAGCAGAGGTTGCACACATCCTGGTTGTGATTGTAGAGTTAAAGTTGGGCAAGATTATGAAGTGGTTTGAAGACAAGGACACTGATCTTCAAGTTGATCCATTATATGTACTGGGACAAAGTGAAGGCCTAGGTTGGTTGAGGGGAATAGGTATGTTCAGTCTGGAGCAGAGAAAAACAATGGCTGGAAATTTAGATGAGTAGCAACTAATGAGTAGATTTAGATGAGTAGCGACTAATGGAGATTAAGGAGAAAATTGGAGAACCTAGTCTCAAGGCGATGAAAGCATTTACGTGTTTGTGTGCGTGTAGATGGGTAGTTTGGGGGTTGAGGGAGATGAAATGTGTGTGTTCTAAAAATGGAAGAAGATAAGAGCCTTGGTCAAGGTGAGACTTGTTTGTGATGCTCCTTAACAGTTAAAAAGGCCTCTGACACTCACATGCATAAGTGAATAATGACCACTTGGCAAGGTAACATAAACATATGTAAGGAGGAAGCGAGAAAAATAAATAAAAATACCTTCCAATAAAGAGACTCAGATATTCCCCCTCCCTAAAATTCAGTGTCTGTGACTTGTACACCGACTGACATTGCTTCTCTCTCTCTCTCTGTTGCAGGGTGACAGAGGTATGATGGGTATGAGTGGTCCTCCCGGTCCCCGAGGGCGAACTGTAAGTATCTGGACTTAGCGGCTGCTAATGGAGGAGGCGTGAAGAGACACTGAGTTGCTGACCGTGATAATGCTTGAGTGGCAGGAGTTAGTAAAATATCATGACAGTAGGGGCGCGATACCCTCAGCCGTAGCACTTCTGGGCCGGTGGGAGAAAAGGCACAGGGTTCCTGATCATTGCCCACACATCTGCTGAAGGTGTTGTGTTGATGTTGGGTGAGGACAGGATTGGGCCAGGGTCTGGTACCCCGTTCACAGCAAGAGCACACACACCCACACCCGACACTAACTGTTCAGCTATGCACATCAAGAAGGGGTATTTGGACCATGTGTTACTGTTAGGGTATGTCACATGACACGTAGGAACAGGAGTATGACTTTTAGCCCCTCGAGCCTGTTCCACCATTCTATGAGATCATGGCTGATCTATACCTCAACTCCAATCAACTCAACTCCAATGGAAATGACTCTCAGCATCATATAGTCTTCGATTTGTGGGGGGAAGGTTGAAAAAATAAATTGGTGTAACTGGAGCGGAAATAAGCCTGTGTATTTTGATGCTGGATCATTTTATGGGATATCAATTTGAGTCATTATCTTATGAAGTGGTCTTGAAGACAGCAATCTGCCATATGAAATGTTAACTTAGTGCTTAAAAAAAAGTTAAAAGCCTCCATATTTGGAGTTTGCGGTTTGCAGAGGGTTAGCCATGTTTGATGTTGGCGGCTGCCATCTTTGTTGGGTTCTTCTGCCCAAATCCCTGCTTTTTATTGGTCAGCGGGGTGTCTGACACATGTGGACTCCAATCACCATTGTTAAGACTATTCAAACTAAACAGGGATCCATGCATCCCACTTATACATGGAAATTCTTGTGTTTGGAATGAAATTAGGTAAGCAGGATATATCTCTTCCCAGAGAAATGTGTCCTGCTTACCTAATTCTCGAAAGTAATTGGCACATGCTTGCATGAACCAAGGCTTGTGAACTGCTGGAGTTGAACCAGCTAAAACTGCATAGCTTGTCATTGAAAGCATTGTCTGCTTCCTGCTTTTATCCAAATACCCAGCCCCTAGTTTTAAGGTTTAATGAGAGCTGATTCGGAAGAATACCTGCCCCCAGTGGCTGGTCGGCTCCTCCAAGACCAGCTGATGAGCCAGGCTGGTTGGTCTGTCAGCAACAGTACCCTAGAATATTGTGGTTGTCTGATTTAGGACTTCCGACATTCCATTGTCAAACATGTCACCTTGGAGCCAGTTCAGCTCCAGGGAGACCCCAGTTACCTCCCCCCTCCCCAATCCCAGGAGAATAGGTGTTTTTTTTCCAAGACTCATTTTATGGAATTCTGGCCTAACTATTGAGGTTGTTCAAACCCCATTTTAATGCCACTCTTTAATTAAGGAATGTGTTTAGGAATGCCGCAATCGGTGACCCTTTGGTACTTGTCACCACTGGTGAAACATTAAAAAAAAGGACTTTCATATTGTGGTCATCAGATTTCTAGTAAGAGACCAGTTCTGATTATTGTGGCCGAGAGCCAGGCTCCGCGAGATCGGATTCTCTGATCTCAGCCAACATTGACACAGTAACTTGAGAGTTCAAAGAAGCATTTATTAAATGGAATCTGAACTATGTGGCTGCTTTGGTAAGTCCTCTAGCTGCTGAGTGACACAGAACCGGTTCTGTGGATCAGCAAAATGTTCTCAATGGTTTGATTGAGGTGCAATTGGAGGAATATCATCAGCCTTTTACACCGGGGCTCTGTTGAAGCCATCAGGGATCCTGAGCTATTAAGAAATAAAGTTCACTCCGGTTTAGCTAAAGAGACGTTACGCTCTGGGGATGTGTCCTAACAGTACTCAGAAACTCAGATTTAGTTTTATAAATAACTGAATGCCAGGTTAGAGGGGAGAAATACTCTCTCATTCCTGCTTCTGGTATTTAAAACTCACCTGTGATGAACCATCAGTGTGATCCCCATCTACATAACCTTTACTCTGGCCAGCCTGGTGTCTGATACACAATCAGAAACCTTTTACCATGCTTAAGAGTATCCAAAACTCCTCCTCACCCCTCCTCAACCCATCTCCTCCACCCTCAGCTTGGGTGCAAACCTTATACTGTCCAACTCCTTGGGATATCCTCTCAATGTGAAAGGTGTTCCATGAATGTAAATTTGTTGTTGTTTATGTAAATCTTTTGGTGCTTCATTAACACTTATAAATCTCTGGCCTGTTCCTAGGGGGTGAAAGGGGAACGAGGTCCCACTGGGTTCCCAGGTGCTCAAGGCATCCCTGGACTTAAGGGAGACAAGGTAAGAATGTCTCGCAATAGTTCAGGCAATCCTTGTGATTCCTTGCTCCGAAGCTTGGTTTCAGAGACATTCAGTGAAACATGATCTTATCCAAATGTCTGACAGAATGTTGCTGTCATTACTGTCAATTCTAGAGCTGTATTTGTCGCTAAAACTGTACATTGCAATGTCCTACAATGAAGTGAATAACCACTTTTATCCTGGCCAGAACACCAAGAAAACTCCCTTCTATTTTGCCAATAGTATCATAGGATCTTGATCATCCACCCGAACAGGTTTAACATCAGAAAAATGCTGCCTCTGACAATGCAGAGCTTTCCCAGCATTGTACTATGTGTGTACTTGGACTGTGAGCTAAAATCCCAACATGGGGCTTGGCCCCACAACCGTTTAACCTACAACAACAACAAAAACAACTTGGATTTATATAGCGCCCTCCACACCGGACAGCATCTCAGAACGGATTCCGGGGCCGAGCCGGGGGGAGGGGGAGGAGCCAGGGGGAGGGGGAGGAAGGTGACCAAAGGCGCGGTCGAAAAGATAGGTCTTCAGCCGAGACCTGAAAATAGGAAGAGAGGGGGCGAGGCGAAGGGAGTGAGGAAGGGAGTTCCAGAGCCTCGGGGCATAGCGGCTGAAGGCACGGCCGCCGAGGGTGGAGCGGAGGACTCAGGCGACAAGGAGGAGATAAGAGATAACCTAGAGATAAGATTATAACCAACAGATCCAGGCTGAGATCTTACATTAGATAGAAGTCTAAGGTGTGACCTTTGAGTTTTGCATCATCATTTAGAGAATCACCACAGTGATCCAATGACTAACATTAATTCTCTGCCCGACTTCAAAGGGATAGAGTGTAGGGAGAGGGAAGTACCGAGACAACAGGATGGTTGGCCAAATACAGAGAGAAACTCTCCCCTCCCCTGCACCACTACCCTTTAATATTTGGTCCTCTTCTACTCACCTCCCACTGTCCCTGCAGCTCTGCCCCTTAAGTACTTATCTTGTGTTCTCTCTCTCGTGGACCTAAGGTCTCCCGAGATCCGATGGATTTGTGCTATTGCCTCATTTCCCACATGTCTCCATTCCATTCTGTGCTGTATGTTGGTGATACGATAGAAGATGCCACAGAAACAGATGGAAACAGCAACTGTGAAATAAACAGTGGTCTCTATGTTATCTATGTTATCCATAGGGTAACCCTGTCACCTGATTGTTAGCAGCACTTTGAGGAATACTGGGGAGATAGAGACAATGAGGATTAACCCTCAGACTGGGTATTTTTAAGACCTTCCTTTTCGACCATGGCTTCGGTCATCTTCCCTCCTCCAGATTCCCTCCGCCTCCCCCTTCCCCCGACCCCTCCCCCCGCCCCGCCCCCCCCCCCGCCCTCCAGCCATCTCTGAACCCAACCCGCAATTCGGGTGCAAAACCCCTCATTGTCCAGCACCTTAGGGGATGCCCTCCCGACAAGAAAGGGGCTAAATAAATGCAATTGGTTGTTTTTGTTATTATTTTTTATTAAGTTTCTCCTTCCTTTGTTTATCTAGGGATTCCAAGGAAAAGTAGGATTCAAAGGTGACTTTGTAAGTAAATGAGTAACATATTCACTAAAGTGACAACAATTAATTACACAAGATACGTCTACACACAATATAATCTTAGGTCTTCACTATATCAAAGTATATTCACCGGAAAGACGGAAAGTGAAATTATAGTAGTTGGAAAGTGTGGTGCTGAGTCACATAAAGCAGGAAGTCCCAGGTATGTGGCAAGTGAGCTGTACTGACCAGGTAAGTAATAGGTACAGTACAATTGGACTTACTGCCACTGGACTCAGGAAGGGATCAATATGGCTTGGAACTATTAAGGTTACACTGAAGTTTACAAGGATACAGATAAAGTATCAGTGGTGTAGATGCTGAGGTGAGACATGTTTCAGAGTTGTCAGACAGAAACCTGGTACATTAAACCTGACATAAATCATATCAGTTGGGACCATACATTTAATATGACTTATACAAAGTATGAGTTATGTGAAACGTATAAATAAAGGGAAATTCAATGGGATTTGGGCAGATGTTTGACTTAGGCGATTATACGATTGATACAGTTCAGACTTATGTTTTACTGTAGAACTTTTCCTCAGCTGTATGAGTTGATTAGACCCAGGGTTGTCCATCGGTTGTCATTGGCGAGGGATTGGCAAGGGATTGCAGGCTGAATGGGCTTTTCGCACTTCCTGCTTTCTTATCTTCTCAATTGAATTGACAGCACTGACTACACATCCGAGCCTCCGTTCAACAATATATAATTATTAGTTACTGGCTTTAAGCAGTAGATAACATATATAAATACGTTATAAAGAGATGCTCATGTGCATGTGTTTTATGTTGTAGGGTGACCCTGGAGTCGAAGGCCTGGATGGTGAGAAAGGAGAACCGGTGAGAACCAGTGAGACTGTTCACTGGGAATGAAAAATACATGAGAGGATTCTTGTGTCTGTGATTATTTTATATAACTGTTTCTTACCAGTTGGGCGTTGGCATTTGAGGGTTGGCAATCCTGAGTTCATGGTGCATTAATGTTTTATATATTCACATTAATTGAGTGTGTTGCCATCTATTGCTGATATATTTCCAGGCTGGCAATGTGATAAATTTGATAGTTAACTTGGTTGGTAATCACTTAGTTCATGTAATGATGCTGTTTCACTCTTGTATCAATCTAATCACCTTGGGGCATCCTCCCAACGTGAAAGGCACTGTATAATTGGAAACATGTATTATAATAGTTGTAATGAACACAGAAAGTAACGGTGTTCATTACAGTCCATGTTCATTACAATCTGTGTTTCGCCCACAAAATATAAAGTCAATTCACTTTGCAGTATATTCTGTGAAGCGCTGTAAGGCTGATAAGGCATGATAACAAATGCAAGGATTATTATAACTAACCGTAATGTGGAATCATTCAGTGCTCAGAAATATCTCTGTGTTTCAGTGACCGTAAATCATAAAAGTGTAGGAAATCACTACAGCCAAGGAATGGGTACCTGCTTGATGGGCTCCATACCATCTCAACCCTTCCTGTCCCATATGTTAGTCCATATCAGCTACTCACCATGTGCACTAGGGGGAGCTCTCCTGGTGTTCATCATTGGGTTTCTCTCCTATTTGGGTGTTGAGGGTGTAAGCAACAGAGGACTAAAATTCCTCCTGTTCTCAGTCTTTAAGACTGTTTGCTCTTCAAAACATTATGACAATATATGATCCTTGCATTTGATATAGCGCCTTATCGCGCCATCGAGACATTTGAAAAACACTTCACGGGATATACCTGTGAAGTGGATCCACTGTGTATTTTGTGGGGACTCTGGCAGCCAATGTGCACACAGCAATGTGTCACAAACAGCCATGGAGTGAGTGACTGGTTTTATTTGGGTGTTTGTTGGCCAGGACACCAGGAGAAATGTCCTTCTCTTTTCGAATAGTGCTGTGGGATCTTTAACATCTGCCTGAATTTGGTTTTATGTCTCATCCAAAGGCAAACACCTCTGACAATGTGTTTGGGGAAGAGGAAGGGGTGTTGAGGATGGTGTTTGGAGGGGTGGGGGGGTGTTGAGGAGTGGCAGTGTTGGGGAATTAAAATGTTTAAGGGCTGTCGCAGGGGGATTGTACAATGTATTCAATAACTTCGGCAATTTTTATTTTAAACAAATGTGTGTTTGTTTTGTTTTGAATGAGTATTGAATGAAATGGCTGAACCTATGCATCGTCTATCTCTCCCCAATAGGGTGACTCGGGAGAACCGGGAGTAGTCGGGGAGGTCAGTGAAAGACACATTTATAATTATTTCTTTGAAAAAAATATTTCAGCCAATCCGGCCTCTGCGGTCTGGATCTCAATCTCCTGTCTCTCTGAACTTTCCTATCCAGGAATCTCAGTCTCCTCTCACTTTGTGTTCTCTTCGGGAATCTATCACTGTAGTTTACACAGTCTATTCACAGACTGAATGCGAGCTTCCACATTCCAATTTCAGGAATTGCCTGTTGGATTCAGTGAGCAGGTGCAGAGAAACACTCAGTCCGTGCAGTAATGATGGTTACACCTTGAAGAAATTCAGCCTTGCAAAGCTCATTGAGTGTAATGGTGACATCTGGTGCAACACTGATTCCCTTCCAGTAGATGTCGTCATTGTGCTGTCTGGGCACATAATGAACACTCAGAAGTGATCTTAATCCCAGTCACAAACAGAAATATAACAGCACCCTGCTACAAAACTGACCGCACATCAGTTTCCATTAAACTCTATTGAAATCTTCATCGATGATAAATTCTGTAAAACATAGGAACATAGGAGGCCATTCAGCCCCTCAAGCCTGTTTCTTTAATCTATTTTAGATCATGGATCAAAACACTTCAGAGTGAGCTTGTGGCCAGTCAGCGACCAGGTAGACAATGGTTCCATCACTCCAGCTGTGATCTGGAGTTCTCTGGTTATTGAGGGGGAACTATCCATTTTATTCAGTTCTGATTAATTTGGGCAAAGAGGCCACTCACTGCCTGATGATTTCATCTCCTAGTGACTATCAAACTAATCTCTGTGTCATATCACAGGGTCCGTAGTCACTGCAGAGCCCGGCCTCTTGTGCCCGAGTCTGACCTGTGCTGTGTTTTCCTGCAGGAAGGTGTCCCGGGAGAGTCAGGATACCCGGGAGCCGCTGGTGACCCCGGTGAGCCGGGGGTGGAAGGTCGGGCCGGACCTCCGGGCCCTCGAGGGATCCAGGGAGAGCGTGGCACCGTTGGCATAGGCGGGCGTGAGGGAGTGCCGGTAAGTGATGACAATGAGCTTCGTTATATAGGAGGAGGCTGGAACTGAGAGCTGCTCTCAATAGCTCAACTTAAACAGTGAGTCGCTACAGCCCACACAGTGAAAGCCCAAACTACAAAGTCATTGATCGACTACAAGCACAGAACATACTGATAATAATAATCCTCGCATTTGGTATAGCTCCTACACTGTTGAAACATTTTGTAGCTCTTCATAGCTAATGTCAAGTGTAGTGACTGTGTACAATGGCAGCGAATTTATGCACATTAGTGCACAAGCCTCGCAAACGGCCATGAAGTGAACAACCAGTTTACCTGGATACGTGTTGGCCAGGACACCGAGAGAATCTCCCTTCTCCTCTGCAATTTTATCCTTAGATTATAAATACACAGATTTTTAAAGTGGTGGCATTACAGATAGAGAAGACCATGAAAGGAAGCAGACGGGATTCTGGGTTTAAAATTCAGAGCCATTAATTACCCGTCAGAGATTGGCTGAGGTGATCAATCTATATAAACCTTTTGTTAGCAGCTGGAATATTCTGTGCAGTTTTGGGCGATGCAAAAAGATGAGCGTAGACTCACAAGAATAATTTCATATTTGAGAGGATATTGCTATAAGGAGAAGCCGGAAGGTTTGGGCTATTTCTGATAGAATCGAGAATAGTTTGAGGGGTGAGATGATCAAGGTGTTTATGATAATGATAGGGTTTCAAAGGACACATGGTGAGCAACTATGTTGCTCAGGCTAATAAGCAATTTGAGAAGAAGAGTTCATGAATTCAAGATTGTGATGAGGGAATTGAAGGAAGTTAGGGAAAATCTCTCCTGGAGAGTTGCTACTAAATTCATGAGCCTCAGTAATACCACTAGATGCCATGAGATGGCTACACTGGTCCATTATTGGGACTAACTGATATCCTGCAAATCCTGACTGTTACAACACAACTCAAGTCACCCTTTGCCAATTTGTTCGACACTGAATTCAAGAAGATGAAATAAAAACTGTATTATATTTCACTCACATTAAGCCATTCCTTCGTGCCTTCAGTTCCTGTGAATAAAATGATTGACACAGGTCAGGCTTCTCAAGTCTTAGAAGGACCCAAATGCTCTCTGCACCTAGTTCCACGTCCAGTTTGGCTGAACGCACTGGTCTCAGCCAGGCTGGTGTAGAGGTGCGACAATCAATTGTTCAGCATCCATTGACCAAACCGAGAAAGATTAACCAGTCATGCTCTTGATGACTTCAGTATTCCCTTGACTGAAACCCATCAAGGGAATACTGATGTGGAGTTTCTCATAATAATAATAATCCTTGCATTTTGATATAGCGCCTTATCACATGTCATTGAGACGTCTTAAAACTCTTCACAGAATATATTGTGGATTGACTATATATTTTGTGGACAAAATGCGGCATCCATTTGAACTGAAAAGCTTCTGACCCAGAGGTGAGAATACTACCAACGGGGCCAGGCAAATGTTAGGAATACAAGCACATTTTCAGGGAGATTGAGATGCTCTCAGCTCTGATGTAAAAATGTGTTGTGGTTCGGAGACAGCGACTCACACCATCTCTTTGATTTTCTCTTGACAGGGAAGAGATGCAGATGACCAGCACATTGTTGAGGTGGTCTTAAAAATGATGCAAGGTTAGTGCGGACATCTATTCATCCATCAATTCATCCACCCATTCCTCCATTAAACGATGTGGGTTTCTGAGGTCTCTGTGTCGGTGGGTGAAGATTATGGTATTTTAAATCAATTAATCATCACAGGTGATAATTCTTACATTATTGATGAATGTGATCCCGACAACTAAAGATACCTTGTGACCCCTCGCAACAACAACAACAACAACAACTTGCATTTATATAGTGCCTCTCACGTAGGGGAGCATCCCAGAGCAGTTCAGCTGGAAGCTGTCCTGGCAGCTATTACTATTTGGAAAATTATTTCCTCTCATCCTACTTTTTTTTGGTGCAAATTGAAGTAATAATCAGCAAACCCCATTTAATATTGATACTAAATGAGTGTTCCCTAAGAGGATCTTTGCTGGACTCCAGAGATTAAAGCTGCACCAGTGATTCACAGCTAGGAACTCAACTCCCTTCACGCCAGGGCTCAGTCTCATTAGGCTCTCTCCCTCTTTCTCTCTAAGGCTTGTATTTTGGTGAAATGGGCATACTTTATAGAGTTAAATGATGTTGAGTATTAGTACTAAAGGCAGTATAAATACATCGGACAATATTGGTACGAAAGGCAGTATTCTTACTCAAGGGCGTATTAGTACTATAAAAATAATAATAATAATCCTTAATAATCCTTGCATTTGATATAGCGCTTTTCACGTTGGGAGGACGTCCCAAAGCGCTTCACAGAACACACTGTAAAGTTAATTGACTGTATATTTGTGGGCGAACGTGGCAGCCAATTGCGCACAGCAATGTCCCACAAACAGTCGTGGATTGAAAATGACCAATTTATTATTGTTGTTTTTTTTGGAGGGATTATTATTAGGCTCTGTGTGGAGTAAGGAGACTTGCCCAAGGTTTCGCCCTCTGCCTAGGATTGAACTCAGGTCTCTCGCTTACAAAGCGAGTGCTCTAACCACTGAGCTACAGGACTCCTACAGTACTAATGGCTGTTGCTGAAATGTTATTGTGTATTAACCACTATCATGGGGCTAAGCTATCTCATTCAGGTCTTAACGTTCAGGGTGTTATTGCTGAGATATTCCCAGTTGTTGTGACATAAATAACTCTAGAGATGAACCTATTTACTGTGAAGACCCTGCATGAAATGAGTTGGGACAGTTAGATCCCAACCAGGTTCACAGTGCACTGATGTTTACTGGGTTGGTAAATTCAATGACTGAGGGGACACAGTCTGGGAAGTGGGAATTGTCAACCATATTAAAGAGGTTATTTTCTGAGGTCAATATTTTCAGTACAGTGTAGAGGAAGCTTCAGCTCTGTATCTAAACCCTGCTGTACCTGACCAGGGAGTACCGGATGGACAGCGTTAGAGGAGCGTTACTCAGCAGCCCAGGCACGAGTAAACCCCGAAGGTCTGAGCATCTTGTTCTCAATCCCTTTCCCTTGTGCCTGTTACAGAGCAGTTATCAGCGATGGCGGTCAGTGCGAAGAGAGAAGTGTTGGGCGGAGCAGGGATGACGGGGCCGCCCGGCCCCCCCGGGCCCTCAGGCTCCCCTGGGGAACAGGGAGACCATGGGTCGCCTGGGCCGCGAGGCCTGCACGGGCACACAGGCGTCCACGGTCAGATTGGCAACACGGGACCCAAAGGTAAGAGGCATTTCTGGACACAAATGAATCGATCGGCTGTCAGCTAAAACACTGCGAAGCCGCAACTCCCTCTCGTCAATGAGCAGGAGCTCTCGAGTCATTCCCCTACTCTCCTCTGGAGAACCTTCCTGAATCTCGGTGGATCACTGTTGGAAGAGGAGGTGGATCTCTTTCTCCTCCACTTCCTTGCCTTCTGCTCCCTAAGGGAAAGCTCGCTTTAACCAATGAACTAACCAGCCCCTTTCTCTATTTCTCGCTAAAGTACAGGAATGTGCCATCACCTCCCAACTGCGTTCTCACCCTTCCTATGTTAGCAAGACTCATCAGTACAATGTGTTAACTTTGTTAGAATCACAGCACGTATTAATGTGTATCAGGTCGCAGCATATGTTAGTACGTGGTAAGTATAAGCATATTCCATTATGAGAGACAGTGGAGTCAGTGAGGGGTCGAATGCCCTATTTTAATCTGCTCTTTCATTGTACATAATAATAATATTCCTTGCATTTGATACAGCGCCTATCATGTCTTTGACATGTCTCAAAGTGTTTTCCCAGAATATGCCGTCAAGTGAATTGACGGTGTATTTTGTGGGCGAAACGCGGCAGCCAATTTCGCACGGCAGTGTCCCACAAACTGTCGTGGATTGAAGTGACCAAATTATTATTACATCCAGGAAAGCGAGGAGTGAAAGGAGATCGAGGTCCAATTGGACGTGGACACCGAGGTCTTCCAGGCCCACCCGGCATCACAGGTAAGAACCTGCTTCACTGTGTTTCTCTCCATTGTCCTCAGTCGCTCTGAAAGTCTCAGTGTCTGTATCTCTGGGTGCTCCTTGTTTCTCTCATTGTGTCTGTGTGTGTGTATCTCTCTATCTCAGTGTGTCTCTGTATCTATGTGAGTATGCCTTTCTTAATGCCTCTCAGTATTTCAGTCTATCTGTCTTTTTCAACGTTTATCGTTTATCTCAGAAACTGTATGTTCCTCAGTTTTTCATTTTCACTCTACGGGTTCAATTTGCACCAATTTATAACTGATTCCGATCTATCATAAAATTTTGTGTGTGACTACTTTAGTATTCTCTGTGTCTGTCTATCACTGTGTCTTTCAATGTCTCTCTGTCTCTCTGTGCCTCTCAGTATGTGTCTCACTGTATTTATATCAGAGTCTCACAGTGTCTCTCAGTCTCTTTGTTCATTGTCTGTGTCTCTGTGTTTTTCTGTGTTTCTCTGTATCCCATGGTGTCTCAATATCTCAAATTCTCTCTGATTGTCAGTGTTAATGCCCGCAGGATCTAATTATGATTGTCACAAAGTATTTGTGACTCATGAATCTCGCACGTCCTTGAAGTCTGAGGGAGACTCTCTGGGATTTTGTTCAGACACTGATCTCATTTCTTTGTTGCCGGATTACGGACAAAGGAGGCTCCCAGCAGGAGGTTGGGGTCTGAGCGAAGTTCCAGAGACTCGGCCCATCACATAGGATCCCCAAGCAGATTATCTACATAACTGAGACCAAAAATCACACTCAAGGCGATATTCCCTGTTCCATGAGGTCCAATGTGGCTTCCCGGCCTCTCACAGCGATTATTGAGGAAGGTGTCAGCTGGGGGGATGAGCAATGGTCTTGTGTCCAGCACACTGATCGTCAGTGTCAATGCCACAAAGTGTTTGTAACTCATGAATCTCGCAGGGCCTGGGAGTTGGGGGAAAGTCTGGGGATGTATTAATTATCATCCGTTATAGTGCATGTTGTTAATCCATCACGCCATGTTGTGTTCACGCCTGTCTGGCTTCTCTCAGTTGAAACGGAATGATTGCTCTTGAACCACAGGACACCCCGGAATGCCGGGACGCAGCAGAGACGGCAGAGAGGGCGAGCGAGGTGAGCCTGGGATCGAAGGGCAGTCGGGAAGTCCTGGGTTACCGGGAGTCCCTGGGATTTCCGGATTCTGCGAAGCCGCCGCTTGCTTAGGGGCCTCGGCGTTCCTGTCCTCCGGAGGTGGTCCGGACATGAAGGGGCCTTGAGCGAACTGTGCTGCCCCTACAGACGTGCAGGGAAACACCAGAGAAACCGCATGTGCAGCAAAGAGGAGAGAAAGAGCCAGCAGGAGAAACACGGAATCGATTTTTTTTTTCTCTCGACGATTGTTCTGGTTTAAAACCATTCGGTGCTTTTATTTTTTCACAAGAAGAAAACAGAAACTCAACAAAGATCAATCACCCCTTTCTCACGTCGCAGAATTAACCGAAACCCAGAGATTTACAAAGAGACTTAGTCAAGGTTTTTCGAGTCAGGCAAATCCAGCAAATCTGAAGGATTGATAAAAAATGTTCATTACTTTCCTTAGCGTCTTGTTCACTTCCGTATTATTTTCCAATTGAGATGTTAATAATGAACTCAGCCTCTGTCCACTGTATAAAGCTCAGTCCTACTGCAGTACTTGCGTGTGTGTGTTTGTGTATAGCAGAAATCCATATTGTTTTATCTTTTGGGGGATTAAATGCATATTAATTAGGGTGGGATCCCTTATTCAATTGTCTGTGTAGAGACCCATCAAGCTGAGCATGCTTCTCTCATTGTGCCCACTAACTGTGACTAAATGTTGTAGAAAGTCAATAGCACATAGGAGGCCATTCTGCATATCTTCTCTGTGCTAGATCAGTATGGATTTGTTCCAGATCGCTGTCTCCGCACAACGATTTAACTCCGATGTGGACACTGTGAGGCGCAGGAGGGTGGAGTGTTGGCTGGACGGTGCTAAACTCTCTCTGAGTTAAGACAGGGTTGCTGAATTGTTGCCAAACTCTATTTATTGGTGTTAGTGGCATAGTCCCTCAGAGGCTGATGCTCAAGGAACATAGTGTTTCAGCGATCTAGAATAGGTTCACGTAAAGCTAGCTGTCCAGATGAATTGGTCTCTACACTCTTTCCCCACCTCCCTCCCCACCCCCACCAATATACAGATCATTTGGTGAGTAGCAGAGATGCCCTTGACACCAGCCATCTTTCCCCAGCATCTCCTTCAGTGTGAATCAATTTGGCAACAGCTAAAAAGAAACCAATTGTCTATGGATCGAAATTTCATCAAACAAAAAGGCGAGATGAGGGTTAATCTTCTCAATTGGTCCTTTGTTTCCATGGTATGAGCAACTAGGCTAGTCGCAATTTCACAAGTAAAACGATTTAACAAAGCCACTGTTTCTCAGCCACACAGTAACACCCCACACCGCTGTTGATTGAATTCATTGACATAATTTATTTATTATGTTTGAAACCTTGTGCCACTGTAAAGACGGTGTGTTTTTTTTTCCCTTGTACGATCCAATAAAACGTACGTTTTGTAAAAGTTAACGCTTTTCTGTCAGCTGGAGGAGATGAAGACCAATCACTACACTCGGGCGCTAGGCTCGAAGCATTGCTTTACTTTATATTTTAGTTGCATTTTTAGCTTTCCACTGAGCCTGTAATAAATGTGTACATATAACCACGGAACCGAAGGAAGACTGTTTGGTGTTTTATCATGTCTGTGCCAAATCACCTACATCTTTTTTTTCCAGAAACTTCCATGGAGATGTTTAAATCGAACTATTGAGGGTGTTGAAAGGTGCTAAATAAATTGTCAACACTTTGAAAGGTCTGATTCCTACCCCTTGGTGACGTGAGTTTGAACCCAAACCATGGACTGATTGGGAGGGATGGGAAAATTTACAGCCCATTCGGCCTAACGTGTCTGTGCGAAAGTGGGTGTTGGATGTGAATTTGCGATGTTTCGTAATTAACCCATTATGAAATTACACAAATGTGTCACTTGACAAGATCTCCAGCCAGGTACCTGTTTGGGGCATTGCTTGGTTATGAGGGTCAAGGCCAAGGGGTGTGATTGGATGAGTTTTCTCTGGTATATCACCTGGCCTAGGATTATCCCATCATTGAACGTCAAAACAAAGACAAAGTTCTAATCCCGTGGTTTGGCATTCCTCATCTTAATGAACGCACAGGAAACAGGAGCCTCGTCACTTGGGATCATTCTTACACGCTCCCACTCATGACAACATTCATCATATTGACAAAATGTGAGGTAAAGACCAGGGCAGGTAACAGTGAGGTTGCGTGACCAGGAAGCCAGTATCGAGTGACAGCTTAGGGGTTAGAGGGCTATGGTTTCCAGCACTTTGTTGGGAGCTGAGCTCATTGTCTAGGTTGACAGTAATACAGCAATTTGCATTTATATAGCGCCTCTCACGACTCAGCTGCGTATGGGATCTTGATATGACCAGATAGCTGTCAGAGTTGGTACAAAAAAAGTTTAACCTCAATACTAGACAGTAATGACTGTAAAGAACTTTGAGATGTTTTACTCCACTGAAACATTGTAAAAAAAGCACGTTCTTTCTCATTTGAGTCCAGTTAAATTACAGACTTTGTGGTTTGCATAGAGAAATGGATCAACAGTCGAGCACTAAAAAAACATTAATGGGAGAGAAATGGAAAATGGAAAAATCAATCATAGAAATAAAAACAAAGGAGCAATGGCACAGACTTGATGGGCCAAATGCTCCTTTTGTGGGGAAAGTTTCGATATTACACAGGAGACTGACAAAGAACCAGAGGAAAACCAGTCGTGCAGAAGATCAATTCTTTCAAAATCCACAAAATACCCTTTAATTTAATTCAGGCATCTGGAGGAGTCTCTGCATTTAACAAGATACAAGCACAAGTGATTCTCAAAAACCCTTTACAACCGGGCATCGGAGAACCCAGTGATCAACCCAAACCACACAGGTAAGTCCATTCCACACACGGGGCAATAGTGGGGTTGGTGAGTACATAACACAACATAATAGGAGACAAGGAAGAAGCAGGGAGGTGAATGGGGAGGGGGTGGAATCCCACTGAAGAAATGGCTACAATCAAGTTAGTGTCACACCTGCTCTGGAAGTCCTGCTTCCAGAAAACCCACAATTTTGTCCACTCGTTTGGCAAAGTGCATATTCTCCAATGACCTGTACCCGCAGGTCCTAAAATATGCACAAGCAGATGAGTAGCCCACCAGCAGGGGCTAATGAGGGTGGGATGGGGGGGTTGGTGGGGAGGAGGGAAAGAGGCCTGACCTGGAGAAAGCTCACAGTCTATACTGACACTCCATTGCAGTGCTAGGGGTGTCTGCTTCATTATCAGAGGTGCTGTATTGCGGAGGACACAATCTAACTGTCGCCCTATTTGCCTTCTCTTTTCTAATAGATCCCCTGGTGCTATTCGAAAAGAGAAGGTAATTTCTCCCGGTGTCCGGGCCAGTAATACCCCCAGGTTGAACTGGTCTCTCACTTCAGTTCTGTTTGTGGGACATCGCTGTGAGCGAATTAGCTGCCGCGTTTTCTTACAAATGCACTTTACAGTAGATCCTGTGAAGTGTTTTGAGATGTCTTGAAGTTGTGATAAGACACAAGGATTGTTATTGTATAAAATGCAAGGGTTATTATTATATTTCACACTTGGGGAACTTGACCGATTTAACCCAGGAACTGTCTGTGCTGGCTCCCTCAAGAGCAATCCTTTCAGGTCCATTTACCTGATCTTTCTCCATGCCCGTGTAGCTGACTCTTTTTAAGGTATCTGTCTAGTTCCTTCTTGAAGGACAATATGGATTCCCCGCTACCAAAGCTTCGCCCTACCGCTCCTCGCAGAGCATTCCCTATCCTATCCTAACCACTCTGGTGTGTGAAAAAATCTCTCGTAACCTCCTCCCCATTTGCTCGTTTACTACGTTAGTTGATACCCTCTAGTTACTTACTCACAAATGGTGGAAATAATTTCTCCCTATTGATTCATCAACAAATAATTACATCTGTATAGCGCCTTTCACACCGGGAAGTCATGCTAACATGCTGGACTCTATCAAAACCCTTCATAATTTTAAAAACCTCTATCAGGTCACCCCTCCACCTTCTTTGTTCCAGCAAAAAAAAAGTTCCAGTTCCTCCAGTCTCCTTTTATAGGCCAAACCTCTCATTCCCTTTATCATCCTAGTAAATCTCCTCTGCCCCACCCTCACATCATTCCTAAAGTGGGGGCGACCAATACTGGACACAATATTCTAACTGCGTCTAACTAACAAGTTATGCAAGTTTAGAATTACCTCTTTCCTTCTACATTTTAAGTTCATCACTTTACAGTATATTCTGCGAAGCGCTTTGAGACGCTTTGAGGTGCTACACCAAATGCAAGGATTATTATTATTCCACACCATCGTGAGATTAATGAGTTGATAAGACAGTCCGCTACACGATTGCTGTAAAATGCAACGATAGTTTATTTCATTATATGCGGTCGATTTTTTTTGCGCTCTTTCAAAGAGAGGGAATCAACGGTTGAGGGACGGAATTTGTTTCAGATTTCCAGCATTTGCAGTATTTTGCATTTTGTTTGAACACTAAAATATACTTTGGAAACTGCATTGCCTTTTGTTGCAAGCGGACAGGAAGGAATCGGCAAAAGGTACGGATTAAAGCAGTTGAGCCTAAGTCGGCGCATGAATTCAACACATGGAGGACATGGAGCAGAATAACCTCAATAAGTCTCGATCCCTGCCTCAGAAGATCCCTGCCCCCGACCGCCCCCTAACCCAGTCCTGTGCCCTTCCCACACCAGCTGTCCCCTTGCTCCACCCGTCTGAACAAAATCCCTAATTTAGTGCTAATTTATGAGCAATTTTGCCCTGCGAGCTCATGCTCTAGAAACTGCAATGAGAACAACGCAGTCCCAAATCACAATCCTATGTGCCACCACTGCTTAATGAAGCTACAGTTTGACCACTAGGGGGCAAAAGAAAGCAACCCCATGGCTGCTGCCTGATGCCTCCCATGTGGGTGGTGCTGTGTCTATGGGTGGAAGGGAATGGCACCCGACCCAATTGCAGGGACCCACGTACGCTCTCACAGTGGATATACTATGTCGATGCAAGCCTCGGTTATCTGGGTTCATCTGATGGCCGGTGGATCAGGGCTCAGTCCCGGTGACTAAAACTTTGAACCTGTCGCCCAGGAACGTATCAGGTGATGTTTGTCCATGTGAGAAGCTTTCATCCAAAGGAATAAAAAGGGAAAAGATCTGGGCTTGAAGATATTTGCAAATATAACCCCCCACTCCCACCCACCCCCATAATCCTCCCCCCTCCCCCCCACCTACCCCAAAAATAAAATGTCTCATTTGTCCCAGTAAGAAGGTCCTTTTGAATTCTTGGAGTTATAAGGCTCTGGAGCCCTCATAAGGCAATCAGAGGGTAAACAACGACCATCTTTCCCCGTCGATCCTTGATGGCCAAGAGGACCTTGAACGCCAGGAATTCCCTGCTGTCCCGCTGGCCCTGGTGGTCCCATTTTACCATATCCTGGGGGTCCCGGCAACCCTGAAACACAGAGAAAGAAATATAACACCCTGGAATGGTTCATGGAACACTCGCTAATTGTTGAATGTGAGACGGAGATGGATAGCTATTTGTTAGGTCAGCATATTAAGGGATACGGGGCAAGGGCGGGTAATTGGACTTGAGGTACAGATCAGCCATGAGCTTATAGAATGGCAGAACAGGCTCGAGGGGCTGAATGGCCTACTCCTGTTCCTGTTTCTCTGAGACATTGTTCATTTAGTCACTCAATCCACGACTGTTTGTGGGACATTACTGGGCGCAATTGGCTGCCGTGTTTCGCTCATGAAATACACAGTCATTTCACTTTACAATATATCCTGTGAAGATGTTTGAGACGTTTCAATGACGTGATAAGGCGCTTTATCAAATGCAAAGATCATTATCGTTATTATTATTATTTTTATCTCCATCTGCACCTGAAGCCTAGCTAAAGGATATAGCCCCCATCCTCGACTTCAGCCATCATTATTCCCACAACAATAGCGGGCTTCGGCTCAGAGCGCCATTTCGGAATGCTGGATGATTTCCAGGCCTGGCTGTTAAATCCTTAAATCCTGCTTCACCAGCTATCAGCTTCATATTACAAATTTCTTTCACAAATCACTCGAGGCATAGGAGGAGGAAGGACTAGCGAAGAGGACGTCTGAGGAGGCACTGCTCACACCGAACGTCACACCCCCCTCACTCACCTTGAGGCCCAGGGGGCCCCGAGTCTCCCATGTTGCCTATTCCCTGCTGCCCACGTTCACCCTTCACACCAGGTTCACCTGTTTCAAGAAACGTTTCAATCATTAGCATTTCGACTGAACCACGTTCAATTTACAATGTAAGATTCCGGTTCACGAATCCTGTTTTATATAGCACATAATCACAAGGAGGGTTGATGCTCACAGTGTTCTGTCCTCTTAATGCTGAGAAACTGAACTCTTTGTAGAAGATACCGTAGATATGACTTGGATTTTACAGAGATTAATAATAAATTGTCATAATTACTATATTAGTTATATTATACATTATTATATTAATTATTATTATTGATTAATCAATACACTTCACATTCTAATTCTCAGAATATATACCCTCATTACCTTTAGACCCAGGTAACCCTGAACGTCCTTCTCTTCCGATCTGTCCTGGAATTCCAGGCTGTCCTGGTGGCCCGGGGATACCAGGGTTTCCTGGTTTGCCAGGAGTGCCTGGCCTGCCTGAGGTTGTTATCTCTGATGGAGTCTGCATTCGGGATAGGTAGTAAGCCATTCTTTCTGAAGAACATAACACACGGCCATCAGGTAACCCCCAAACTGGCTGTGATATTACACTGAGCACTCACAATTTTCATTACAAGGAAGAACAGGTCTCCCAGTCAGCAACTGGAGATGTTCAGATAGTGTTAAAATGTGTGTGTTTCTGTACTTAGATGGATCTAGTCTTCCATCATAGACTTGGCACAGCGAAAGCACAGTGTTAGAGTTCTCATCCCCAAGTCAGAAAGTTTTGGGTTCAAGTCCCACATCAGGAATTGGAATCACATAGTCTAAGCTGACTCTCCAATGCAGTGCTGGGGGTTGTGTTGCTTTGTCAGAGGTGATGTCTTTCAGATGAGACGTTAAACTGAGGGGTCTGCCTGTTCAGGTGGACATTAAAGATCTCATGGCACTATTCGAAAAGAAAAGGGAGTTTCTCCCGATGTCCTGGCCAACAATCCCCACAATAAAATTAGTCACTCACTCCGTGGCTGTTTGTGGGATATTGTTGTGCTAAACTGGCTGCTACGTGTCACCAACAAAATACACAGTGAAACATTTTACAATATATCCTGTGACGCACTTTGGGACGTCTCAACGATGTGATAAGCCATTATGTCATATGCAACGATTATTATCTATAGTTATTTCCTATTTAAGCATCTTACTAGACTCACATTCACAAGTTCGCAGCTGAGCGTGTCACTGGCTCCCAAACCCTTCTGTAATGGAGGGTCCCTCATGGGGATTAGGGCACAGGTGGTTTTCCACTCCACACCCCTTCTGAGATAAAGAGCTTCACTCTGCTGCTAAGCAGTTTCCTAGAGTAATGCCAAACTGCCAGGCTCAGGTACTGCAGCAATGAACACAGCCCCATCCCTGCCTTTATTGGATTTACCACCTCGAAGCTCAAGCCCAATGAGCCCCTTAACTACCTGAAGGGGCTAGAGAAACAGACTTAAGTTTTTCCACTTGCAATCCCACTCTGATCCTGATCGCATCACTGCTCTGTGCCCAGCAATATTTTAGGTTGGCCCATCGCTTTACGACAGTGGACTAAATGTGGATTACTTTTTCAGCTAATAGTTGATTTGAGGAGAAGAGGGCACAAATTTAAGATTAGAAATAGTAATATGCCTTTGATATAAGCCCTTGAGAAAAAATAAATAAATTGGTCACTTCAATCCACGACACTGTTTGTGGGACATTGCTGTGCTAAACTGGCTGCTAAGTTTCGCCAACAAAATACACAGTGAGAACACTGCTGTGTGCAATTGGCTGCTGCATTTCGCCCACAAATATATAGTCAATTCACTTTACAATATATTCCGTGAAGCGCTTGAGATGTCTAGAAGTTATGAAAAGCGCTTTATCAAATGCAAGGATCAAATGCATGGAACTGTACAGTGTATTTTTGTATTTTGTGGGCAAATGTGCCAGCCGGTCTGTGCCCATCAGTGTCCTCCAAACAAACAATTAAAACAATGGAAGAAATCAATTGTACATTTACCATCAAACACTTTGATAACTTCCTGTCTTATCATCCTCCTGATCTCGTCAAAGTTAATGGACTCAGCCTGTTGGAAAGAAACAAGGAATATTAGGATTCTTTCCAAAATGGACATGCATTGCACGAGTCTAGGCAAGTCTGTGTTTGATTGGAAGTGTGTTTTCAGTTTATTCTTGATTGAATATTTCCTTATTTATGACATAAATCACTGGTTTACAGTATAATTCTAGTCATATGGCTCCGACAGAAGTTGGGATGATTAAGTCTCTTTGGCCTATTTGATCTCATGCTTCCACAATGTCAACCCTACCATCTTCCTGTTATAACATCAAGCTGGTTAGTAAGGATGAGATCAAGTAGGCCAAACCCTCCTTTAATAATGCAACTTCTCTTGTGATCTCATGAGTACCTTCCTTTGTGACATTAAAATGTCTATCATGACAAACCTCTGTGTGGTGTGGAAGTGCTGACAAAATAAATCCTTACCCCTGTTCCTGGCATTCCTTGCACACCAGGTACTCCTGAAGGCCCTGGCAATCCGGGAAGTCCTCTCTCTCCATTAGTACCACGGGGTCCAATTGGCCCCATGGAGCCGCTCTTTCCCGGACCCCCATGCATGCCAGATTTCCCCCTCTCTCCTGGGGAACCCTTATCCCCTGGACTTCCCGGATCTCCCTAAGGAAAAAACATTGGAAGAAAGTATTTAACATCCATTGCCAGCCTGGAGCGGGATTCACCATCAGCATCAAGCGGCACACATAGAAAAAAGCCTTGCAGCAATGTGGTGAGGGCAGCTTTTGGCTGTGTTTCCTCTGTGATATCCCTGACCAGCCGAGTGTTGCCTCTCAACCACTCTCCTACAGCGACACTCTCTGATCAATGCCAAAGGGAACCATGAGGCAAAATCTTACAACCATCCCCTCAGCCCCCAGTTGGGCTATCAAAATAGCTGTGATGTTGAGCAGACAGGGCTTGTACAAGTGAACTGAACCATTGCGAGCTGCACCTATTCACTGGACAATCAGCAATTAACAAGGTATTATTCCTGTTAAAATAACAGTCAGCCAGTGGGAACTCCGCTCCGGGAGATGATCTCGCAGGAGTGACGTTCCCGTGCGCTGGCATAGAGCACTTCCGGTTATTGGAAGGAATCCTGATTTATACGATTCAGATTACTTATCAAGGAATTTTCATTCCTATTAATAACTACATTATAAACAGAGCCTTATAATATCATCAATATGTGCCACAGGATTCATTGTAAATTGTAGCGACTGTATTTATAGGTCAATGTGGCAATCCATTTGCACACAGCCAGCCTGACAGCTAAGGAGTTCTGACAGACCAGAGCTCGGAGGCTGATGTTCTTCACAATGTTCACTTGCCTTGGGTCCAGGTGATCCTGAGTCTCCAGGTTTACCAGACTGCCCCTAAAAACACAAGTCACGGCACCAGTGAGAGTTGTAACAAACAGAGAGCACAGAAAGAACTTACATTTTTTATACTATTTTTCAAAACCACATCCAACTATTCCAAAGCCTCCTATAGAACTCTGTTAAGTTTAGCTACTGTATATTTGTAGACAAATGTTGCAGCCCATTTAGCTCAAGGCAAAGTCCCGAGTGGTCTGAGACACCGCCCCTCATGAAGGGCATGATATACATGCACATTACTGTTGCCCCTCAAATGGTCATGAAGTGAATCTTCATGTGGATTATTGGCCAGACACCAAGAAAAATCATTTTCTTTTTCAAGTGTCATTTGTGTCTTTGACGGGACGGGAGCTCGGTTTAACACCTTGTTCAAAGGACGGCATCTCCGACTATGTCAGCTCTCCTCCCCCCCCTCTGTGCTGGGTCTGTGAGCTCAAGTGAGGCTTGAACTCACCATCTGCTGAACTAGAGTTGAGGACACTATGAAAGTAACGGTCCTGGCGGGTTACGGCGGTGTGTACCTAACAGGCTCTATAACACTTTTCGAAGGTTTCAAATAAGTTAAAGAAAGCACAGCAGCAAATTCCAGAGCTCGGTACAGGACCCAGCGCAGCTTACTGCAACAGGGTGAGTGTCAGAGATAGGTCAGACCGAAGGGATTGGACAAAAGCGGTTGAACGTAGTTACGGAGCCATTTCTCCCACAGCAGATATCGCCTGGGATATCTCCTGGAGTGAAATCCCAGACTGTATCATTTGCCGCATTTTTCTGCCCATTTATTTTAATGTACACACACTGCTGTGCGCCACGATATGTGGATGCGGAGACTTGGCAATGTATAAAGAGCGAGTGCACCTCCATGACAGGAGCTGTGTGCGAGGTCAGGGGGCAGACCCACACCAATGGGGCCACGGCCAATCCCAATTTTACTCAACGCTGATGTTCAACTTCAACCAAATTACGATTGTGTTTCTTGTCATGCATTGTACCTCTTTCCCCACTGGCCCATCATTGCCGGGCTCGCCCTAGAGAAACAGGACACAAAACACACACAAGAATTAGTTCCAGGAAGCAGTCGTGCTGGTGAAAGCCAATATTTCCTCCCAACCTCTCCAACCTGCTCACATTCCACCCACCCTTCCCCATTGCTCAGCTGGCTTGGCATTTCTGTACGTCCCTCACTTCTGCGCTTCACTATCTGTGCCCATACTTTCAGCCACTACCTCTGGAACTCCCTGCATCAATCCCCTCTATCCTGCCCCCTCTTTGCTTATCTCCAGATCCCACTTGAAGACCTTCTCCTTTGACTGTACCTACGGTTACCTCCACTTTCTTACTAGCTCGGCATCAAACTGTTCAACGCTCTGAGACTCCCCTGCACCTCCCAACCCCTCCCGGTGTTGGGAGCTATATAAATGCAAGTAGTAGTTGTTATTGTACCAGCAAATCTCCTGCACCCCAATCTACAATGTAGTGCGAGCCACTTGAACATGATCAGACAATGGTTTTTATTCTTCTCGCCTCTTCCTATCCCCAATCCACCCTCCCCCCAGTTCAATTACAGAAACACAGTTACATAATTCAGGCCATCTCCACCTGACAAGACCTTTGGTTCATACATGTAATCCAGTCCCTTGCTCCTACCTCAGGTCAGGAGATGAGCTGTCACCTATTGCGCTGGATAGATTTCTGAAACTAACTGCTTGATCTTAACCCTCCTCCACTGAGACTGAAACCAACTAAACACAGCAGCCGGTGGCTGCACCTGGAGCAATGACTCAGATTGAGTAGATAGTTGGAGCACATGACCTACCATTGATCCGGAGAGTCCAGGTGGCCCTGGAAGTCCAGCCAAACCTGGCAGCCCTCGCTCTCCCTTTGAGCCACGGTCACCCTTTATTCCCTGCAAGAGATCCAGGCAGTTGCATTAATTAGGCAGTTTGGTTTCCTGTGATCAGCCGGGTGGGTCTCAGATACACGAGAAACCAAACCAGAGTGAGAGCTGTGCTGAGTCAGTGTATAACAGAGAGAGAGGGAGAGAGAGAGCGAGCTCGCTGTGCTGAATCAAGATTCGTCTACAAATCCCTTCGTGCCTTGGCATCTCCCTACCTCTCCGACCTCCTTACTCCCCACGACCTTTCGCCTTGACTCGTCTGGCTTCGGCCTCTCAATTGTTCCACATCCCCTCTGACCCGACATCGGCGGTTGTGCTTTCAGTCACTATGCCCTGAATCTTTGGAATCTCTGCCTCAAGCCCTCCGCCTTTCCCCCTCCCTCCTCTTTTTCAGATCATGGTTCCTCCTTGACCGTGCCTACAGTCACCTTCCCCCTCCCGCTGGCTCAGCGTCAGATTCCGCCACAGTTAAGCTCTCACTGTTAAGCTCTCCCTCTGCGTGAAGGGCGCTATATAAATGCAAGTTACCTTTGTTGAATCACAGTAAATGTTCTGCTAACGACCAAAATGTACCTTCAATGTAAACCGTGTTTGTTACTCACCACACCTGCTGGTCCCGATGGTCCTGCTGGACCTGGATTTCCCGCAGAGCCCTGAGCGTAACACAGACAGTTAGATACAAATCACCACACGTGTAACTCTCACACACCGCGTGTTACTGTGGGTGACACTCTCTGACACACCGCGTGTTACTATGTGTGACACTCTTTCACACGCCGCGTGTTACTGTGCGTAAAGCTCTCTCACACGCCGCGTGTTACTGTGCGTGACGCTCTCTCACACGCCGCGTGTTACTGTGCGTGACACTCTCTCACACACCGCGTGTTACTGTGCGTGACGCTCTCTCACACGCCGCATGTTACTGTGCGTGACGCTCTCTCACACGCCGCGTGTTACTGTGCGTGACGCTCTCTCACACGCCGCGTGTTACTGTGCGTGACGCTCTCTCACACGCCGCATGTTACTGTGCGTGACGCTCTCTCACACGCCGCGTGTTACTGTGCGTGACGCTCTCTCACACGCTGTGTTACTGAGTGTCATACACACACACGAACCACGCAGACACATATCCGGACACAGGCACAGACCCTCACACACATTCACAGATGAAGCACTCTCGCACTAACGCTGATTAAACGCAACATTAAAATGAAAATTGAAAACTCACAATGTGGCCGGGGAGCCCTGGAGGTCCTGCTGGCCCCAGGGGCCCCGGTTCCCCCTGCGGAGGAAGAGAAACAATCACATCAAACCGCTGTCAGCACCAACACCAGCACTGCAGTCTATCCTCCTCTCAAACAGGCCACAGGTCAGGAGCGGAGTGAGGGAGGAGTGGATCGCACACCGGATGCTCTTTAAACTGCGTTTCGGCCATTCTCTTGACGGGAACACAAACTGCCGGTTGACAGCGGGTCACCAAGGGTCAAGGATGAAACACTGGTGTATCAATTCCAGCATTTCCTGATTTATTTCGGATTTCCCGGCTTTGACGGAATTATTTTTATTCTTGCTCTGGCACAGGCTCAGTGGCTCACGGGGAGCAAATACGTGAAATGAACTTTTAATACTTGCCTCAAACCCTGTCCGCCCCTGGCTCCCCGGTGCACCGGGTGGTCCTGGCTCTCCCTGGAATAAACAGAGGCTGAGGTCAAAGCTCTCCCGTGCTCCATGGTCTGCACAGCCTCACAGACAGACAGACAGACAGACAGAGCTCTTAGGATTACACACACACACACACATACAATACACATACAAGCACAAATACAGGCACACACATACCCATTCAAATACATGCACATAAACACAGACACCCAAATACACATACACAGACACATGCATGCACACTCGAATACACATGCACACACACACATGAACGTAAAGAGCCATTAATGGAGTCATACAACATACATACACACACACACACAAACCACACAGACAGGCACATACACAGGCACATACCCTCACACATATACACAGATGAACATGCACATACATACTTACATACACACACACGTACAAGACCATTAATGTAGTCATCACAGCACACACATATACAGACACACAGACATACATCCATACACATGCACACACATATACACATGTACAAGCACAGGGGAATACATACCCGGAGTCCAGGCTGGCCGGTCATTCCATGTTTTCCTTTGAAACCCTTTCAAAATAAAGAAGAGTCAAGTAAACACATGCAGTTCCCCTCTCGCATACTGTGAATGTGACACTGATTAAAGACAAAAAGCTGAAGGCTTACTGGAGGACCACGGAGTCCTGGTAGACCTGGGGGACCAAACTCGCCCTGCAAAAGAAATCAAAGATGGTTCCTACTGCCCCGCTTCACCGTGGAAACCACAGAACACTTGGCGATCAAGTACCAGTCCTACCCGCATCCCAGGCTTTCCGTCTTTCCCTTCAAGACCTTCCATCCCTGGGGGGCCCTGCAGATACAGGAAGGAACATGATAATAATAATAATAATAATCCTCGCATTTGATAATCACGTCACTGTGACATCTTAAAGCGCTTCACAGAATACTGTAAAGTATGTATTTTGTGGGCGAAACATGCAACCTCAATAACTGGAAAAATCATGGAGTCAATGACCAGAAAGAAAGTGGAGGATGACCTACAGAAAAAGAATCTAATGAATGGCAGCCAACATGAGTGCAGAGAGGACAGGTCTTGTCTGATCGGTCTCATGAGCTTTTTTTTGATGAGGTGACAGCTCAGATTGACTGTGGGAACCAATATAATGCAGTATATCTAGACTTCTAAATGGTGTTTGACAAGGTACCAGATGAAAGACTCCTTCACAAACTGTGTTCACTGGGTATCAAGGTCATTAAGCAGGATGTCTATAGTGGGACCCTATCCTATTCCTGATATAATTAATGACCTGACCTGACACTGACTGAGACACATGCGATGTGCAGGTGAAGTGTTTAAGATCAAAGTACCTGAGTGTAGTTCCCCATCAGATGTTTGGAGTTAGGTGGGTTCTTGGCTGGAGATGTGTGTGTATGTGGAGGAGTTGGGGGGAGGAGGGTTGGAGCAGAGAATGGATTCACAGATTTGTGGAATTAGGGCAAAGATCAGGAAAAAATTCACAGATGAAAACCCTGGACTTGTGAGCTGACTCCAGAGACCCGATCTCGAGGTCTCCAGTTTGTATCAGCTCTAACTTTCAAAGTGTCCAAAACGAGCTAAATCTGATCAGAAATGATACCACTAGTCGCTGGCACTATCCATCACCATTATCAGCTTCTAAAGGTACGTAGAGAGGGGCTTACCTGTAATCCAGGCGGCCCGGAACGTCCTGGAGGACCTGTGGGTCCCGTTTCTCCCGGATTTCCCCCAATCCCCTGGAACACAATATTAAACAGCATTACACAATAATATTACACGTTACAACAATAATAAGATTCCTTACATTTTGTATTGCGCCTTTCACATCGGGAGGACATCGCAAAGCACTTCACAGGATACACTGTAAAGTGCAGTAGGGTATTTTGTGCGCAATGCGGCAGCCAATTTGCACACAGCAATGTCCCACAAACAGTCGTGAAACCTAGGACCAATTTTATCTGGGGGATTGCCCTCCCATTTGTGAAAGTTGGGAAGTGATACAACATCTCACCCTGCGGTTGTTTCAAGTGTGTTGACACTCCAGAGTCAGAAGGACATGGAGGCTTCTGTCTCTCAAACACACACACACACACACAACCTCTCTGAAGGTGATTGCATATCTAATTCTATGAGTAGCAGCGGTTTCCACCAACACTGTAAGGAATGAACTCACCTTCTCGCCCGGAGGTCCAGGAGTCCCAGACTGACCAGACTTTCCTGGGAATCCAATCGGTCCCTACAAACACACAGCAGATGAGGTTGAGAGCAGTGCTGATACAGGACAACCTTCATTCTGTTACTGAAACGTGAGTAAACTTAACGATTAGAGAGAAACCTTTGACGAGCCTCTTTGCTGATTTGAGTGACGTTTTTGCTAGTCAGTTTCTGGGTGGTTCTGGTGTCAGAGGGGGGCTGTTTTATACAACTGCCACAACACTTAACTTTACACAGGAGAAGCAAGATATCACTCTCACTGCTGAATCCATAGCTATCCCTCTCTCCTACCAGAGACAAGCAAAAAAACAGCCGATCACAGCTGATCACACCTGGGGAGAGAGGTCTCTCTGACTTCACTCTGTGAAACATCACAGGTTTTAAACTTTTCCTCTAAACTATTGCTCCCATATCCTTCCCAAAACTACGCAAAAGACTTGTTCTGCTTACTGCTCCTAACCAATGTCTTACATCAACACCTCCTCTCTGTTTCCTCTATTCAATGCCCAGCTTCTCATTTCTCTCAAGGATTTTTACAATCTGTGTATCTCGCACAGGCTCCTCACATACCCATCTAGATTCTGGTTAGTCAGGACCTTTTTAAATGTGACTAACCTCAATAATAGTCCTCGAAAAAGTGCGTAAAATGTCAAAATGTATTTCACACAGAATCACTATTAACTGCATCAACTGCGTAGTTTTAGGTGAACACAGCAGACACCTAACTTTGCACACAGCAAAGTCCTACAAACAAAAGTGATACGTATGACCAATTTATGAAGTAAAATAATCTTTGTCTGGAGATTTGTTGGCCAGGACATCAGAAAAATCTCCCTTCTCTAAATGTACTACAGGATCTATACTGCCCAACTGAACGGGTAAATAGAATCCGGATGAATTGAACGTCTCATCCAAAGGACAATATCTCCAATAATTCAGTGCTCCCCAAGCTCTGCCAGTCTAGACTGTGAAGCCAATCCCTGACCTGGGGCTTGAATCCACAAACTTCAGAGATGAGAATGCTACCAACTGAGCTAGGCTGACACTCATGTTATTCAGAAATAAACAACCTGCTAACATCCACTGTTCACATCAAGCAGAGACTGGAAATTGGATTAGAAACAACAGCATTATCACCCCAGCGTCATCCTTCTTTAGATAACACTCACCTGCTGACCAGGAAATCCCGCTTGTCCTTGAAATCCCTGGAAAAGAATATTGGGAGATATTTTACACGGCAGGATCATTTTATTTTGGTCAGCCAAGTGTCTGACACATGCTGGAACCCATCACCACGCGTTGTGAGTATACAAACTTGACTGAGGGTTACACATATATACTCCATCTAGTCATGGAAACCTCCCCGTATCTGGAATGGAATTCACATTCACTCTCTGGAGGGACACATCCTGCTCATCTAATTCTAGACAGTATTAGACGCAAGTTGGCAAAAATCGTTAGGGTAACTGTTGGAGTTTAACCAGCCAAAACTATACAGCGTTGCATTGAGGGTGCTCTCTGCCAAGTTTCCTGCTGCTTGTTCAGATAGTACCAGCCTAGCCTTTAGGGCTTTGGTTTGTAGGGTTAACTGGAGCTAAGTGTGAATAACCCCTGCACCAGTGACTTGTCTATAAAAGAACAATGTGCCAATACATCACAGACCACAATTTTCACCCCCAAATCTGGAGGAAGGAATCTGGAGTGAGGATGGGCAGGATCACGAGTTTGCAGTGAGGTTGGGGAGGGAGGGGGTTAGGTCATGAACAGTTTTAATTACAAATCACAGAAGCACTAACCTGATCTCCCTTCTCCCCCTGAGAACCAGGCAGTCCACGGTCACCTTTGAGTCCCTGTCAAAGCAAGGGTATCACGTGAGAAGGCGTCAGTTTCAGCTGCTTGCATTTGTGTCTATGCAATAAAATCAGGTTATAACTTTCACTTTTGTCGTTATCCCTGTTCAGCTTTGAGGCAGAAATTTGATTGAATCAAAATAGAAAAATGTGGGGCCAGTTTGTGCCGTGTGTAAACCACGAGCATTATCCACCGTATGTATACAAGTGCCAAGAGGCAATCACATGTGCTCTCAATTATTTCATTAGCGTTCAATAAAGGATTGGGTTGTTACTCAACTCTAAGCCTAGGAAATCCTTTTCACGAGTAGTCATGAAGGCAGCTGTAGCCTGTATACACATGAAGGATAACTTCCATCTGGGTCTAGATTTACTCTATTGTCTTACAATTTCAGAGTCCAGATTTTGGCAAGTTTGGCAAATAGGCTTTCCCTTCAGTCCTCCCGGGAACTAGAACTCAGGCCCAGACCCACTCAATCCCTCCCAAAGAAAAAACAGTCATCCATAATCATCGGTACAGACACGATGGGCCAAATGGCCTCCTTCTGTGCTGTCTAATTCTATGATTCTAATTCTAGGTGAGCGTTATTGTGATGTCTTTATCTTGGGGAAGGAGCTCGAGTTTGGAACACTAACTTGCGACACTTATGTACAATCTCTTAAAAGCTGCCTGTCATCCCTTTTCTTTCTGTACTCAGCTTCCGCTCATTTTTTTTACTTCATGGAGTCTGATGCCTTCTGACCTCTAGACAAATGTTGCTCAATTTCCGCTTTTACTTGATAATCTTCGGACACCTGCCTGCAGCTCCCAGCTGTCCCAATCGGCTTGTGTTTGCAGTATACTCAGACTGGTGTGTACTCACCGCTGGTCCAGTTGGGCCCTGGGAACCAGGAGAACCAGGGGGTCCCTGCACACAAGAACAAGATAATAACAATCCTTGTGTTTGACATCACAATCTTACCACGTCACTGAAATGTCTCAAAGCGCTTCACAAAATTTACCTTAGAGCACAACTAATTTGCGACAGCAGTGCCGCACAGACAACAATGAATTGGGCAGCTAAATGTATTTGAATTCTAGAAGGAATTTCGATCGGGGAGGGAAGAAATGTAAACCACATAACACAACAACACAAAATTACATTTGTATAGCGCCTTTCACATCAGGAGGAAGTCCCAAGGCACTGGACAGTCAGAGTTTCGGACCGGAGCTGGGGGTCGGGATTGGGGAGGGTGAAGGCTGGTGGGGGGAAGCAGGGAGATCGAAAGCCTGGTCGAAGAGGAGGGTCTTGAGATGGAGGCAAAGGAGGGGCAAGGCAGAGGGACTGTGGGATGTAGTTCCAGAGGGTGGCGGCAGAATGGCAGAAGGCCCGCCCGCCAATGATGGGGCGGGCAAGGCAGGGGACGTAAAGCAGACCAGAGCCCGCTGAGTGGAGGGAGCAGGCAGGATGGTAGAAGGTTTAGGAGGTCGCAGAGATAGGGGGGAGCAAGATCATGGAGGGCTTTGAAGGTGAGGACCAGGATCTTGAACTGTATTCTCTGTGTGATGGGAAGCCAGTAGAGTTGGGCAAGGATGGGGATGATAGGGTCATGGAGCCTGGTGCGGGAAAGAGCACGGGCTGCGCAATTCTGGATGATCTGTAGGGTGGGAGTTGTTGGGGAGTCGACAAACAAGGAGTTTGTATAGTCAAGCCTTGATGTAATGAATGTTTGTATGAGGGTCTTGGCAGCCTGCAGTGTGAGATATTGGCAGAGCTGGGCAAAGCTACAGAAGTGGGGGAAGGCAGAGTGGGTCATGGCACAGATGTGGGGTAGAAAGGATAGTTGACAGTCAAACAAAATACAACAACAACAAGATTCCATTTATAGAGCGCCTTTCACGTCGGGAGGACATCCCAAAGCGCTGGACAGTTGGGTCAGGAAATGGCAAGGTTCTGGACTGGCTTAGCAGAGTGGAGTGTGCAACCATGGATGGTGATGCTGTCGGCGCCTGAGGCGAGGAGGCACTGACAGGAGCCAATCAGGAGAGCCTCGGTCTTGTTGCCGTTCAACTGAAGAAAGTTAGCTCTCATCCAGGACTTGATGTCTGACAGACATTATGTCAGGACAACAATGGTCCTGGAGTCAAGGGTGGAAGCAGAGAGGTACAGTTGGGTGTCATCCGCATACATGTGAGAGTTGACCCCATGTCTGCGGATAATGTAACCATGAAGGAGCGTATAGATATTGAAGAGGAGGGTACCAAGGACAGAGCCCTGAGGAACTCCGCACGAGATGATGTGGGGGCTGGAGGAGAAACCGTTTGTGGAGATGAAGTGGAGGTGGTGTGGGAGGTACGATCAGAGGAGGTACAAAGTACGAAGGAGCAGAGCTGGGAAGCAACGACTCGTTCCAGGACCTTGGAGAGGAAAGGGAGGTTGGAGATGGGGCAGTAGCTTGAGAGCAGAGATGGGTGCAGGGAGAACCTTTTAAGGATAGGAGTGATGACGGATGTTTTTAAGGGGACAGGGAGAGGTTTATGATGTCTGTGAGTAGAGGGGCAAGGAGGTGGAGCTGGGAGGTAAGGAAATAACCGAGAGGAAAAGAACAACTCCTTTCTCACCAAAGCTCCTGTTTGTCCACTTGGACCACTGACTCCACGCTCTCCCTTCATTCCCTGAAAACAAACGGGGGCAAGTGGTTAACAGGCGTCTCTCAATGACGCTTGGGGAGAGGTTAGAGCAAATGGTTTCATGTTAATGACCATTAGAACGTGCAATGGTTTGCCACAAGTATAATGTTTCAAGGTGAATTTAGCTAAATCTAGAGTTTTATTTTTGGCCAGTCAAATGTCTGACACATGCGCAAACCCATCGCCCATCACCGTGCTTAAGAGTATCCAAACCAAAATAAGAATTCCATGTATCCCACCTACACATGGATGTCCCAGAGAAAGATCCTGGTTCCTAATTCCGTAAAGTATTAGGCACAGTTTGGCAATAGCCAAAGCTTGGGGACTCCAGAGTGTGCGTTGGGGTAACTATTGGAGTCTAACGAGCTAACACCGCATAGCTTGCCATTGATATTGTTGTTCGGCAAGCTTTTCCGCTGTTTACCCAGCTAGGACCACCCCGCCCATTAGGGCTTTGGCTTGCAGGGTTAGCAGGAGCGGAGTGGGATGACTCCCTGCAGTGACTGGTCTGTCCTTCCAGGTCCTGCCAAAGAGCCAGCTGGCTGTGCTGGAAGAACGCAGCCCGGCCTGGCTCAGGAACTGGACTACCGAGACCCCCGCAGATGGCTGGCTCGATTCCGACATTCCATTGCCAGCATTTCACCTTCAGCTCCAAGGAGACCCTGCACCTTGCTTACCTCCCCTCCACACCCCCAACGAGGACAGTCACTAGTTGGTCATTTGATATTTGACAAATGTGGGTTTGGTACAAAGTACAGCTCCCTCTCCCCCAACACCCTCCCTTTCCCTCCCCCCCCACCACCAGATCAGGTGCAGCACACAGATCTAGAGTAATGCTTCGACATTGACTCAACCAGCTGCATATTCTCTAACTTCAGAAAAGTGCCACTACTACACTTGTTTGACGATTCCTATTCCCAATTCTGTAGCCGATCTGAGCGAGTGTAGGAACAAGGGTCAGACACCCAGGGAGGGTATGTGCACCGCAGTCAATAGCCTGTAAGAACAGACACTTCAACGCTCTCATCCAGACTTGATTCAGACCCGAGTCACAGAGGTAAAAAGGCTGAGGGTCCAGTGCGCTGAGATATCGCGGAGCTCACAGCATGTTTTGTCTTGGCAACACTCAACCCATCATCTTTCCTGACTCAGGCTATGACCTGATAAAGGTGTCAGTTTCGGAGTTGCTTTCCCCACCCGCCCGCACAGTGCGAGAATGAAACCTACCGGCATTCCTGGAGGCCCTCCGGATCCAGGGTACCCCGGGGAGCCTGGTTGGCCCTGAAGAGACAGAGAGACATGAATGCGTGTTTACTCTGAGCTGATGGAGGTTCAATTACTGAGGAAGTTTCAGTGTATCAGCTGTTGAAGTGAGAGCCCTGTCTCCTCATCTCCCTGACATAACCTGGCTTATGGCGATGCATGATAAGGTGCTACCATGTCATCTGCTTATCGTGTCTATTTTGTAATATTTCTTAACAGGATTCCTTGATAAAGAAATCATGGGAAACAAATGAGAATACAGAAGGATTCTGTTCATCCCTGCTCCGCCAGTATATTAGATTATGGCATATCTTCTACTTCCATTCCATTAAACAGGTAGGTTTTTTGATGACTTTGGAAGACAGATCAAAGTGGAATGTTTGCGGGAGGGAGTTCCAGAGATTGGGGCAGTAGGGGCTGAAGGCTTGACCGCCGATGTTGTGGGATATTGTGGTGGGGTGGTGGTGCAGAAAGTCACAGTTTCCTGATCAGACGATGGGAAGATCATAGAGGGGCAAGGGCGGGAGCATCCAGATTAGAAAAAGGAAGGGACAGAGAAGAGAGTCTCGAGGTACACCACAGGTGACTGCGCGAGTGCAAATGGAGAAATCATTGGAGGAAACAAAACCCATGTGATGGGGCAAGTTGGACTGAAATCAGGAAAGTCAATCCAATGGAGAAAGATGAGAGAGGAGAAGCAATTGAGGAGGATGGAGTGGTCAACAGTGTCAAAGACAGAGGACAAGGAGGGAACAAAGACCATCATTTGTGTCTTGGACAAGAACTTCCTCAGTTGTGGATTTGGGGAGGCAAATGTGTTGAAAGTTGAGGAGATGCAATTGTTCGGTTACTGGATTGCAGCATTCAAAAGGGAATTCAATACCATTTGTTGAACAAAAAAGAAATTTCTTTTTTATAATAATAATAACCTTTGTGTTTGATACAGCGCCTTATCACGTCGTTGAGACGTCTCAAAGTGCTTTACAGAATATACTGTAAAGTGAATTTACTGTGTATTTTTGTGGGGAAAACGAAGCAGCCAATTGTGCACAGCAATGTCCCACAAATGGTTGTGGATTGAGTAACCAAATTTTTGAAACATATAATAATTTATTGCATTGAAATGCCCGAAAAGCATCATAGTAATGAATATTTGTGCAGCCACTGTTTTTGAATGAGAAATGGAGAGATAGAGAGTATGATTGTTTATTGAGTTACTCTAAGATGGGCGGATGCACTGCTATGGTTTGTTCTGTTCTTACACAATATGACAATTAAAAAATTACATTTAGATAAAGTCTTTGATGTCGGGAGGACATCCCAAAGCGTTTGACATCACTGTCTGGGCAACTGAGCTGGGGATGGGAGCTGAGGGTGGTGTGAAGGAGAAAGTGACTGAATGAATGGTCAGAAAGGTAGGTTTTGAGACAGACGGACTTGCAAAGCACAACTGCTGACATGAACGAAGCACCCACTCACCTGCTCTCCTTTCTGCCCGGACAGCCCTGGTAACCCTCGCTCACCTTGAAGTCCCTGACACAGAAACACATTTAACAATCAAGCTCTTCTGAACTGACAGGAGATTCTTTTTTTATATCAGCCCAGTGTCTGACACAAGCAGAAACCCGTCACCATGCTTAAGAGTATCCAGACTGGACTGAGAGTTCCACGCTTACATATGGAAATTTCTGTGGTGTTTGGAATGCAATGTGCCCATTCTCCCCAGAGAAACGAACCCTGCTTATTTGGCAGAGGCTGTGAAGAGATGAAGCTTGGGGATCCTGAACATGTGTTGGGGTACTGCTGCTGTTTAACCAGCTAAACCAATTCCAAAATTTTGGATGTTATTCCAGATTAGTGAAAGCTCTTCTCAGTACCTGCTCAATGCCATTCCCAATAATTCCCAATTAAATCCTAATCATTTCTTACTGATCCACAATAACCATTAGGTAACACCAGACAGATCAGCTTACTATTGCTGGGCTGAATTCTTCCATTGCCCCCATCCCAGAACACGCCCTGCTCCACCCGCTGCTTCCACCATTCCCTTTAATCTGTCTGCCTCCTCCCATTTCCCCCCCGCCCATCTCCGGCCCCTTCCTATTGGAATAAATCAGAAGATTCCAGGGAGCATTCCCATCGCATACTTACAGGTAAAGCCGGGGGGCCTGGAGAGCCAGGAAAGCCAGGGGGACCCTGTGGGGAATCACATCCAATTAATGTCACATTTCAGCTCAGAGCCTGACAGGTAGCGCTCACTTTACACATAGTTTCAGAACAGAATTATTTGTACTAATTAAGGAGGGAAAGTCATGAGGAACCTGACTCTGGGAGACTGGGAAGCCTGGCCATTGCATAGTCACAGGCATCATTTGGCTCCAGAACACCTTTGACCCGAGCTGAGAGCGATAGGTGGTGACCAGCGATGACCTACATTTGGAGCTTCTGGTTTTAATGGCAGAGCCCGGGCACTGCCACTTGGCGGGAGAACACTCCATAAAAACTTCAGCTCCAATAATATTAACACAGTGGTTTGTTACACAGATAACACTGGGTTTACATTGCTCTACATAAAATCCCCTTGTGGGGGAACAGCTCTGTGCCATCACCAACCAGGTCCAGATGCACTCGAGCAGGACTCCTGCTTGGGCCAACGATGGGTTGGCGGGTCACCAATGCTGCCTGGACCACATTTTTTATGTAGATAGTTAAAGCCAATGTCGGGAGCTCAGTGATTTATTAAGAGAAATTAGAAAATGTGGCTTGTGATCACCCCTGGAGAAAGTCGTGACGTTTTTCATTACGCAGTGGGTAATCAACGACTGGAACGGGTTGTCAGCAAAAGCGGTAGCAGCTCGGACCTGGAACCCATTTAAAAAAAAACAGCTTGATGCTGTGATGGGGGTGATGGTAAGGTGGGTGTTCTGGAGGGATGAGATCAGATGGGTCAAAGGGCCTTCTTCATCTAAACCAAACTTTTGGTCTTGTGGAGCTGTACGACTGGTGACTGACTGGTGAATATCCCATTGAGTTTGTTCAAGTGATGTTGCCCAGAGCCACTTAGAGAAGCACTGTGCTGGCTGGCGTGGACTTGATTCAGCCTTCACGCCATCCGTCTTCAGCGCTGGCTTCGCTCACTCGTTGAGAACTAAACATCATGTTCCCTGTTCGCACCCCATATTCTCAATCAGTGGCTGTTCCAATCCGGTCCGACACTTACCGGGGGTCCAGGGGAGCCAATATATCCTCGGAGACCTGGGGGGCCCTGCGAGGAAAGAAACGACACGTTTATTACGCCTCCAATGTCGAAATGTCTGAAAGCACTTTATAGTAATGATAGTAATTATTGTCAAAGTTTTTTTTAAAAAAAAGGCAAATGTGGCAAACAGCAAGGTCCCAATGCCAGCATGAGGTGACCATACGGCTAATTAGGCGAAATGTCAGCCTGGGAGGTACTCCATTCTCTCCCAACTGTCTCACAGGAACTTTAACATCACAAAATACACAGTCAATTCACTTTACAATATTCTGTGAAGCGCTTTGAGACGTCTCAACGATGTGATAAGGCGCTATGTCAAATGCACGGACTATTGTTATCAATGAATAGACAATCTAGAATAATATAATAATAATAATCCTTGCATTTGATACAGAGCTTTTCATGTTTTCCAGACGTCTCAAAGAGCTTCAAAGAATATACTGTAAAGTAAATTGACTGTGTATTTGTGGGCCAAACGTGGCAGCCAATTGCGCACAGCAGCATCCCACTAACCGTTGTAGATTGAAGTGACCAATTCATTATTTTTTTTTCTTCAGGGATTATTATCAGGTCCGGGAATCGAATCCATGTCTCTTGCTTGTGAGGCGAGTGCTTTAACCACTGAACTGCAGGACTCCACTGTGATTTACATCTCATTTCACACAAAGGATAGCATGTTTAACGGTGGAGAGTTGCCAATTCTACACTAAACTGCCCGACTAGAATATAAGCTCCAGATCAGATATGAGGCTTGAACCCACGACCTTCGGATCCAGAAACGAGAGAGTGACTGACTGAGGCAGGCTGTCAGTCATTTTGTGTTTATGATCGAGGGAGGGAGGGACAGCCCGCGAGGGAGGGAGAGAGAGACACGAGTTCCTCCACATTAACTCCTGTATCCTCACTTGCTCGCCTTTGACTCCATCATGACCCGGGAGTCCAGGCATCCCAGGAGCCCCAGGCTGCGCACAGTCACGGCCATTTTCCTGCAGAGAGAAAATAAAACATTTGGTTGAAGTTTGTGACAATCAATAACCGTCAGCAGTTGCTGTGTTGGATGCAGCACTGGGATTGGGTTGAGACGCTGTCCTGCTCCCAGTCCAGCTCTGTGACTGTGGATTGAGCTTTAATTGCCTGATGCTGTGTACGTACCCTCTGTTCCTGTGTACGCGGCAGCCCTCTCTGCTCCAGTTTGCACTGAGGAGAAATGGAAGGGAACCAGTTATACTAACAATAATCCTTGGATTGGATATAATACATCTAATGTCAAAACATCCCTCAGAGCTTCAGTCACCTGTCAAAGCTAATCCAGTAGAAGAATGTTTACCTGAACCTCACTTTAGCAGGATCATACTCCCCCCCCCCCGGACTATGAGTCTCAAATCTCATCCTGGGGCTTAAACCTACAGCCTTCTGACCCAGAAGATTATCACCTCCCGAATTGACTTCTCAAATGGCCTGTTGGTCTCCCCAGCTCCACAATGAACTGATCCAAAACTCTGCCGCCCACATACTCATCTGCACTAAACTGTGTACCCCCATCACACAAGTTCTAGCCGGGCTCCGCTGGCTCCCTATCGCTGATCGGATCGATTTTAAGATCCTCACACTCGTTCTCAAATCCCTTCATGCCCTGGCACCTCCTTATGTCTCCGACCTGCTCACCCCCCAATGCACAGCCTCTGCTCGACTGGCTCCGGCCTCCTGCTTGTCCCTCGTGCCCTCTGTTCCACTATTGGTGGCCGCGCTCTCACCCAGTACACCCCGAAACTCTGGAACACTCTTCATCTATCCCTCCGTCTGGCCTCTTCCTTCCTCATCTTCAGGTCGTGCCTGAAGACCTTCCTATTCGGCCGTGCCTACGGTCACCTACCCCCAGCCCCACCCCCTGGCCGGTCGTCGTGCTCCACCACTGTTAAGCGCTCTGGGACGCTTCCCTGTGTGAGGGGCGCTATATAAATGCAAGTTGCTGTTGTGAAACTGCTACTGACTGAATCAACACCATCAACATTGTTGTTGTGTTTGTTGATGTTGACACCCACTGTCCTGCATCGTGGATCCTTCCTACTGTCACTGCAGAAATAAATACATTACGAGGTGAGGACAAACAGGAAACCCGAGGCCAGGGGTTCTGAGGCTGAGGTGGGAGCGGGCTGAGGTGTGCAGGAGACCAGGACCTGGGAGTATGGCAGGGCCAAGTGTGGGGTATAGATGAATGCAGAGAATGAGGGCTGCTGGAACAAGGGTGAGAGAAAGGTGGGTAGAGCGATGGGGTGGGGGGGGTGCAGTATGGGGGTGGGGAAGGATGGACAGTGTGATGAGGAGTGCGGACAGATTCACTTCTATAGGATTTGTCAGTACAGTGGCCTCCTGTGCCTGTAGGAGGTATTTGTTTAGTCCCACCCTCCCTCCTTTCCACCCCAAAATCTTCCGCATTTATCCTTTTATCTAATTCCCTTTAAAAGCTACAATGTATTTTGCTCCAACTGCAGTTCTCGGTCGGGCATTCAGTGTCCTAAAAATAAGCCTCAAAGTAAAACAACTTTCTGCACTCCTCTTCTCCCTGTGTGTTTTTAGTGAAGTTATCAAAATTAAGTCCTAATTAGCGGTGACATCGCACTGACCTTCTCACAATGATCGACACCAGCTGCTCCTGGGATGCCATGTTCTACCTTCTCCACTTTGACCCCCGACACTCCCTGGGCCCCAGGCTGCCCGAAGGTGCAGTTTCCACATATATTCTGCAGAGAGGCAGACAGGGAGAGAGTGGTTAAATGTGACTCCATTCCTCAGTCCCATGGCCTTGCTCCCTCACTTGCCTCCTTCAAGGCAGGTCTCAAGACTCTCTCCTTCGACCGTGCCTTTGGCCTTCCTCCTACCCATACTCTTCCTCGCTCCTGATCCCCAACCCCCTGCTCAGGTCCAAATCCTAGACCGTCCAGCGCCTTGGGACAACCTGCCAACGTGAGAGGCGCAACACAAATTTAATTTGTTGTGTGTGTGTGTGAATGAGAGACAGAGCGAGTGCGTGAGAGAGTGGGGCAGAGTCTGTGAGAGGGAATGAAAGATACATTGTGAGAGACAGAAAGAGTCTATTGGGAGAGACAGAATGTGTGTGAAAGAGAAAAAGGAAAGAAAGCAGTTTACAGCAAAGTGTATATTATAAATAATAATAAACTTAAATTTGATACATCGCCTTTCACATCAAGAGGATGTGTCAAAGCACTTCACAAAATTTACTGTCAAGTGAATAATAATAATAATCCTTGCATTTGATATAGTGCCTTATCACGTTTTCTCAACGTCTCAAAGCACTTCACAGAATATACTGTAAAGTGAATTGACTGTATATTTGTGGGCGAAACGCGGCAGCCAATTGCGCACAGCAATGTCCCCACAAACAGTCGTGGATTGAAGTAATATACAGGAATCAGGTGTTTGAACCGACTCATATCTTCAAGCAAGCATATATCCAAACTAAGGCAAATATTTAATTAAACATATTACATTCAGAATGATTCCTTATAATAATACTTGCATTTGATATGGCGACGTCTCAAAGCGCTTCACAGAACATATTGTAAAGTTGATTCACTGTACATTTTGTGAATGAAACTCAGCAGCCGATTGCGCACAATTGTGACCCACAAACAGTCGTGGATTGAGTGACAACATTATTATGTTTTTGAAGGATTTATTACTCCCCAGAAAAGCGATCCGCCAAATGACTAACAACCAAGTTCCTGTTAATAATAATAAACATTAACGATGCTTATTACTGTTTTGGGCAAAACTTTCACTATCAGGTTTGTAGCTGTGTATGTTACCAAGGGTACTAGACTATAAATTCCCTTTATTTCATCTTTGTGGTAAACAAATCCTTGTCTTAATGTGAACAGGTGTCCAATGCTGAATCTGTATATTAAAACATACAAAAAAGTACAGAGAAAGGGGCAACTGCTTTGCGCACAGCAAGGTCCCGCAAACGGCCATTAAGTTTTATCTTTATCGTATTATTCCGCAGACACATTTTAGCTATGGGTATTGTTGGCAAGATCACCTCGTGCAGGGTAAAACGCAGTGTGTTATCAATACTGTGGTAATATGCAAAGTGTTTTAAAATTATGAGGGTTCACTGCAGTCTGTGTTATTAATGCTCAGTTACCGCACGCAGCTTACACAGAACTGAATGTAGCAACTGTTGTGAAGGAGCAATGAGAGGGAAAATATAATGTTGGGCAATATTGTGAGCTCCCATTGACTTCAGGTATATTACTATTATTATTCTATAACTATTATATTATTATTAGGTGGTGTGGGTTACTATTGGCCTTAGGACTACTGTTGAGGTCTGGGCAGAGGGACAGCTCTCTGGACCAGGTGATCGAGGTGATTAGCGGATAAACAGCATGTCAGGAAATCAGGAGGCAGGAGTTTTTCACCCAAAGGGCAGTGGTAATCTGGAACTCTCTCCCCCAAACGGTTGTGGCTGGTGGATCCATACATATTTTCAAGACTGAGGTGGACAGATATTTGTTAGGTCTGGGTATCAAGGGATATGGGGCAAAGGCGGGTAGTTGAGGGACAGATCAGCCTTAATCTTATAGAATGGCAGAACAGGCTCGAGGGGCTGAATGGCCTACTCCTGTTCCTATGTTTCTGGAAGAGAGTGAGGTCTCGCACGTTTAAAGGATTCTCACCTTGAGCAGGGTGTGGTTTCGCTCAGCGACCAGTGACAGCGGCGGCTACAGCACAGAGCAGAGACAGAAAACACAGCTGAAAATATAGCAATATAGCAACCAAGACACATTCCAGCTTCTCCGCTTTATTGCTGGGAGACATCCGTGAGCTGCTTTTCAAATGCAGCCGAACCTATTGTCTGTGAAATCCACCAGAGATCTTCACACGTGATTGTATTGCGTCCATTCCCCTCAACTTCTCTCCTCTCCCCGCACATATACAACCTCTTGGCCCCACCACTAAAACCTCCCTCCAGGCCTCCAATTACCACTGCAGTTTGAGACTCAAGGACTAGACAGCTCTCTGCTCACTGCCCAGTGCTGTGAGCAGTGTCCATGGGTCTCATCTGTGATTCTCTCTCCCTCCCCTGATGGGGGGACGGCAGAGAATTCAGTCTTTCTCCAAAGATCAGGAACTTGTTGTGAAGAGAAACGTGGGGCTGGAGTGGGGTGGTGGTGGGGGGGGGAAGGTTCATGGTGTGATCACCTCCTAGAGAGGCTGTAGGGACTGATTAATAGCGACTGTGCAATAGGCTGTCATGCTTTCAGTTAGCCTACGCCATCCACGCCTCTCTAGGTAACTCTCTGACCTCCTCCTAACTCCAAACTTAAATTAGTTTTTCGCCCAAAGAGCAGTGGAAATCTGGAACTCTCTCCCCCAAAAGGCTGTGGATGCTGGATCCATTCACATCTTCAAGACTGAGACGGACAGCTTTTTGTCAGGTCAGGGTATTAAGGGATATAGGGAAAGGCAGGCATTTGGACTTGAGGTACAGATCAGCCATGATCTTACAAAATGTCCGAACAGGCTTGAGGGGCTGGATACTCTATGTAACACCACATAGCTTAGTGATATACTCACCATCTCTCCGGGCAGGCCTGGTGTACCGGGCAATCCATCATCACCTGCGACTCCCTGAAAAACAGAGGCCGGGTTAGAGGGTCGTGGCCCAGGCCAGGGAGTGCTGGAACCAGGTGTGTTACGAAGGGCAGGACCAGATGTTATATCTGAGAGTGCTACAAAGAAGGTCAATCCAGAGCTCAGATTAGTGACGGAGACAATCAGTATCATGCTATCTGTACATTTCTTCATTTTCAGTGTTTCATCACCAAATTTGCAGATTGTGAGATTATTTGGGGACCAGTTTTCACTGATATTTGTGACAAATTCAGGGGGGGGGGGGAACAAGGATTCTTCCCACTCAGTTCTTGTTAAACCTGTAAGCCAAAGCCTGAACAGGTAATGAGGTACAGTTCTGGCTTCTACCATTGACTGTCTAGTTTCCTGTACATAGTGGACAAGTCAGGAGGTCTCACTAGTGTCAACAGTGTCCTTGGTAACCATTGGAAACTCTTGCAAGATCGCGCTGATGGCTGATCAACTTCCTGCTGAGTGACGTCAATTGTGACCTGATGAGTTGGAAGCACTGAGCAGCGTCCATTTTTATAAGACAACTCATTATAAGACGGGTACTGAATATTGAACCTAAACTAACCCCATTGTAACAGGATCTGACTGTAGATGGAAATATCCAGAGAAGCTTGCTATCAAAGAGTTAATACAGAACTGGCCCTCTCCTCCACCAATTTTCAGTGAGGAAATATAGCTTGTTACCCCGTGTTTAAGTGCTCCAAAACGCCGTCCGGTATGAAGGGTGCTATATAAATGCGAGTTGTTGCAAGTGTTTACAGAATTTAAAGGAAAACTGAAAATTTCCTGGAAACATTTGCTAAAGTAATGTAAACTCTGGAAATGAAGAAACTGTGTATTATCGGGTGTTAGAGAGGGAGACAGGGCAATGTAGACCAGACGTGGTTTACTGCCCCTCCCTTGGTGACATGCACTCTTTGCATCTCTCTCTCTCTGTGTGTCGGTATCTCTGTAAAATTCGCTCTGGATTTTCGTGTGAAACTGGAGGTAACATCCCGCCGGCCAGGAACGTCATCGGAGGTCCAGTGTATGCAGGAGCCCAGCCAGCGGGAATGTGCACCTGTCTCAGATTTACTGCGTTCTGTAAATATCTGATGGCAACCTAGGGCCTGAAATGCAAAGCTCGCCGTGCGTTGTAGGGTTGGCTACCCTGACTGGACAGGTACCTGTGTGTTCAGTCTTCTTTCTGTATTGAGAAACTGTATGAGAAACAACAAGGAAACTATTAATGATACCAGTCAAGGTGTGTTCCACCACACAGTGCAAGTGTGTTTGGGTGAGAATACCTTTGTTATAGTGTTACAGAACATCAGTGTTACAGTGAGCGGTATATCAGTGATATAGTGAAGAGTACGTGTTATGTCAGTATTACAGTGAGGGTTGGGTCAGTGTCACACTAGTTCTAGCCAGGTGCCACTGGCTCCCTATTGCTGAATGGATCAATTTCAAAATCCTCACACTCGTTTTCAAATCCCTTCATGCCCTGGCACCTCTATACCTCTCCGACCTGCTTACCCCCCCAACCCACTACCTCTGTTCGACTGGCTCTGGCCTCCTGCACGTCCCTCGTGCCCTCCGTTCCACCATTGGTGGCCGTGCTTTCAGCCACTACGCCCCGAAACTCTGAAACACTCTTCCTCTATCCCTCTGCCTTACCCCTTCCTTCCCCAACTTCAGGTCGCGCCTGAGGACCTTCCTATTCAACTGTGCCTTCAGTCACCCCCGGCTCAGCATCATGCTCCACCACTCTCAAGTGCTCTGGAATGTTACCATGCGTGAGGGGCGCTATGTAAATGCAAGTTGTTGTTGTTACAGTGAGGGGTGTGTCATTGTTACAGTGAGGGGTGTGTCAGTGTCTTGTGAAGTGGGTAACCGGTTAACAGCCCTTATTCCCCTGAACACGGGTTAGACTGAGACCTGTTTAAAGTTTCTCACCTGAAGGCCTGGGATGCCAGGCAATCCCGGGGGCCCAGGGGGACCTGGAGGACCAGGGGGTCCCAGCGGTAACTGAAAAAAATAAATCAAAGGGGTCATAAACACATTAAAGTATCAAAGTTAACGCTAATATCCTCTTTGAGCGCGTGTAGTGGGTGCGTGGTGACGTGAGTCGCGGTAGTGTGGACTCTCTGGGAATCACCTGTTGACTGTTTGGTCGCTTTGTGTGTGATCCTCGGTCTCCGGGTGCCCCTGGCTGACCACGGTTCAGGAGATAAAGAAGATGATTAGTCCAGGATTCTCTGCTGCGAGCCTATCACCCTCATCCATTAATACACCATGGAACCACGTTAATGCACGTTTCGCCCAAAAAACACACACAGTCACTACACTTTACAGTATATCCTGTGACGACGTGACAAAGCACTATATCAAATGCAATGATTATTATTATTATGGACCAGTGTGGAGTTCAACATTCTTGATCAACTCACCTTTCGTTCTTGTCCGTGCTCTTCGCCATTCCTATCTTTGTGACCTCCTTCAACCCTACCGACCTGGCCACTCCCTTCACTGAGCTTGCTTCATGCCCCCACCGCCACCCTCTCCGTCCACCATCAGCAGTCGGGCTTCTCAGCCTTTCTGTCCCTGCTCTCTGCACCTCTCTGACTTGCTCTTTCCCCTCTTACTTGGCACATCTCAAAGCTTATCTCTCTGACAGCACTTTTGGTTATCTTTTAACTCCCCACCCGATTCCCACCCCAAGCTTAGGTGCCCGTCCAGCATGGTGATTGTCCTCCTGACAGGCACTACATAAATATAAACTGTATTGTAATGCAATAATAATATAATAATAATCCTTGCATTTGATATAGTGCCTTATCATGTCTTCAAGACACCTCAAAGAACGTTGACACTCAATTGCACCTCTCACACCCTATATAGTGTGTGTATAGTGACTGAGACCCATGGGTCAGACATACGTTGTATATTGTGAGATACCCAGGAGTCTGTCTCAAGGGGATATTATGATATTGCATGTTATTGCATCCATAATGTCAAAATGGCTCAAGGCAAGGTGACATCAAAATATGCTCAGCCCAATGCCCTGGTCCGCATGTCACAGATGTGTATACTTACAGAGGCTCCGGGATACCCTATGTCTCCTGGTTGGCTCGGTGTTGCTGGCTCAATGTGGCGTCCATGTAAACATGCACAAGACTCGCCACGTTCTCCCTACACAGCATAGGGATCAATAGAGACATTCAGCAGTATATCAATTCTCATTACGCAGCACAAGAGCGCTAATAAGAACATAAGAATTAGGAGCAGGAGTAGGCCATTCGGCCCCTCGAGCCTGCCCCGTCATTCAATAAGATCATGGCTGATCTATTCTAACTCCACCTACCTGCCTTATCCCCATATCCCTCAATCCCTTTATCCACAAGAAATCTATCAGTCTCAGTCTTGAATATGTTCAAGGACTCAGCATCTACAGCCATTTGGGGTAGAGAATTCCATAAATTCACTACCCTCTGAGTGAAGAAGTTTTTCCTCAACTCAGTGCAAAAAGGCTTTCCCCTAATTTTAAGACTGTGAACCCTGGTCATAGTTTCTCTAACCAGGGGATAAAGTCTCCCACTATCTATTCTGTCATTCCCCTTAATAATCTTATAGGTTTCTATAAGATCACCTCTCATTCTTCTATATTCTAGAGAATATAGGCCTAAATTGCTCAACCTATCCTCATAACTCATCCCCCTCATCCCTGGTACCAACCTAGTGAATCTACGCTGCACCCCCTCCAAGGCGAGTACATCCTTTCTTAAATAAGGAGACCAAAACTGCACACAATACTCTAGGTGCGGTCTCACCAGGGCCCTATACAGTTGCAGAAAGACTTCCCTACTCTTATATTCTAACCCTTTTGTAACAAATGCCAACATACCATTAACCTTCCTAATTGCTTGCTGTACCTGCAAACTAACTTTTTGTGACTGGTGTACAAGGACACCCAAGTCCCTCTGAACGCTAACACTATCTAGTTTCTCCCCTTCTAAAAAATAATCTGCTCTACTGTTTCTGCCACCTCGGTGGATGACCTCACACTTCCCTACATTATACTTCATCTGCCACCTATTTGCCCACTCCCCTAACCTATCTATATCTCGTTGCATTTTCTTAATGTCATCCTCGGTGTTTACTCTCCCTAGTTTAGTGTCATCCGCGAATTTGGATACATTATGTTCAATGTCCTCATCTTGATCGTTGATGTAGATTGTAAATAGCTGAGGTCCAAGCACTGATCCTTGTGGCACTCCACTAGTCACAACCCGCCAATCTGAGAAGGACCCATTTATCCCTACTCTGTTTTTTTCCCGTTAGCCATTCTTCAATCCATGCTAATATATTCCCCTTAATTCCATGGGCCCTAATCTTGTGGATCAACCTTTTATGTGGCACCTTATCGAATGCCTTTTGGAAATCTAAATACACTACATCCACTGATTCCCCCTATCTAATCTACTTGATATGTCCTCAAAAAAATCTAAAAGATTTTTTTTAAGCATGACTTTCCTTTTGTAAAGCCATGTTGACTCTGTCTAATCATATTGTGATCCTCTGAGTATCCCAGTATGACATCCTTAATTAAGGATTCTGTGAGAGCTAGATCAACATTACAGTGAAAGATGTGGGTATATCACTGTGTTACAGTTATGGGTATGACACAGTGTTATCAAATTCAACAAGGCAAACTAGATGCTGGGTTTATTATAAGAGACCGAGAATATAAAGTATGGCAATGCTGTTTCAGTTTGGGTGGTTGGGTGGTTTGGGGAACCCAATTGTAGGAAGGGTCCAGTGACAGTTCCTTACACTAATACCTGGCTGACAGGACTTCCTTATACTGAGAGGGATCACAAGAACATAATAATAATTGGATGAAAGAAAACCAAGGTCCTTCCAGTTTGCCTTCCACCATCCTGGCAGTCACATGCACATGTCATGTCCCAAACTATATACTGTATCCGAAGATGTTATTTCCTAAAACAATTCTATCCAATTTGCTATGGTTTTGATCAATCTCAATAGCAGATTTAGTTTGCAAAAGCTTGGTTACTGGATCACTGTTGACAATCCTGATGACATTACTCTCCTTCGTACATCAACTTCTCCAGTCTTACCTTCTCGCCTTTTCCTCCTTTTCCTCCCTAAAATATAGAAAATACAAATGGTTACTTTTCACAAGATAGGGACAGATATCCAGAACTAATTCCTATCAGAGGAGTAGCAAGGGATCATGTAATGTGATGGGAGTCAGTGACTAATCCGTAACATTGCCTCCGCCACTATCTCTCCCCTCAGGCTGCCAGACTCTAATCCACACATTCATCACATCCAGGCTAGATTACTCCAACTCGCCGATCGCTGGACTTCTTCCCTTCACAAGCTGCAGACTATCCAAAACTCAGCATTCGTTAAGCTCCGTGAGCCTATCACTCCCATCCTCTCCCAGCTCCACTGGCTCCCCGTTACCCCAACAGATCAAGTTCAAGATCCTCATTCTAACCTTTAAAATCCTTCCATGGTCTTATCCCACCCTACCTCTCAAACACGGCCATCCCCTCCGCTCAGCAGGCAACGAACGGCCAGCTTTACGTCCGCCGCCCCACCCACCCCAACACTGGAGGTCAGGCTTTCAGCATATCTGCCCCAACCCTGGAACTCCATCCTAGAGTCCCTTCACTTCGCTCCTTCCTTCACCTGCTCCACAGTCCACCTCAAGACCTTCCTCTGAGGTACAACCTTGATTGTACTTTCAGTCATCTTAATCCCCATCGGCTTGGCCCCCCATCCCCCTTGGCCTGCAGCTGAAAGATACTAAATCAATGTAAATTTGTGTTGTATCCCAGTTTCACTCATTGAATGACATTCTACTGCATAAACTAACAGTGAATATGGAATCGGCAACTAATAAGTTAAGGAATACTTACAGGGAAACCTCTTTTACCCAGTAACCCTGGATCGCCAGACTGGCCATCTTTTCCCTAGTGAAAATCAACAGGAGAGTTGATAGTTAACTGGAGGACAGGTACAGAGTTTAGATGCACAAAAAAAAGGCTAAAAGGGTGAAAACACAATGACGTCTCTGAGGTCAGTCTCACTGGTTTTCGATGCACTGAAGCCTTTTTTTTTAACAGCACTTGCAATGGAATGAGGAGCATTGCAGGAAAGAGATATCTGTTTTTGTGTGTGTGTGTGTGTGTGTATGTGGGGGGGGGGAAGAGAGAGGGGGAGTCTGCGGGTGTCTGACTCATGCGGGAACCCATCATCATGCTGAAGAGTATCCCAACCAAATTGAGAAATCATGCATCCCAACTACACATAGAAATCCCAGAGATAGATTGTTGGAATGGAATGCCCTCTCTCTCCCTGAAGGGATGCTTCCTGCTTACCTAATTCTGGAAAGTATCAGGCACAGGTTGGCAAATAAAAATACAGTGGAAAGAAAAATCAAGGGCACTTACCCTGATACCAGGGATTCCTACTCCAGGTGCCCCGGGATGCCCTGGCAGGCCGTGTTCTCCAGCTTGTCCCTATGTATGTACAAAATGAAGTAAGTTAACTCATCCTCAAAGCATTGCTGTCTGACACATATGAGGATCGATCATCACACTTAACAGTATACACAGATAAACGGCCTTGTGAACAGGGATATANTTTTTATTATGCATAAAACTGGGCTTAATATTCCAGGAGCTGAACTAATACCTTATGGAAATGTGCCATTATCTTCTTGGCTCTCGTACAGAATCTGGAATTACGTCTTTTTTTTTAATGGGTTTGTTTATTTGCTTATTTGCTGGCTTATCTTTAATGCCCCGTGCACCTGTGATCCTCACTCTCTCTGCTCCTCCACTTCATATAGAAATATAACATTGATGAAAAATTTATTTCCTATAGCTTTCCTCTCTCTTTTGCATTTTTTCCACATTGTACTCTGCCTGCCCTCTCTGCTGGCTTGTCCATGGCCTCCATAGGGCAATGCGCACCTCAGCTCATGAGCTGCTGAGGTAATAAACAGTTCAGTTGATAATGACAGCTCAGAAATGACGGATGAACACTCGATGTCTCGCTTTCTCTTTTAGACACTTACTTTGTTGCCTTTCAGCCCCCGCGTTCCAGGATCACCTGGAACTCCCGCAATGCCCTGGAGACAAGTACAACAGCAATGTCTGAGGCTGCGCAAAATAACAAGCCAACTCGCTGCTCTCTCTCTCTCGCTCTCCCTCCCGCCACACATTCCCGCGACCGTCACAAAATTCAACTAAACTCTGCGACTTACGTTATTTCCTTCGTTGAGAATATATTTTGTGTGTACACACACATAATTCAGATTTGCAAAGTGCTTCGGGCACATATTTTAATTGAAAGCTGCTCTATAAATGCAAGTTATTATTAAAGGTAAGCGGTTCCTGTCTTAAACAGGTATGAGAAGGTTGGTTCCTAAATGGGTTCTGGAGACAGTGCAGTTGCTTTGTGCCCTATAAGGCATGAAAGGAACAACATGAATCCCAAGACTGGGGATGTCCCAAATGCTGTAACAAATGTTACAAACAAAGCTTTGGGACTTGATGTCATTTTACAATCTGAAAATGTTTGGGACTTGTTTACATTTCGATTCTTACTGGGACCAAAGGAGACATCAAAACGGAATCTTTCAACATTACGAGTGAGTGGTTTGGCCCATTCGTTTGTGGTCAAAGGACTCCTTTGGGGTCCACAACATTTTCACAAAAACCCAGCTCCAGCTACGAGAATTTTTGAATTTTTCAAATCTGTTTGGACATTTCATTAATAGTGACTAATAGTGGGAATCACTAAGAAAGTCAACATGTAATGACTGATTTGCAGAGTGTCAGGCATGATGTATTGTGACACCTTGATGCAGTGCTGGGGATATATATGTTCCATTGTCAAGTAATCCCCAAGTTCTATCAATCCTCACTTAAATCCACCGATTCACTGTTAATGGATCCTGTTTCATCACTTTTCTGATTTATTGTTTCTCTGTTGGGTTTTACTTACAGCTGCTCCTTTGGGTCCCACTGAACCATCCTTTCCCTGGAAATGAGTAAAAAAAAATTTCAATACAAATAGTTATTTATATCCTCTATACATTCTTGGATAAGTTTCTGAGTCACTGCAAAACCATGACTGGGCAGGGCTAACTGTGGTTTTTGTGCACTTCCAGCTAAGATACTGAAGGAGATTGAGAAAGTAAACCCAGACTGTCATGCTGGAAGGATAAGATATATAGACTGAAGGGCCTTCTTCATCCAAACCTTTCTGGCCATCATTTAGGACTCATTAAAGCTTCTTATCAGGACCCTCTGATTGTTTTCGGAGGCGAAAATTTGCCCCTTCTGCAGTCTCCATCTCCTCCATCTCACTGCACCTCGTGTACAGTTATTAACCACATCCCGTGAATCTCAGTACAAATCCATACTTTCCCCTAAGCTGTGGTGTTTGTATCAGGGACAGGAGTGTCTTCACTCACCCGGGGACCTGGATGTCCTTCTCCCGAGGTTCCCTGAAGGCCCTGTCGAACACACAGCACATTAACTTCCATTCAGTGCCCGAGACCAATGTACTGCTGATGTTACCACCACGAGCACTTACCTTCTCGCCCTTGGTACCTGGTAAACCTGGAATTCCTGACTTTCCTGGGAGACCCTAAAACAATTCAAATTTCACAAAGTGAGTAAAGAATCCATTCCTGAAAACAGCCTATTTGTGCTCTGGTTTTACATCTTAGTCTCTCTGTGCCAGGCTTCATTCCTATCCTGTGACCCCTCCTGGCCCTCAGTGTGTCTACCTTTCCCCTCAAGGGTATACCATCATCCCTTATTTGGCTCCCTGCATGTATCTCTTAATATGCCCGTCTACATCTTGTAATGTAATGTGTTTCTGTGTTTTACAGCTACAAGAACAATTTGCATTTATATAGCAGTCTTCCCAGGCCTAGTGTCTAAGAGTGCTGGGATTGACTGTGGCAGGGAGTTCCAGAGATTAGGGGAGTGATGACTTAAGACACGGCCACCAATGCTGTTGCACACGGACGTGGGAACACACAGCAGTAAAGGGCATTTGTGTGGGGTACAAGCAGGCCAGAGAGGTAGGGAGATGCAAGGGCTTGAAGGGAGCTGCAGCTAAGGGTGAGGACCTTGAAATAGATCCTTTCGGAGACGCGGAGTTAGTGGAACCTCACAAGGATTGAGGTGCAGCGTTTTCTATGAGCGAAGTTTTGTACGAGTTGGACCTTGTGGATGGTGGGACTGGGAAGACCTGCGATGAGGGTGTTTCAGAAATCGAAGTGGGATGTCACAACGGCATGCATGGATTTTAGTACCTAGGGTGAGCTTAGCCCAGTTGCCGAGTTACATAGGAACAGGAGTTAATGGAATATGCCATCCTGCCAGAACAATGACTGTGGGACTGACCTGCTTACTCCCCAGCCCACAACTCTCGCCTCCGCTCATCTGGCTCCAGCCTGCTGCTTGTCCCTCGTGCCCTCCATTCCACCATTGCTGGCCGCGCTTTCAGCCACTACGCCCTGAATCTCTGGAACACTCTCCCTTTGCCCTTGCCCCCTCCTTCTCCATCTTCAGGTCGCGCCTGAAGACCTTCTTCTTCGATTGTGCTTATGGTCACCTCCCTTTCGTGCTCAGTCACTGTCAAGCGCTCTGGGACTCTAACCCGCGTGAGCTGTTGTTGCTGTTGTTGTTGAGCCACCGTTTTGAGAATGAGAATGAGAATGACCGTGCCTTCAGCTCCCCTCTCGACTCTCTTCCCCCTCCTCGCTCCCTCCCTTCCCTCCCCTCACCCTGACCATTTCCCCCCTCCTCGCTCCCTCCCTTCCCTCACCCTGACCATTTCCCCCCTGCTCGGGTCATGACCCAACTGTGCAGCGCCTTGGGACGTCCTCCTGACGTGAAAGGCGCTTTATAAATGGAATCTTGTTGTTGTTGAGAAACTCACATGTTTGCCAGGCTCTCCGATGCCAGGATGCCCCGGATCACCCTGAGGTCCTGGTCTGCCGGGAAGTCCGATAACACCCGCAAAATTTTCCGGAATGGTGGGGCAGATCTCACATTGATCTCCCTTTACAGCACAGGGTGAAATAAATACCACAGGTCAGAGAGCGACAGTAGGGAGTTGACAACAAATGTACGAAACAAAGAGAGGCTGGCTAAGATTAATGCTTTTCCTAGTGAGAGCTCAGGAGATTGCGAAAGGACGTGATGGAGGTCTTTAAGATCGTGAAGGAGTGTGACAGTGTAGATAGCAGAAATCTTCCTTTAATTAGGGAATCAGTGACAAGGGGATTGTTAGTAAAAGAGGTTATAAAAGGTCTCTCAATCCTTTGGAATTATAATAATAATCCTTGCATTTAATATATCGTCTTATCACATCTTCAAGACGTCTCAAAGTGCTTCACAGAATAGACTGTAAAATTAATTGACTGTGTATTTTGTGGGTGAAACGCAATAGCCAATTGTGTACAGCAGTGTCCCACAAACAGTAGTGGATTGAGTGACCAAATTATTATTGTTTTAAAAAAAACGTTTTGAAGGGATTATTACCCCCGGAAAAGCGATCCGTCATTCGACTAACCACTGGGTTCTTACTTACTGTAAGGTAAACAGAGGAGTGTGGAGTAAGGAAACTTGCCTAACATTTCGCCCTTTCTGGGAACTGAAACCAGGTCCTCTTGGTTGTGAGGCAAGTGCTCTAACTGATACACTACAGGACTCCACAAATTCATCACCACGAGGGACTATTGAGCTGAATTAATAGCAGTGTTCAAAAAGGAACTGGATAATCACCTGAGCAGTAAAAACATTAAGGGATATGTCTAAAGAGCCGGAAAATGGGATGATATTAATGGGCAACAATATGGTTGCAGTGGCAGACATTGACCCCTATGGGTTCTTATGTGCTGAAAATATAAACACACCCCTCTAACAGGTTTGCTTGCCATCAATAGCACTGTCTGGTACGCTTTCCCGCTGCTTTTCCATCTAGGACCACCCAACCCGATAGGGCTTTGGTTTGCGGAGCAAAGTGGGAGGATCAGGTTAAAGTAGACGTGAGCTAAAGGTTATGGAGGACAGATCCTGAAAGGCTGGAAATGCTGAGAGCAGCTGGACAGCAAGTGAAGTGGAGACTTTTGTTCATTATTAACTTACCTTTTGACCTTTCAGTCCTTGTGGGCCTCGTCTACCTGGATCCCCGGGAATTCCTGACAGTCCTGTGAGACCCGGAATTCCTGATTCTCCCGGTTCCCCGGTGTCTCCCTAGATCAGGAGGTTTAACACAGTTGCTGGTTACTAAAATAACTGATAATAATCCTTGCATTTGATATAGCGCCTCACCCCATCATCGAGACGTCTCAAAGCACTTCACAGAATATATTGTAAAGTGTATTGACTGTATATTTTGTGGGAGCCAATTGCGCACAGCAGAATAAACAGCTTCAATTCTCCCCAACCTACCACTCAATAACAAGAACTGACACTTTATTCCACTGTGTCATACTATCATACTCAAACGCCTCAAATCATTAAACAGTACTGACAGGTTCACTGACATTATTCACAGACAACCATGAAGGGAATGATCATTGTATCTGGAGGATTTTTGGGCAGATCAACAGAAGAGACTCCCTTCTCTTTTTGAATAGTGTCAGTGATCTTTAGTATCTGCCTAAAGCATACCAAGCAATTGAGACCAGATTTAACAACACTGCAGGACTCCCCAGTGGAGCACTGAAGTGCCAGTCGAGATTATGAGACCACACTCACAATCTTCTGATGAGATTGCTACTAACTGAGCCATACAGCTCCTAAATTAGGCCAGAGGGAAATCCCCTGGGGAAAAATCTCTTATCTCCCCCTCCAAACCGCAGTGGGTCTGCGAAAGGAAAATAGATAGATATTTATGACATAAGAATTATGAGCGATATTGAGAAAAGGCAGGGAAATGGGATTAAAAGTCTGCCTCGTGCCCATCAAGATCCTTAGATTCTCAACACCATGATCTGAGACTCTGTTGATGCTGGGGACTGGGGGGAGGAGGTTGAGTCTCCCCTAGTGACCTTCTAGGAACGTACCTTTGTTCCCCTCACTCCAGGCGGTCCCGGTAAACCCTGGGGAAACAGGAAAAGATGAATTGATGACCGAGAGTTTTCACTGAATCGCTTGGTTCATGGAATATTGGACCCCTAAAAAATTTCGATTCAAAACAGGAACATTTTCTCCATCTTAACAGCCAGAATTTGTACACTTATTTCTCTTGGGAGTTCAAACCATGGAATGTTCCTGCACAGATACAGATAATTCTGCCCATTGTTTTCTCTGGATGTCTAATCTCACTCTCCCGCTCGCTCCTCCATACTCTTTATCTATGGGCTCTGTCTCACCTATGGTTTGTGGCAGAGAATTCTACATTCCAACTACTCTCTATATGAAGTTTTTTTTTTCTTCCTTCCCCTTCCATTCTTTCTGCGATTATCTTAAATTGTTACGCTCTAGTTACTGACTCACTGACCGAGCAGGTAGCAGCATTTTTAAGGGAATTGAAGAAGGTTGATAAAAAGGTAGGAGAAGAACAAGGGAATGGATTTGAATAGACGTCTCTTGTGGGAGAGTTAATACAAGCACAGACACGATGGGCCAAATGTTGTCATTCCTGATGTAAATGTGATCAAAAGAACGAGCAGTCAAATATCTTCTGAGAGGAGGGAGAAAAATTGAAAGTAAAAGGTTGCAGGAAAAATGTATTAAAAAGTTTTTGATCACGAATAGTTTAGAGTTATGTTCTTCTCTCTCCTGAACAATGGATGTGTGCAACAGAATGCCAAGAACAGCTGTAAATTCTGTGTTATGTAAACTGCTTCAAACATAAAACTATATTAACTACTGGAGGTACAGACTAAGAGGTCAATATTCTGTGTGCTGGTGGGGCCTGGGTGGGGGTTATGCGGAGGGCAGGATGGAAGGTTTATAACAGTGATGTTCTAGAGTTTGGGGGAGTAAGAGAATATCCATGCCGGGGATGGGGATGGGGTTTATTTGTGGGACATTAAACAACTTGGGGCTAGGTGGGTCAATCTCATAGCCTTTAGTGCGAAGCAAGACATGCATTTTCAATGAAAGATCAGCGACCTGAAATGTTAACTCACTTTCCTCTCTCCATAGATGCTGCCTGACCTGCTGCATATTCCCGGCGACGTCTGTTTTTATAATTACCTTGTTCTCTGTTCATTCGAAGGTTCATATCCATGGTTGAAAGATTTGCGTTTCGAGGAACTCACCGGGTTCTGAATCTGACTCATAGCTACAGGATTCATCCCCTTTTCATGGGTATCCCTTCCTGGTTCTCCTATTTGGATCCCAATCGGATGAAGGTTGGTTGGTGAACATGCGGTACATCCATCCCCCTGTTTTATGAGAAAGTAGAAACCTCAGTGGCAGCTGTGGCAACCATTCCAATAGGATAGACTCCAATAGGATAGAGTACACACCAATAGACTACACACCAATAGTGTACACACTAATACATCACACACCAATACATTACAATGTGCTGCAAGCTGTAATGAAGCACATTACCAGGGCCCTGACTGCCGAATGATGCAGCTGGTAAATCAATGACTGAATGGATCCATTATAACTGCTGTATCTCAGAAGTGCAGAGAAGTGTGGTCTATGCAGTTTGATATGATACAGAGGCCAATATGTTAAGTGAAGGAAATCCTCCAATGGCTTGTCACACACTGCAACACTAACCTTTTCTCCTTTAATTCCTTGTGTTCCTGCTTTACCATCGTTCCCTCGATCACCCTTAAAAATATAAAACATTCATGAAAACTCTCAAATATTAGACCATTATTTTATACATGGTCATGACACAGGGGGCGTCTGGGCTGTGAGCTAATGCTCCGTGCATTATATCTGATCTAAAAATCAACGTGAGCTCAGGGTCTTAATATCCTTTAGAAACAGTTTTAGACCTTAGATGTTTTGAAAACACACTGCTTTGTTTCTTTTGTCCTCACAGATTTCCACTGATCTCTGTGACATGCGAAAGTCTTTAGCAAGAGACGAGAGAAATGAAAATACCCATCACTTACTCTGTCACCCTTCGACCCATCTCGTCCGGCTAAGCCTGAATTGCCTCGCTTCCCCTAACAATACAGAACAAGGTTTAGTTACAAAGGTTGACCCCAGTGAGTATCCCCAGCCAAGTTTCATTCTACCGACCATTCAGAGTCAGCGTCTAGTTTTAAAGCCAACTGCGATCGCAGGTTGTACGGTCTCCTTATTCTGAGGGGTGCAGGAACTGATAAAAAGCCCGGCTGCCCCTCGCTGTGCAGTCTCAGTTCTATCACTTTTATATTTATCTTGTCATCACGTGTAGAGAGTCCACAGTGAGAAAAACCAACAGACCTTACATAAACACATCCCGACATAGAAACTCGCTCACCACATACACCAACAAAACAATACACACACACACACGCATGCACACACACACACACACACAAATGTGCAGAGGAAAACAAATGATTTGAAAAGGTGGAGAATTTTATAATTGACGAGGGTTTCTGTTTTCCAGCAAGTTCCGCTGCCATTAAAAGTGAAATGAATGCGTATAAACGAAATAAATTTGGGGATTGGATACTTCCAATGTTGAGTTAGCATTGTTGGGTGTACGTGGTAACGCTCTCTCTACAGTGCCTCGGCCAGCAACCCCACATCAGGTACAGCGCAGTTAGACACAGAGGAAATCTGATGTTAAATAACATCAACAAATTACAAACGAACACAATCTTAAGTGGAAACGACCTATAGACTCACGGTTCTTCCTGTGCGTCCTTGTTCCCCGGCATTACCCTGTAGAGGAGAAACTGTGTCAACTCATCCGAACAGTGAACAAACAGCGTTCAGCCTCTGCCATGTTACCCGCTGAATTTCTTCTAAGTTCGTATTGTAACTTTTACTCCGCTATTTTAAAAAAAAGCGCTTCCATGAGAATCTTAAAAGGAAAAACTTCCTTCGATCGCACACCCAATCCACAGGAACATGCAGCCAGTGCAAGGCTACCTGGGTTTGATGGGTCACTGAATAGATACACAAGGCTCCTCTCCCAGTATGGTAGTGGCAGGGTATATCAAGTCTCCGCTCTCATCGAAAGGACATTTTAGTGATGATAATAATTGTTATTTTCTTGGTGTAGGAATAAAGCATCCTGCTGCAGCCGCCCTCTGACAAAGTGGCCTTGATACAGAGACACGCCTTGTTGAAGGAGTCCATAGCAAAATGGAAAGGAGTCAATGTCAAAACTCCCCCATTAAGAGGAGTCTCATAGAGCGGAGACTTGCTGTGTCCCCATCTCCTCTTCTGTGAGAGGGAGACGTCCCACAGACAGCCAAACAGCAATGTTCCTGTCCTAATATTTCAGGTGTGATTAAAGTCCGTGCTCGATTCCGTATAACTTTCAATAACTTTAATAAATGTTTCAAGAAAGTAGCTGTCGAGAAGTTTTAAAGTTAGAGACACTGTGACCTTACCTTCTCTCCTTTTGCACCCTCTAATCCTCGCTCTCCTGGCTGGCCCTGGGGGAAGTTTAAAAAGCCGTGCATTAACTCGTGACAGCAAAGAGATCGACAGCAATGAGATGTCACAGCTCAGAGGCACAGGGCAGCTCTTGACGACAGACTTTTAATATCAATTTAATTTAGTGTGTCCATTCGTTGGATCCAATTTTCTCCAATTTTCTCCCCACTGGCGTTCGTTCCGCTCTCTGCTCCTGGTCTGGCCTCCTCTTGCTGGTTGTGGTACCACACGGTCATTGGCTGCATGCCATTACCCTCCTGCCAGTGATTGTCCGAGGGCAGGAACCGAGTGACTATTGTTCAGGTGTGAGCGTCGACAGGCCACACCACTGTAAAGGGCGCCACGGCCAAAGCTGACCTCTCTTCACCCCCACACGAGCACACAACCAGCAGAGGGACCAGGAACAGGAAACTGGGCTGGTTTTCCCTTTCCTAACCCTGAAAAGATCAGAGTCAGTTCAATCTCCCCACGTAGTCCAGGCTGGGACCAGCAAACTGCATGGATCACATTTTGACCAGCAGGTTCCTCCTGTATGATACCGGTAATTCTTGTTTGATATTTAAGGAATCTCTACATTTAAACCATTTGTTAAACCCACCCCCCACCACCTCTCCTCACACACACTGTACAATATCTTCCTGAACTCAAACTGGCTCGATTTGTATCACTGACCGTATCAGTCTCACAGGAGATCGCAAGATCGCTTTAGATAAAGATTTCCTTCAGCCCATTTGATCTCTTCATCCCAGAAAACCCACATCACCATCCTTTCATCACAGCATCAAGCTGTCTTATAACAAGTCCAGTATCCTGGCCTCAACAACCTTCCTCGTAACCTGTTCCAGTCTTTAGTTACCCTCTAGGTAATAAATACTTCCTGGTGTCTGTTCTGAAATTGTTCTTTGCAACTCTACAATAATAACTTGCCTTTATATAATGCCCGTCACGCAGGATAGCGTCTCAAAGCTCTCAGTTCCTGTGTCCTCTTGTTCTACTGTCTCAGTGTATTTGAAAGCATTGTTCTGGGTTTACTTATTCAATCTTGTTTAATATCTTGTACACTTCCATAAGGTCACCTCTGAGACGTCTCACCTGCTGGGACATACACTGTGGTCTCTCCACTATGAAACCATCTTAGGCCGAAATAACACGGGGTCAGACACCAACTGCGATCTTACTCCACGTCAATTTCTCAAAAAGTTTTGAATGAACAGAAACGTTTCTGACAAATTGTGAAATTGTTAGTAAAGGTACGTCGCTGAGGAGCACAGACGCGGAGGGTGTCAGGTTCAAATCGGCTGCAAAACAATGGAGCCCCATTATAAAGCACTTTATAGAGCAAATTTGATTCTAATGTGGTTGCCTTATGGACCCCATTCACTTTGAATGGCAGCACCTCGCCAACTTCACTGAGGTCAACGTCCGGGTTACCATGCCAACGTCATTTCCTGCTTCCTTGAGCATGCCCCAACCAGGAAGTGCTGTCGGCCGAGACCCAATGCCCAGGAAGTCAGCCATTTTAGCTTCCGGTTTAAAAAAAAGCCCACGTTCTGGGTCATTAGGTCATTCTGCGTGCGTAGGAAACAGGAAGTGATTTTGGAGGTCACCCAGTGACCCATTGGCTTTAGGAACCACCCTGGCAGGCAGTGAGCATGCACAGTGAAAGGGGCAACTTTCTGGATCCCAAATATTGTATTATAACACAGCTCTGCTGTAGTTGATCGCAGCTCAGGTGACGTTAAGCAATGGGGGAGTTTTGTGCTGTGACACTTACAGGCCTTCCATGGTTCCCTGTTCCTGGTGTTCCTTGGTCTCCCTTAGATCCCGGAGCTCCAGGCAGTCCCACATTGCTTGCGAGCCCATTAGGCAGCGTAGGACATGTCTTGCATGCGTCACCCTGCAGCACACATCCACGCGCACAAAAAAAACAATCACTGACATTCCTATTCAAAGCTGGGCAGGTAAGGAACTGTATTACACCGACAACCACTTGCACGTTCAGTAAATGTCTCAAAGCACTTTACAGAGATGGAATGGGAGCTCAGGTAGGGGGGGATAAAGGAGAGACAAGTGGTTGAAAGTACAGTCAAAGAGATAGTTTTTAGATGGGATTTGAAAGTGTGGTGGGAGGGTATGAGGCAGAGGGATCTAAGGAGAGAGTTTCAGAGATAGGAGGCAAAGTGGCTGAAAGCTACTCCAGCACTGGTGCAGCTGAGGAATATAATATGGAGTTAGCATCAATAAGAATGAACTTGTGAACACACAAGTGAACGCACCTTCGCTCCCTTCACACCTGGCTGTCCTTTGTCTCCCTGTTTGGAGTGTAAATCAGACACCGATCAGATAATGCAAGACTGTATGGATACGAGGTATGTGATGGATTTTGGATAAGCAAGCAGCACAGTGAGACTAAACAAACATAAATAATGCCACAGGAATTGCAAATCATAACATCTACAGACTCTGGCAGACAACAGACTCTTATTTTAATTGGTTATTTTGGAAATTATGAATTGCCACTTCAGATTTTACAGGGAAAACATGGAAGGGCGCAGCTTAAACTCCAGGATTTACAGCATTGTTGCTCTCTATGCAATTACATCTTCCATTCAGTTCTCTATTGATTGACAAACCATGCTTGTAAGAGAAGTCCATAAAACTGGCCATCTGCTCTTTATTAGTCTGTTCATTGTTCATGCAGTATATTGCTAAAGACTCCCAATCGCCTCCCTACACAAGTTGCAGACTGTCTAGAACTCTGCAGCTCGTGTCCTTTCCCGTCCAAGGATCCACAAGCCTATCACCTCCACCCTCGCCTGGCCCCTTCTTTTTAAAAAAAATCATACAGTTTTAATGTAATTTTTAAGTTACTCAGGCTACGTCTAACTGATTATTTTCTCCAATTTATTACTACCACAAAATACAGTCAATTCACTTTTGTTTTCGGTCAGCTGGGTGTCTGACACATGCGGAAACCCATTACCATGCTTAAGAACCAAGGTTTGGGGACACCAGAGTGAGAACCAGAATAAAGCGCTCCGGGACGCTAACCCCCGTGAAGGGTGCTATATTAATGTAAGTTGTTGTTGAGATTGGATACTGATCAATGGGTACAAGGAGGGCGAAGGGGAGGTGACCATAATAATAATAATCCTTGCAATTGATATAGTGCTTTTCATGTCTTCTAGACGATTCAAAGCGCCTCACAGGATATACTGTTTAGTGAATTGACTGTATTTATTGTGGGTGACTATAACCTCAGAGGATCTCAAGATCAACGCCCTGATCTCAATATGCACCACCCAGGAACAATGCCCTGATTCTCCCAGACAGTAATTGGGATGCCGTTAATAGAATATGATGATCACATCAATTTTCCTCTTGATCTGTGAACTCACCTTTTCTCCCCATGCTCCTGTTGGATCTGGTTTGCCCTAGGAGAGATGAGTGAATTAATTACAGGAGCAAACACCTTCACTTGTCAAGGAACATAATTCTGTGCCCTTAAAAGTAATTAACCATCACTTTCCAGCTCGTTCCCATGACTACGGCAGACACACTGAACTGCCAAACAGAATATTTTTGCAACTGAGCAACGAATGCTGCATCCCAGACACCGGGTAAGTTTAGCATTGCCTCGGGACCTGCTTTGTGTATCGGGGAGATACATTTTGTAATATTTTCTACATTAAAACCAATTCCAGTTCAATAGTTTTGTGGAAGCCTGTGGTTTATTGATTATAACATAATAATAATAATAATAATCCTTGCATTTGATATAGCGCTTTTCACGTCGGGAGGACGTCCCAAAGCGCTTCACAGAACACACACTGTAAAGTGAATTGACTGTATATTTGTGGGCGAACGCGGCAGCCAATTGCGCACAGCAATGTCCCACAAACAGTCGTAGATTAAAAATGACCAATTTATTATTGTTTTGGTTTTGGAGGGATTATTATTAGGCTCTGTGTGGAGTAAGGAAACTTGCCCAAGGTTTCGCCCTGCCTGGATAGTGAAACATAGTGAAATACTGAGCACCTTTGGATGTTCTCCCGACGTGAAAGGTGCTTCACAAATGTAATTTTGTTGTTGGTTGGGATTCCCATCCCTGGGGACTTCCCAGGCAATGACATCCACCGACTTAGTGAAAATACAGCACCATACAATATAATACAATACAGCACAGCTCTACATTATCAGTCTAGGAGTCTCAGGTCCTGATACTGAGCTCGATCATTCTGGGGTGACTAGGCAAGAGTGATACCAACTAACAGAGACAAGCTGCCTCACAATTTAGCAAATTTGCTTTAGCAAAGACCATCTGAACATAAGTAGGACCGGAATTGAGGTCTCACACCTAACAGTTGTAGTAGCCACCAAGTGCTGTTCTCAGGCTGTCATTAAAGTGAACTATAAGGGAAAAGGTTAACTACTCAGTAGCTATGAAAGATTAACGTTAGGTTAAAAAACTTTCATAATGTTGGAGCGGTGAAAGCGATGAAATAAGGGACAGAAGGAAAACTTGGGAGCTGATGGTGTAACTGGGGATCTGTGCTACAGATGATTCTGGCCAATATGCTCCTTTTTTGGCAAGATGCTTGGATCAGGCACTGGAATCCAACTAAAAATAGCTAGTCTGGAAAGCCTTGTACCAACCATTTCCTGGTGAATCATTCATTCAGGGTTCAAATGAAATTGACTTTATTGCTGTTTTTTCACTTTGTAAGGATTCTTAAGAGAGTAGCTGCTGGTAACCAACCCCTAGCCATAGAAATTGGAGAGAAGACTTTTTCTTTAAAACACCCTTTTTTATTGAGAAACCAGGTTGAAGAACCTTGGTGCTGGACACCATCAAGAGTGAGCACGCTGTTCCAAGGCTTCTGCAATCTCTACTGTTCAATCAATTTGCTTTGGATACTGTTAAGCATGGTGTCAGACACCCGGCTGACCAAACAAAATCAATCTGCTCATGGAGCGTGAGTGATGTAAGGCGAGTGATATGGATTGGTTTGATGCTCCCAATCGTGAAGCATTTCCCCATCACACCTAACACCCGGCCGAATGATCCGGCTGAAACCAGAGGCCTTGCTAATTTTGTCTTAGCACTTCAAGGCTGTGCAAAAAATTCTTAAATTCTAAAGTCTCAATTTCGAAGCCGGTTCTTTTTAAGGATGGCGTTAATCCGATTTCCAAACTGAGGCAGCGATTAAGAATATTTCCATAATTCTGTGCAAATTTAGAGGTTAAGATGAAGTCGTTGTTCAGCCCTCCGAACCTCAAGGTGGGGAATCTGTGGCCTGGGGTCTCCTCTTGTCTTGCTTTCCACACTATCTTTTCACTATCTTAGGTATGATGCCTTTGTTGTTGTTGTTGTTGTTAATTAATAATAATTGTTGCATTTGGTATGATGCCTTTCACAACAGGAGGTAATGGATTTATGTTAAACTTATGTTTGTTTTAGAAACCTGCAAAACAAAAGCAACTCACGAAAGGACTGAAAAGCGACTTTAAACATGGAGAGACCCACTGAACGAGGCAGGTAAAAAGGTTGCCTTCCGCGAAGAATAATCCTTGCATTTGATACAGCGCCTTATCATGTCACTGAGACGTATCAAAGTGCTTCACAGGATATATTCACAGGATATATTGTATATTAAATTGTATTTTGTATTTCGGGGATTGGGTGACCCACATTTTTTTTGAGGGATTAATAATCCAGAAAGTGATCTGCCAATTGACTAACAACCGGTTCCTATCTACTGCTAGATAAACAGAGGCAAACAATAAATAATAGTAATAATAAATACAAGGCATAAAACAACCTTAATGGCTTCCAACAGCCATATAAAGTGTTCAGCAGCTTTCCCTTTTATGTAAAAATACTCCGGTACTAAACACATGAAAATTCCTGGGGATTAATTATGTGTAACTGCTTCGGTCGTCCAAGTTTAGCTGGTTTGCATCTTTCAGTTACTGTATATTTTAGCAGCCTCCATAGTTTCTTTCGTAACACAAACCAGGCTGAAAGTTTCAACATAATCCTTGCACATTAAATATTAAATTCGCCTTCAATAATATACTACAGATGACTCCAGAGTAGGTCATGCCAGATACAAATATTAAAGATAACAGGATAATAGGAAGCAAACCCCATCCCATTTACTCCCATTGTACCGAAATCCAACAGACGAAACAACCACGCAAACAAATTGCATTTGTACAGGGCCTTTCACTTCAGAAGGACGTCCCAAGGCACTGGACATTTAAGGGTTTGCACCCAATCTAGGGATTGTAATCAAGAGGGATGGAGGGTACTGTCAAAGAGGAAGGTCTTGAGACAGAAGGAAGTTAAAATTAAACGTCTTCCCATTTCACACACCACGCCAGAGAGAGTGATCTTTCTCATTTCCACCAGGAAGGGTTGCTAGCCACTAATACCTACTCATCCCCTCAGTTGGTGACTCGTCACGTTCAGGTATACCGAGGGGAGTTTAATAATAATTATCCTTGCATTTGATATAGTGCCTTATTATTATCACCCCCGGAAAAGCAATCCACCAATCGACTAACAACTGGGTTCCTACTTACTGCTAAGTTAACAGAGGGTTGTGAAGGAAGGAAACCTGCCCAACATTTCACCCTGACAGGAATCAAACTCAGGTCTCTCGCTTGCAAAGCGAGTGCTCTAACCACTGAGCTACAAGACTCCACTTTAACATAGTCTCACTCTGATCGGAAGTTTTTTGTTTTGAGCTGAGACACAGAAATCTTATAACTCTCCACTACGGCTCATCGAGTCACCACTGACTGGCAGTGACAGAGAGTATTTCCCTTCTGGCCATCACTTGCTATATCCTTGACTGCAGAGGGACTTGAGCAAGTGGACATCCTGAAGAGAAGAGGTATTACTGAGAAAATCCAACGAGCATCAACTTCACTATGGAGTTAGCACTCACCGGCTTCCCAGGGTCTCCATGCCCACCCGGGATTCTTACTTTTCCTGGAAATACTTCAGATGGTCCAAATCCTTCTGGAATGGTGGGGCAAACACCACACGAATCTCCCTAGAAACCATTAAATGATCACACATAATAAATATGGGAAATGCCACCCGGAATTAGTTATCACAAGGCTAGAAGCAACTTCAGAACCTTTGGCAAATTTGTAGCTTTGGTTATAATAAAATAATAATAATCCTTGCATTTGATATAGCGCCTCATCACGTCTTTCAGATGTCGCAAAGCGCTTTACAGAATATACTGTAAAGTGTAGTGACTGTGTATTTTTGTGGGTGAAACGCGGCAGCCAATTGGACACAGTTGTGTTATAATAATATATAATAATAATCCTTGTATTTGATATAGCGCTTTTCACGTCTTCTCGACGTCTCAAAGCGCTTCACAGAATATGCTGTAAAGTGATTTGACTGTATATTTGTGGGCGAAATGCGGCAGCTAATTGCGCACAGCAATGTCCCACAAACAGTCGTGGATTGAAAATGACCAATTTATTATTGCTTTTTGTTTTGGAGGGATTATTATTAGGCTCTGTGTGGAGTAAGGAAACTTGCCCAAGGTTTCGCCTTGTTCCACGAACAGTCGTGAATTTGAGTAACCAAATTCTTCTTATTTTTTTTGAGGGACTATTACCCCCGGAAAGCGATCCTCCAATTGATTAACAAGGGGGTTCCTACTTACTGCTAATAGGACATCAGAGGGGTTCAGTGTGAGGGGGGTGGGGATAATCAGTCTGTACATAATACCCAATACACAGATCCAACCAGTTCATGTTTAGCTCACAAAATTATGCAAATTAGAGAGGAAATTAAACAGGAAATCTTGAATACATCCTAGCCCTGAAATTCCACCTGCTCTTAGCCAGTAACACTAGTTATCTTCAAATTTATGACCGTGCAAGACTGAGGGAAATATCTTAAATTTAAAACCGGCAGAAAGCAGGTTTACAAATTCAGATTGAGTTTATTTATTGAGTTTTCCACAATTCTACAAATTTTCCAAAACTCTTAGATTTTGAAGCCAAAATAGTTTTGTGGACTAAGACGAGGTGAAATTTAGACAACCCTCATTTGTAAATAATGAAATAAAGCACCTTTTCTCCCTTTGTCCCTGGGATTCCATCTTTACCCTGTGGGAAGGAGAGAGGACAGAGATTAACTAGCGAATCAGACAAAACAAGGATATGGAGATTTTCCACTCTATATATAGTTTCTGTTACAAACCAGACTCCCAGTGCTTGAAACTGAGTTACTCAAGAGCATTAAACAAACCAGAAAGTTCGGAACATTTATTTTCAGAGAGTTTTGTCCTCATCAAGGAGAGGGAATTAGTACTGAGAATGAGAACTTTCCCCTTTTGGGCATTTCTAAACCAGCATTCCCAGGCCAGCGATAGCACGGGTTAGATACATAGTAAAGCTCCCTTTACACTGTCTATCCACACTCCCAGGTCAGGATCAGGACATCAGTACAGCTCCCTGGATCTACTCCAAAGATGTACACTTACCACAATGACTGAGCAATGTCTCTTGTTGTGCTAGTGTTGAGGCATTTTTGAGTCAGAATCCAATCAAGTTAAATGCTGGGCAGCATTGTACTGCGCACACTTTACCTGGGTCAGATTTTACATTTAAACGTACTTCTACTTAAACCACAAGAATAAAAGAGTTTTTTTTTCTCAATACGGTGATGAGGTGATACTCACTGGAGTTCCAGAGACACCAGGGGTGCCTGACTGCCCATCGTTTCCCTACAGAACAGAAAGAGATCAGTAAAAGGCTTCAATCTGGAGACACACACACAGACAACAGACAGCCTCTCTAGGTCAGATGCTAAACAGACTCTTCAGGTCAGATTTGTGTGGAGTATAAACAGCGGCACAAACTGGTTGGGCTGAGTGGTCTGTTTCCGTGCTGTACATTCTATTTAGACACTAAATACTTCATCTCCAGGTTGGACAGTATAGATATTAGAGCGTCTATTTGATAGAGCATCTGTAAACATCAAACATCTCAAAATGCTTGCTAGGGATTTGCTGTAAAACGTAGTGACTGGTCAGCACAGCAGCCAACTTGCACACAGGCAATGTTGCACAAACAGCCATGAAGCGAACGACCAATATACTGGGGGGATGTTTTGGCCAGGACACCCCTTTTCAAATAGTGTCGCGAGATCTTTAACGCTCAACTGAGCAGGCGGACGGGACCTCGGTTTCAAGTCTCATCTGAAGGATGATGCCTCTGACATTGCAGGCCCTCCCCTGGTATTTCACTGGACTGTCAGCCTGGACTGTGAGCTCAAAAGCCCGACTTGGAGCTCGAACCCACGACCAGAGGTGAGAGTGCTGAGCCAAGCGGATACAAGACCATAACAAACATAACATTATTATATAAAACAGATGGGCAGAATGACCAAAAAGTCGTGATACCATTACAATGTCTAATAAGCCTTAGAGAAATTATGATTTTCTTTTAGGTAATAGGTTGGATATCACGACTTTTTGGTCACCCTGGAGAAAGGCACAAAAGCAGCTTGCCCTTAGCTGGGCCCTCTTCCGCCCCCCCCACCACCACCCACCATACTCCCACACCTTCCGCTTGTCTCTGCACAAGGGGATAGTGTTCTGCAGAGGAAAGCAATATGAAAAATAAGTAAAATCAGCACAGTTTGCACAGCAAGGTGCTGTCTGTTTAACCTCTCAAAAGACTGGCACAGTGTACCCGAGGACAAGCAGCAGAACTAACAACTGAGAGAAAGAAAGCCCGACTGTTGTGAAATCATGAAATATTAAAAAAAAGTAGATTAAACCATACCCAATGTTTTTTTATAAAGCAATGACAACTGCCTCTGCCACTTTTTTTTTTGCTTTGAGCGAGAAAGATCAAAACAGTGACATTTGTTACCGCAGAAAAATCAATGTGAGTCAAGAGATCGATGCGGAGATCTGTCACTGGGTCTCTCAGGCAACGTCAACGTGCAAATAAAAAGCTTCCCTGCTGATCAGTTACAGTCCCTCAGTGTCATTGAGATTATACATTTACTATGTATGAATCAGGACATAAATGTCCTATTCCATGCCTAGTAAATGTGGAGCCTCAATGATGTGATCTATATCTATATCAAATGCAAGGATCATCATGGTGCATGACGTGTATTTGATAAATCGCAATTAATACTAAAAATAATCCTCGCATTTGATACAGCGCCATTCACATCAGGAGGACGTCTCGAAGCACCTCCGCGGACTTGCTGTAAAGTGTAGGGACTGTGTATTTTGTAGGCAAATTAAGCTGACGCGGTTTATATTGGGAATGGAGGCTTGGGAAATAAGATGAAAAGATGAGAAATCCTGTCTTTGGAAGGTAGCAGGCCTGAAGAGGAGAGGAGAGGTGGAGGAGAGATGCATACATCCTCAGGAGATATCCTTGAGTGCCTTTGGTCAGTAATTGCCTGCAGTAGAGCTTTTTGGCAGGAGAGAGAATGAGAGAGTAAACAATAGTGGACTGATTTTTGCGCTTTCATCAGAGATTGTGCTTTCACCCACTGCTCCCCAAGACTTTCCAGTATCTTGTGGGTGTAGTGGATGAAAGCACAAACAGCTTTTTTTTTCTGACCAGAGGGTTGGGTCAATAGTCTGCAGTGAGGTGAATTACTACACACACACACACACGCACACGCACACACAAATGGACTTTTTTTTGCACACACCTCCGACTCAAATTGTAGACTTGGATGCGAAAGCAATCGACATATGTTCATTCGCTGGGGGAAGTCGTCACCATTGCTGATGGTGAGCGGAGGGGACAAGTGGGGAGGAGTGGGGTCTGAGCAGGAAGGTGATGCTGAACAATGTCAGGGCACTGGTTTGAGCCCAGCTGCATCACTGGGTATAATTCTGCTTGCAGTTTTGCTGTGAGGACATCTTGACATTGGAGAAAGCGAATCATTTGCCAGTGAGGCAGATTGTGTGAGAACATCCGGAAGTGAATTGGATTGCTATTTGGCGCTGAGCTGGATTGAGTGTGCAGAGCGTGTGAGATTACGGTCTTGGTTCAGACAGATCAAATGGACTGCTCCTCATTTCCCAGCCCCCATGCTGCAGCCTGAGATCTCACTCACTTGCTCTCCTTTTGTTCCGGGTGGTCCTCCAGGCAGTCCCTTTGGAAGAAGAAAGAAAATAACCTTCAGTGGTGACTGACAGCACATTGATTGCTTCCTATTGAGGTGGATGGATGAGATCGTTAAACAAGCTTCAGTGAAAGCTGCGATGCAGCTCACTTCCCAGCATGGAGGCTTGGAGAAGCAGAACCACAAGCTCCCAGTGGATTCAAACTCTCCTCTTGGCCCCTGAAGGTGACTGAACTGTGCTTGAAAAGTAAACTTGATGACAAATTTTCATCATTTATATTTGACCACATATAGATGCAGCACAGATTAGATACAGAGGAAAGCTCTACACTGCCCATCCAGCACTCCCAGGTCAGATATAGCACAGGTTAGATACAGGAAAAGCTTCCTCTACAGCTTTCAAACAATGTGCCTTTACTTCAGAGGAGCCCTCTGGCACTACACCAGTGGAACATTCCCTTTCTTTGTGGCTTGACTTTTTGTGCCGTGACCTCAGACGTAAATGGTCAAATCACCCTCAAGATAAGACCCTTCCACCCTTCCAGGTGGCGGAGATTGAAGACTTTTATCACATCAGCTTGGTCTCCTAAGTCCAGAGGTGAAAGATTATCGCACTAAAAATCTACTTGTCTACTTTTGAATTACTGGGTGTAAAATGCAATGCCTTGATGTGTAGACTGACTTAGGTATTCTGTGAAGGGTCTCAGAAACGCCATTTGCTGTGGAATTTGCTGTGTGTGATATGATAGTGACCAAACGTGGTCAAAAGCTGCCCATAATCATTGTTGGACAAGAGCGATGGCGTTTCATCGTTGAAGACCAGTGATAACTTTTTTTTCTTTGATGTGATAATATCACCAGCGATGACATACAATGTGCCCCTCACAATGTGACACTTCACAGTGAGTTTGTTGTGAAACATCAGTTTTCACCCATTGAATTATGTCAGATTAAGTGGCGCTTTGGGACATCCTGCCGTCATGAAAGGCGTTAAACAAGTGCAATTTGTTGTTGTTGTAGTCCTCACAAGTGCAGCATTAAGTAAACCCCATGGAACTGGTGTCATTACAACGGCAGAGCTAGATAAGGAAAGGAGAAGAAAGTTTGTTCCATCACAAGTGTCACAAACAGAGCTGGAGCGGGATACTCACTGGTTTTCCCGGGATTCCTATTCCCGGAGGTCCTGGAGGTCCCTGCTCACCCACGAGACCTTCAGGCCCAACAGCTCCCACATTTCCCTGAATGAGAAGGAAACAGAATGGGGTCAAAACTTCCTTACATTCTACCCACTGGTGAAAGAGTTAGGGCCACATTTCCTTCAGTTTCCCTGACATATATATCCATAACTGAGGAGGCAGGGAAAGAAGCACCTTGCTGAGCAGATAGAGACATTTGCCACATAACCCATTCTGACAAATAGCAACATGTTTAAATACAACTGGAAAGGCTTGTCCAGATGGTACAAAACCAATAAGATCTTGATTTATATAGCGCCCTTCATATAGAGTAATGTCTCATCAATCTTTTTTGGACAGTGTTGGACTCTGAGCAAGGGGGGGAGGGGGTCGGGGCAGGAGGAGGGGGGGGAGGTATCCATTGACACGTTCAAAGAGTAAGATTTAAGAAGTGACTTAAAGACAGACAGAGGAGGTGAGATGGATTAATGGAGGGCAGGAATTGCAGAAGTTAGGGTGTAGGAATTGAAGGCTCGGCCACTGATGGTGGCGCGGAAAGGAAAGGGGGATAGGAAACACTAGATGAAAAAAGACCAAAGTCCATCCGGTTTGCCTTCCACCACCCTGGCAGTCGCTTGTACATGCCATGTCCTGAACTACTCACAGTTCAACATTTGTGTTTGGTATGGATATGGAGTTAGCTGAGCTGAGAGGCAAGCGGAGGAGTGGGATAGGATAGAAGATTAGAGAGATCAGGAGGTGTCATATGTATTCCCTCTTAAACCGAAATCAACGGGTATGTATTCTCAATCTCTCACAAAAACCTTCCCGGTGAATGGTGTCTTGTAGCAAAGGAGTCCAGTAATTCACTTCACATTGGTTGCCGTTTGTTTCGCTGGCTGAAGATGGCGCTATTTATTCACAATGTCAACAGTATGCTCCCACCCAATCTCTCGCTCTTCCAGGACACATCCCGGAGTTGGCAGATTATCAACCCTGAGTTCAGTACTGCGCAAACTAACATCACTGTATCTCTGAAGAACTCAGCAACAATCAACAACGACTAGGCGTTTATCACTAAATTTATTGCAGTTCGCGTGCAGTGTGCCACACGTGGATTAATATCAATACTTAATAATTAATAACCAATAATTAACAGTCAGTTTGGTGCATCTTCTCGGCATTCCTCTCATCGCTCCCACCCTCTCCTCACAGACTCTCAGATCAATCTGAGCCAAAAGATGCCTAACTGCAGACGGCAACACACCAATGCCAAGTGCGGAGAGCAGATACCCTGCGGGCACAGTCACAGTTTATAACTGAGACTATGTACCTCTGCAACCCCTTGTCAGAGATTGATACAATGAGCTATGGCACTCCCAGTGGATGGGGCTCATTTCAATCCTATACCCTCTGGGCAACTCATACATCAGGCTCAGGAGCTCCACAAGCTCCCGAGCTCTCAAGAGATTAGATGATCTGAAAGTTAATCTGGGCCACCCCCAGGTAAAATTATTTTGCACCGAAGCTTATTAGAAATGTGGACAGCGTTACAAAAAATGGCTGGTGAAGGTCAACCGCTAACAGCACGTAAAAAACTATTAAAAGGCACAGGGAGAGAGCGAGAATGGGATTAAAAGTGGAAAGTTCCATTGGGGGAGCTAGACTTGATGGGGAAAGCGCAGGTGAATAGGATTAGAATATGAAGCTCCAGTAGTAATAATAAGAATCCTTGCATTTGATTTAGTACCTTATCAAGTCTTTGAGAAGTCTCAAAACGCTTCACAGAAAATTCTGCAAAGTGAATTGACTGTATATTTTGTTATCGAAACAGTCCGGGAGCTAGAACCAGCACAAATTTGATGTGGAAGGTGAGAGGAAAGGAATTAGAGTAGAGAGCTCCAGTAGAGGTAGAGAACACTAGCACAGACTTGGTGTGCATCATGGTCTATTAATAATCCTATAAATCCCAAGTCCCAAATCCCTTTCCTTGACCGATTTCTCTATCCAGTTCTCTGTTACAATTACTAATTGATTACTGGGACTCCCTGCTATGCTGCTCCTTTCGAGTGGGAATAAATTAGAAAGAGATCCAAATCCTGTAAATAGCATGCGTAAATGTCACACTTATGCCCTCTTAATGGCCTTGTCAGAAATCAACCGCTATTTAACACACAGTGTGCTTACATTGATTCACTACCAGCCTTTATTTACTGTGGGTGCTTTTACGAGGCCCAGGGGGTATGTATGAGGCTCTCAGACTTAACAGATGGACCTGAAGTTCAGGACATGATCCTCAGCCTAACAACAACACTCCCAGCCACTCTCCATACAATAGTACAGCATCTTCCCCCCACTCCACCCTCCCGAAAAATCTTATGCAGGTTATAAATCGCTGACAAACCTTTGCACCCTTTGGTCCGGTCACACACCGCTCTCCCGGTATGCCCTGAGATAAAAAAGGACACAGGAGTAACAAATTAGAGAAGGAATGAAAAGGATAAAAAATAAACAGGGTTAATCACTGGCAATCTTATTCTGCATCAAATCCACGTCTCTCAGAGGTAAACAGGAGAGACTTTCATCCTGTCCATCAGAATGTCCGTGCTAACCACTATCACCCTGGAGGTATCTGTCTGTCTCATTGTCAGTTGCTTTCTACATCATCTAATTAGACTGTCAGCCACTTGGACACTGGCCAGTTGAGACATCAACAAAATTGAGGGTTTTGCTGAAAGCAAACTCTCTTCAGAACACTGGGGTGGTTCTATGGTCAATTGCTATTACTTCTCAAGTTACTGTGAGCATCAGCAGGTTTGGTGGTAGTGATGTGTGGGGTGGGTGGGGGGATGGAGGTGAGAGGGAGTTGAGCCCCATTCACTCATGATATCCACGCACCTTCCATCTCTGCATCTTTCATTTCCAGCCAGTCATGAGCCTGGAGCAGGCTGATTATTCCTTACCTAAGCAAGGGTCGCAGAGACTAATTGTAGCCTGGGCCCAGATCAGCCACTCGCAGGCTGGAACCTGTGACAATGGCTCCCTGCCACAAGAGGCGGGAAATGCTTTCCAATTATTTACTGACCTCCAGGATCATACTGAAAGCGTCTGCTTTTCATTTAAACATCAATCCAGCGCAAGCCAATTTTATTGCACATATGTGATCGGTTTGCTGAAAGTGCCCTGCCAAAACTCCCTGTCACAGTGCACATAAACAAAATGCTTACTTAGACAGAGTACAGCTTCCTCTACCCTGACCATGCAGCACTCCAAGTTCAACCACAGTAAAGCTCCCTCTTGCACTCCCAGGTGAAGTATTGTAAGGGTCAGACACACCGTAAAGCTACCTCTAAACAATTTTTAATTGCATATTGTTTACAATGCCATGAATTCTGTAATTAGATAAACGCTTGAAGGAATATTATAGGATAAGATGGGAACAAACAGGAGAGTGGGGTTAAATCAAGTGACCCGTGTGATTAAAAAAAGACATGATAATAACAATAATCCCTGCATCTGATATAGCGCCTTATCACGATAAGAAAATAATAGTAAGCTAAAATAGCTTGCTTCATGCTGTAAATCTATGATTCTATGAAGGCATGAAAATCAGTATATGGTTTGAGTGTAGGTGGGATACTCACATCTCGTCCTGGGAGCCCAGCCAACCCTCGGGACCCAATATCACCCTTTTCACCTTTCTGAGGGTTCTGAGGTGAAAAGACACTTTGAATTACATGTCGTCAATTCAACCAGGGCCTGATACAGACCTGTTAAATGCTCACTTGCCTGAAAAAAAACACTGGCCACTGGAAAGCAGAGGCTGACAGCTGGAATTGTTGCAAGTACTGCTTCACCTTGTCTACCCAACCTTGTTCCCCCATCACTATGTCGAGCTGCTTTTTAAAACGAGTCCATTGTCCAGGCCTCTACGACCCTTCCCGGCAAACGGTTCCAGTCATGAAGGCGTAAAGATACATTCTGAAGTATTGATCTGGGTTTACTAAAGTATCACAACCCACTTCATAAAGCTTTGTTGTCAAGTATACTGCCTGCGTTTGTAAACATGGCAGTCAATTGCACCAAAAAAGATTTCACCAACAAGACATGAAGTAAATAATCAATTAAACTGGAGCATCATTGATCAGGTGGACGCTGAGAGAAAATATCCTCTTTTTCAGAAGTGTCGGCCTGAACAGGCAGATGGGACTTTGTTTCAATGTCTCATCTGAAAGATGCCCTCTCCGACAACATACATCACTCCACAGGAATGCCAGCCTAAATTATGAGCTTAAATCCTGACATGAAGCTCGCACACACAACATTCCTGCCTAGAGGCAAGAATATTGTCAAGCTGATACACAGGAGAGATCTGCAAATGTCTTTTTAACAGATATGTTCCTTGTGCATTCTTTCCCAGCCTTCAAAAACCTTTCACCGTGCTTGGTCAAAACCCCTGAAATCCCCCTCCTCGCCTCCTGCTTGTTGATCCACATAGTATTTGTGAAGACGGTTGTCTTACACGAAGGTTGCTCAATATATAAATGGAGTTTGAGGCAGGCTAGAGAGAGGGATTAGGATGGGTGGAGGCTCATGTGGAGTATAAACATTGACATGGGATACTGGAGCTGAATGTCTGTGCCGATGCTGTAGATTCTACGTGATATAAGAGTAAGTTGCTCCCGCTGACTTTATCAGCGACCTTCAAAGCCTGTAGCTCTTCCAAAATTAATTTTAAAATGCACAACAGGTTCCATAAAATATGAAACATTGATTCTGAATTACAAGCTAATTGAAGCGATACAGAGAATTACAGCCACTGTAAGTCAAAGCAAACTCGCAGCAGATAAATCTGTAGATCGACCGACCAGTGATGAATTTACCTGAGATCCCAGTAAACCAGAGTCTCCAGGAGGTCCCATTTCGCCCTGTTTAAAATCACAGAAAAATCAGAAAGTCACAACTCACCCAACAATGTTAGATCGTAGAGAATCAGACTTTACAGGTCTCAGAGATGAGATGTGAGAAGTTTGGGGACGGTAATTTTCACTTGTTTTAATGCTATTTTATTCCCAGAACGGTCTCTGTCACCAAACTAATCAAGAACAAACTATTCCCAGGCTTCTGCTAGAGGCACTGTGTAATTGAATGGCATATTGGCAGATGCACTGTGTAACTGAAGGACATTGATAGATTAGCTGTGTAACTGAGATGCATATTGGCAGATGCAATGTGCTTGAGGTGCACTTTGATCGATGCTCTATTTGACTAAGGGGCACATACTCAGAGAGGGATTAAACGTCTCAGGATGGGTTTGATCATAATATCTGATGGGTTATAATTCCTTCTAAAAAAATAATTTGGTCACTCAATCCACAACTGTTCGTGAGACGCTGCTGTGTGCAATTGGCTGCCGCGTTTCGCCCACAAAATATACAGTCAATTCACTTTACAGTCTATTCTGTGAAGCACTTTGAGACGTCGAGAAGACGTGAAGAGCGCTATATCAAATGCAAGGATTATTATTATTATTATTATACAGTCATTTCACTTTACAATATATTCTGTGAAGCGCTTTGAGACATCTCAAAGATGTGATAAGGCACTACATCAAATGCAAGGATTATTATTATTATTAATCAACTAATCTGTGATGACTCCCCTTCGTTTTGATTAATTAACTTGTTGAGACCACTGCACCGACAATTCCAAGCAATCCACCCAGAGTTGGATTCCAGTACTTCATTCCATGTTTTATGTTCTAAAGCAGCAGAGATAAAGTGGATTTGGGACTCCCTCTCCCATCAAATCGTTACTCTTAGCTCCTAAATATTGTTAATGAAATTTAAAAAAAGTAAGCATTTGACATAGTACCAGTAATATTGAAATGTCTCAAAATGCTTCACTGTAATTACTGTCAGGAAAAGTGGCAGCCAATTTAAGCAGAGCAATGTGCCACAAATAGTCGTGAAGTGAATGACTAATTTTCTGCAGGATTGTTGGCCAAGAGCCTGGGAGAAACACATTCCTCATTTTGAACAGTGAAGTGGGATCTTTAACATTCATCTGAACAGGCAAGTGGGACTTTGGTGTATTGCCTCAACCAAAGAACGGCACCTCCGTCAATGCAGCCACAAGCCAAGTACGAGACTCTGGGCTCAAGGTCCCAGCATGGTCCAGCGTAAATCGGGCTGGGGAGGGGTTAGGGTTAAGGTTTGGGTTATGGACAAGTTGACACAACAGCAGATCCTCAGCTGCAGCTTAGACATCAAATACATCAAGTCGCCCACCAGGGCTGCTTCAGCAAGTTCAACTCTGTCATCCACCAAACATTCAGTTGTTTTTTAGAAAAATTCTGGAGTCTTTTTTTGTGCCAAAGCAAAGAAAACAAATCTTGATTTCCAATCACATCTGGTGCCCAGCCAAAAAGAACATATCTGGACTCAACTTACATTTGTTTTGAATAAGGATTAATTCACAACAAGTGGAAAGCAATTACTCAACAGAAATAATTGGTACAAAATTCAATGTAAGCTCAAGACGCCAACTCTTTGTTTACTCTGGATTATTTCTTTTTCTTAGCCTTTGTGATTTCTTGGTCAGAGATATTTAACTGCCGAGCTGATGAAGTCCACTGCGGAGGAAGCTTTGGCAGGAGAATTAAAGAGAATGTCTCAAACGCAGCTGGTACGTAACATCTCATGGCTGGCACCATTCTGACCGCTACCTTGTGTGTGTTCAGCTTGTTACCACTGCAATTGTTGCTCAGCTCTTTAGCATTACAACAACAACAATGTGCTTCCTTGTATTGACTGTCATGTCCTCCGCTGCCAAGAAAATGACCCAACGCAGCAGACACTGACAGAGCATCAGGCTCTGCCAAGGATTTTTTTTCATGGGCTCTGACTAAGCCGACTGGCGTGCAAGCAAGAAGCTGAAATCTATCACTGCGCATAAGAGTGGAGATGGGAAGAGAAAGAACAACAACAATCGGAAATAACTTCATCCTTAAGGCATCAGAGCACTGTATATTAAGACACTTGAAAGCTCCAGTGACAATGATGAATACTTACTGCTCTACCTGGCTGTCCCTTCTCTCCTTTCTGTCCTTGTGGGCACTGAAAATCAAGAGCACAAATTCAATCTGTTTCTAACTGGCCGGAACTTGATTCATCACTCGCGCTCAGTTCCATTTGGTCCAACGTCAAAATGAATGTTGTGTTTTATGCAAGAAAGACCAATGACAACACAGAGCTGGCAAAGCAGAAACCAGGCGTGGAACTCGGTCCTCGGTCTAAGTGGGCAAGTGCAATAAAACATGTCCTAATAATCTTCACTCAGTCCAATCCCCATCAGGAACATGGAAACAAGAGGAGGCCATTCGGCCATCTTGCTTGTGCCACCAGTTAATCAGGTCACTGCAGACATTAGATATTTTAAATCCTATTTGCTGCCGTTTCTCCATACTCTTTGCTAATCTGACCTTTCAAGTGTTTATCTACTTCCCTATTCCAACATATTCTGTATCTATATGCTTGTGGGACACTGCATTCTGCATTTTCACGTAGATATTTTCTGATCCCACTTGTACACAGCCTGTACCTTTGTCAACAACAACAACAACACATTGCATTTATAGAGTCTTTCATATCAGGTGGGCAGTCCCCTCAGACTGTCCTATACCGCCCTTATCCCCTCAGACTGAGCTCAGTGCCCCTGTTCTCTCAGTGAGACATGGGGAGGGAGGGGAGGTGGAGAGAGAAAAAATAAGTACGGAATAGGCTTAAAAATAAATGAAAAATACTCAATTTTGAAGTCATTTAATCCCATCTGCTTGTTTCCTCATTGACTTCCTTTTCAATCTTTCACTGTGCTCTTCTAGAGGTCTTGATCAATATGAAAAATTGAGAATCTCCAAGTTAAGCTTGTTGTGAATGGAGCTTTGCCCAAGGACAGAGAACGTGAATTTAAAGCCACAGAGGAGACCAAATAATCCTCCTACATCTTGTGAATCATTAAAGCTGAGATGGTACTAGGAAAGAGCATTGGTTTCAGAGATAAATAATGGGGCCAAACCCTTTTCACAGGCTGGGAAAATAGCTGAACAGATTTCAAAACAGCCTTTTCTTCACTTGTCTCCTCACTGCTTGGAGCTGAGCGCAGTCACAGGGGAAATCAGGCCCGTAGAGTAAACAGGACATGGCACTATATCAGCCAGTCTAAATACTAAAAATCTTCCTTTATATTCTATTTGCACAAACAATAGTCAAGCCTGAGATTTGGCTTGTTCCCCTGGAGTCTTCGTTTGGTCCAGACACAGACAAACTGAGGTTGTTTCAGGGTCATAGATTCATAGAATATTACAGCACAGGAGGCCATTCAGCCCATCATGCCTGTGCCGGCTCTTTGAAAGAGCTACCCAATCAGTCCCACTCCCCGCTCTTTGCCCATACCCCTGCAAATGTCATAGGAACATAGGAATTGCTGGAAGAAAAAAGATCAAGGTCCATCCAATCCACTTTCTACCATTTTGGTAGTCACATGCTATAATAATGGAGATTTTGAGACCAATTAATTCTAAGCTTTAATCTTTTGTTCTTTTAATTCTGAGCCCCAACACATCAGGAATCTGAGAGATTGATCGCAGGTCACTTACCAACAGGCAGTTTTCAATCTGGGAAGAGAAAAATATTACAAATAATGAGAGTTCAAAGATAAACCTTGGTAAAATCTCAGCTGTAACCTTCGCTATTGCTGTCACACTACGACACTCTGGGTCTCTCTCCCTGTAGTCCACGGACATCAAACCCAGGAGAGTCACTTGTCAATGGGAGAGTCATGTTATTCTTGTGAACATCCCAGTGACTAGCATGAGATTGGGGGTTGGGCTTCCCCAGTGGCTCAGTTGCTACTGGAAGGGAGCCACAAAGATAATAATAACAATAATAATCATAATAATAATAATCTTTACATTTGATATAGCACCTCACTGGTACTGAAGATATGGGACACCAATTCTGAACCTTAGTACACTAAGATGGGGAGGGGGAAGGGAGGAAAAATACCAGTCTGGGCTCGTAGTGAGGAATCTTGATGAATTCCTTCAATAAAAAATTGGTCACTTCAATCCACAACTGTTTGTGACACACTGCTGTGTGCAATTGGCTGCCATGTTTCGTCCACAAAATATAGTCAATTCACTTTACAATATATTCCGTGAAGCGCTTTGACACATCTCGATGACGTGATACGATGCTATATCAAATGCAAGGGATATTATATTATTATTGTATTGTAATGGTTGGCGTGTACACAGACTGGGTCAGCTTTAGACCTGATGGGCAACACTAGTCATCGGTGCTCAAATATGAAGAATGCCACTGGGAGCCAAGATGGGCAAATCCTGACCATAATCAGTATCTCCAGAAGAAAATCAGGGAGACAAACACTTCGAGCCAGACGATGATCCCCTTTTGAATCAGCCCAGATCGAGTTCAGTTTAACTCAACATTCAAAGCATTCGCCGAACAGAAGGGAATTACTGGGGTATTTCTAGGAATGGAATGTCCTACAATGTGATAAATATCATATCACACACTGCATTTTGTACCCATGTGATTCGCAAACTCTTCCAGTCATTCCCTGAGGATTTGGGGGGATTTCCCCCTCCCCTCTTTAGGGGATCCTTAAGGGGATCTTTAGGGGATCCTCTAATCCTTAAGCGTCGTAACCCAGCCCGCTCTCTAAAGTGGGTAAAAGACACTCACACGTCCACAGTTCACAACCGCAACCTTTCAAAACCTCCTAAAGGCAGTGTAGACACTGATTCCAATGTAAACGATGCCAAGACTGTTCATGTGATTGACATCTATAGCCAAGTGCAGTTACACATTGTTTCACCTTGTCTGCACTAGTGCGCGCTGCACATGTGTAATGCAGAAGGAGTGGGGTGCCCACAGCAGAATACTCTGAGTGCGTAATGTAAGGGCAGAGTGCTGCATATGTGCTGCTCTGATGCAGCGAATAGGGTGCATTTACATTGCTAAACTGAAGTACGCTGCATCACACGGCTCTTACACAGCGTGCTCACTTAGTCTGATCAGTGAGATTCATTCATTGCGGTTAATTACCTTCTGTCTGTTCAAGCTGCTTGCATCCTGCAAGAGATTAATGAGAAAGCGAAAAATTAACGTCTTCTCAAAACTCTTGGAGGATGCTAAGTTGAATTGAAGGATGCCTGCCCTTCGCGTGAGTTTCTGATATCTCCTCAGGCTAGAGATTTAGTCTAGTGTTAAGTGTCATTGAACTTTTCTCATTAATCTTTCTTGTTTGCACTATACTCATGGGGTAAATGGAGTTTACACAATCCTTGCAACACCACACTCTCATTCTCCATCCCAAAGACATTCTTCTTTGACCGCACTTTCACTTATCTTCCCGAAGCCCTCAGCTCGGGTGCAAACCTCGACTGTCCACCCATCATGAAACCAGGCATTGTTTCAGGTATATTTGGATTGATGCCCATCCTCCCCTCAAACTCACCACTGGAAATATGCATTGAACATATTGACGCTCAATTCACCATTAAATACAAGGTGCAGGTGCATACCCATCCAGCAGAGGGCAACAGTGTCCTGCCTACACGAAATAACAGAGCAAAACACAGTTTTTGGGTCACCAATACCCCTGGACTTACACTCCCTGGACCACCAACCCCACCTCCCCATCCCTCCCATGACTATGAGGGAGCCAGAATGATTGGGTGTACAAGAATCCTCCGCCTCCCCACCCCAGAAATCAGTCAGGCAGATAGAAACCATCACGAACCATATTTCCATCTCAGTTGGCAGCTCTCTGACAAAGAAAGTTGGTCTACGGTTCTTTTCAAACTCCTATCCACCTCTGGATAAATAACTCCCCCGTTCCTGGCCCAAGTTCGTGTGCCCCCCCCTTACTGCCGCACTCTTTGCCAGACTCCCTTACCACTCTGCCCATCACTCACTGCTCTCACAATTTAACTGAGCCACTGAACCTCTGGTCCTTCACTCCACAGCTGTTAGCAAGGACATCGCTGTGCACAAAATTGGCTGCCTAATTCGCGCACAAAATACACAGTCACTACACTTTACAGTGTAATGAAGTGAAGCGCTCTGAGATATCTCGACGACGTGATAAAGCGCTATATCAAGGGCAAGGTTTATTATTATATCACTGACAGAAATAGTAGGCAAAATAGATGCTCGGAAACAGCCTTTATTTTCTATACTCTAATAAATCATTCACGTGTGGGTTAAGAAGGTGGGAATATGCTGACAATACACATTACCAGATCAGAACACTCGCACAAATGATGAAGCGACAGCATCACATAGATTCAACCCAGTGAGAGCAAATACTGGCCCACGTCCATCACACGGCTCACAGGCATTTCCATACAAACAATGTCAAATGTATTCCAGCGATTGCTGACTGTGCTCGCCGACTCTGCCAGCTGTTCGCACCCTCCTCCCCCATGCCAGCTGTTCACCTCCTCCTTTCCCCCACTCTTCCTACCTCCACTGACACTACGCTCATTAACCTGCAACAGCTGTTTAGATACAGCAACAGCAGTCGCTCATGTATCATTAAGTAAACCATATGCCAGTTTGGCTCAGTTGGCAGATCAGTCTTGCCACTGGAACGGAAAGTTCCAAATCCACCTTAAATTCACTGTCCAAGCTGACGCTCCAATGTAATGCTGGGTAAACGCTGCATTGTCAGAGGTGACTTCCTTCCGATGAGACCTTAAACCAAGATCCCGTCTGCAGGTGAATGTTAAAAGATTCCATGGCACTATTTCAAAATAGAAGTTGAATTTCTCCTGGCCAACAATCCCAATCCTCCAGATTAATTGCTCCGGATTGTTTGCGGGATGTGATGTGTGCATATTGGCTGCCGCGTTTGGCTACGAAAACAGTCACTACACTTACAATTATTGTAAAGTGCTTTAACGTGTTTCAGTATAAGACACCACAAAAATGCAACTTCTTTTCCTGGTCCTTCAAATCCCACTGACAGCTTCCCAAGACATTAACATTTAAATTATTGGTTCAGTTTCAGGTTTTTTGTTTCTTTTCCCGATAACTTTGCTGAGAGCCTTCCATCATTTGACCTGAATCATCAGTGAATTCCCTGAGATGGTGAAATGTGAGCATGACTTACTGAGGCAGTGGTTCACGGATTATAGGCCAAAATTGCACAAAGTCTTAACTTGTCAGGCTATTGTATCTTGAAATTCATGAGAGTGCAGAATTGTGGAGTACTGTTAAAATTTGCTTAATTTGAAAACTAGTTCTTTTTAAGAACTGCAAAAAAAGTCCACGTGTCAAACCGGCTCAGTTAGAAGGACTCTCCAAGTCATGAAGGCAGTGGGTTCAAGTCACAATGGCTGGGATTTGACCTCACACACTCTAGGCTGACATTCCAGTACAGTGATGGGGTTCCCTTCCATTGGTGAAACTTGATGCGATATTAAACCGTGCTTTTGATGAGATGTTAAACCAAGCTACTTGTTGACGTGGATGATAAACATCTCTTCGAAAAGAGAAAGGAGTTTCTCCTGATGCCCTTGTCAATTGTGCCCGAGATAAAATTGGTCATTCGCTTTGTGGCTGTTTCAGGGATATTGCTGTATCAATTGGCTGCCACGTTCACTTACAAAGGCACAGTCAGTACATTTAAGAGTAAATTCTGTGAAGTGCTTTGAGGCATCTTCCCGACGGCAAAGGAGTTAAGTGAAATGTAGTTGTCCTTATTATTATCAGTGGAGGGAGTCCTGTAGCTCAGTGGTTAGAGCACTCGCTTTGCAAGCGAGAGACCTGAGTTTAATTCCAGGCAGAGGGCGAAACCTTGGGCAAGTTTCCTTACTCCACACAGAGCCTAATAATAATCCCTCCAAAACCAAAACAATAATAAATTGGTCATTTTCAATCCACGACTGTTTGTGGGACATTGCTGTGCGCAATTGGCTGTCCGTGTTCGCCCACAAATATACAGTCAATTCACTTTACAATGTGTTCTGTGAAGCGCTTTGGGACGTCCTCCCGACGTGAAAAGCGCTATATCAAAATGCAAGGATTATTATTATTAAAACCAACGTCCAGATTAAGGCTGAATTTAAGAATTTTACCCAATCTTAATTTTTAAAACAAAGTGCTCTTACTGAATGGAAAATCATCCAGTAAGATCTGTCTTCTCACTGTGACGCTGGGTTTGATTACTGTCTCACAACACCTCTTTCCTGCTGTGAGCTCACTCACAGATGTGCCTCAGAGCTAAGCAGCTGTTGCAGGAGCTCACTGCGTAGCTGGGGATATGGAGACTGCCCTGGGGCTAGGAAATCAACCCTCTGTTCTGAATGTGGAATCTTAACCCTTCAACTCAGTAAAAGTTAACGCAGAAACCCCCTCTGTATTGGGACTCTAAACCACATCTCCGTAACATCAGACCCACACACAGCTCCCAGTGTAGGGGACATCACAGAAACTCATTTACTAAGCACTTCAATGCAACATTTCATAATAAGTAATTGCTAAGAAATTGCACTCTGGTCTACATTGACTTGAGTTATGCGGCATTTCGGAATGGCCCAGAATTTGGCAAAATTATTGAATTCAGTCTTAACTTTGAAGTCGGTTTTCTGCAGGTATTGAACTAAATTTACTGAAAGCGTAAGGCTGTTCTGTTTAAGAGTTCGAAAATTCTGGACATTGTAAAATGTTACAGAAATCTGGACTTGGGTGGATTCACACTGACTCTGAATGAGTTGAAGGAATATTCATCGGAATTTCAATCAGTAGTTCTCAGCACATGGGGTGGGTTGAGGTTTTTATTCCTTGTGAGTGGAAACAATAAAGGGAGCAAAGATAAAAGTAGCTGATGGCTTTGGACTGGGGTGCAGTTTAGAGGGAATTTTACAGCTTTATTCTACATTGAATCTGTCCTGTAACTGACCTGGTACTATTGGACGGACAGCGTAGAGGGAGCTTCACTCAATCTCTAACCCATTGCTGTACGCATTAGAAAAAAAAACTGTCATTACAGTGTAAGTTGACCCCACAAATGACAAACATAATGTAAAATCAGTGTTATTCTCACTCCCAATGCTCAGGGGAGCAATGGGTATGAGAATGAGGCTCGAAACTACAACCTAATGACTAAGAGGCAAGAGATCTACCAATTCATCCAGGCTGACACACATACAATATCCAAACATCACCACCCCGCTCCCACACACACACACACACACACACACACACACACAACAGGAACATTCTCCCTCCCTAACTGAGGGGCACTGGAATCCCATCCCTGTTCTGCCTAAGACCACCTAACTTTATAAAGATTGGGATTTGAATCTGTGGCTCCTGGTCAGCATAACCTTGTGATGGGTTTACGTTTCCCCAGTGGGTCAGTGAAGGAGCCCAGTATCACAGATGTATCCCAATCGTCTACAATTCTGTTCACGTTTTGTTTGCCCTCATTTCAATACAATTACTGCCGAGGACACCTCACCACTCATGACAACTCATAGCATTTTCAACAGCTTAAGAAAGGTTTTTCAAGACATTTAAATAAATGAATAATGTGCGGTACTCACATTTTGTCCCAAAGGCCCCTTGATGCACGATTTACACTGAAATAAAGCAGACGGTAAGTGTCACTCAGAGAAGGCCTAAGACACCAGAGACATATTGGATGCAAACATCACTGAGGTAATTGCACACAAAATAATCTGATCCTTTGCATCTGATAAACTCACAGAAAACTTTGCCCCATCAGTGTTTAATTTGCGTAATTTCTTCACAGATATCCTTATAGGGAACGGGTAATTATAGACTATGGAAAGGGGAGCAAGCAATGTAAATGTCTATAATCAGTGCGTTTCAGCAAATCCGCAATTATCATTGCAGCAATCTGAATGAGAACAAATTCCACAGTTCTTTTTAAAAATTCTGTTAAGAAATTCCGCAAGTTAGACCATACTCTCTGTATCTCTACAGATCCTCAATGACTAACTTCAGGGTTTTAGCAAGAAGCAAACCCTTGGGTCTCTACAGCACTCATGGTTTTAGCTGAACCCAAAAAAAACAGAATTACTCAGAAATTAACTTTAATAGAGGTAGCCTGAGAGATCCAGGTGACGTAGGTACAAGAAGGGACTGTGAAAACTAGAGGACACAGAATTAAAATGAACAAGCCTGCAGCGTGTCGGGAGATTACAAGGATTATTTCCCTCAGGTATTATAGTGCGACAAAAGAAGGTTTGGGCTTTTTTTTGTTGATTAACAACTGCTAAAAATAATCTGACAAATATCTGGCTGGGAATAGTAGTGTAGGATATATGGAGGACATTTGGAGGATGTGTGTCATTTGGGTGTGTGTCAGCCTGGCTCAGTTGGCAGCACTCTTGTCTTTGAGTCAGAACGTGCATTCAAGCTCCACATCGGGACTTTGAATTGACTTTTAATTCACAGTCAAGATTGGTACTCCAGTCAGTGCCATGATGCATTACAGACTGCGAGCAGACACCCTGACCTTGACCCTGGCCATCCCCAAAACGAAAATCTCATCCTGATCGTGTTTCACGCCATTTCTTATGAAACCAGTAAATTCTAACACCAATCCTAACCTTTGATACTTTAGGAGGACATCTCAAAGCGCATTGCAGGATATACTGTAAAGTGGAGCGTAAATGTTATGTGGAATGCGCACACTTTTGTATCCTGTGTATACTGTGCACACTTCATAATACTGGGTCACCAAACCATGATACAGCAGAACAGACATTAATGGGGAATTAACACAAATCAGATCAACACTGAGTGTGTGATTTGGCTGAAAGTCCAGTTTGACTAGTTTCAGATGTGTATCTGATAAAACCAGCCACCCTCAAAGTCTTCCATTATTGCCAACTGATAGTCTCAGTCTATAGTTTTCCCTGGTTGCTCTTTCTTTCTTGAACTGTGCTGCAGTCAAACTGAAGGCAATAAACTCAAGAGTTTACAAGTTTCTGCGTTGGATCTGAACGTTTATTTTCTCTAACAGTAAAGGCTGCCCAGACTAAAGCAGACAGGAGCTGGCACACAAGGCATTGCTTGTTCCATTTGGCAACAGTTTGGGGACAGTTGAGTTTATCAGATACCACATCTGAAGCTGATCAAGTGGTCAAACATTTGGAAAGTGGAAGCCTAGACCAAGCCAGAGCCAGAACCTCAGCTTTGCTCTGAGCATATCAGCCCAAGTGTAAACAATGTTATTTGCCACCAGAGAAACACAGCGAACTCAGTCGTGGCATGTTATGCGAAAGAATCGAATTAACACTGGGAAACACTGGGCATTTCTGCCCTAGAAAAAGGCACATCATCCAATAGGTGATTTTCCCTATCTCCCCCACACCCCACCATTCCCCCAACCTCTCTCTGTCTCTCTCTGTGTCTCTCTGTTACAGTCATGCTGCTGTAATCAGGTCTGAACCTAGAGAACTCATGTCAGTCCATAGGCCTTAGAAAGAAGGTGAAGGACTAAAGTCACAGCGAACGAGGGGGAAGATGGAGGAGGTTAGACGCAAAACTTATTTTTAAAAACTTTTAAAGTGAAGGATTTGGAAAGGAAGAGGGGGGAAAGAGTGATATAGTCTTGGAAAGCTCCTTGGAAAGAATCAATTCGATGAGAAAACAGTGCAATAAATCTACACAGTGCAGTGAGGAAGGAAATGGGGTAGGACAGTGCGTATTCAGAGATTGGAGGAACAATTACTATAGTATTCTGAGAGAAAGACTTCAAAAGAACAAGTGGAGGTGTGAAAGATATCATGTAGTTTTGATTTTGACTCTCTCACGGAATGTATACATGGTAGCAAATATTTTACTCATCAAAACAGAAGCTTGTGGGTTCAAGCCCCACGTTGGGGCAAATGTAAGAATTTATTGTATTACTATATTGGCTTTCAATGTTTGGCTCCCAGAATTTCAGGCCTTTGAAGCTACAATTGGGAAGAGGCACGATGGGTAATCTGAAAGGGTGAGATTAAATGGGCCGAGGGCCATAATCCTCCAAAACTGCCTTGTGAGATACATACTATACTGGGTGAGGTTTGAAATTGGGCCATTAAGATGAAATAGTCCATGCCACAACCAACAAGGAATAGTGTTGAGGTGGTTTGTAATTGGCTTCAGATAAAATATCCCACAAACAGTCATGAAGGCACTGCTGACTCCACTTGACATGGTTGCATCCAACCGAGCGTCGAAAACATTAGTGTAACTATCTCTGAACAATAATATAGGTTTGCATCAATAATCAAATGAGGTTTACGAGGCAGCAATGACAGGCCACAAATTCCTTTTCTTAACCAATGATTACAAGTAAATAACTGGAACTTTGCACGACACACAATCATCACAATGAATGTGATGACAAAAGATCATTAACCTAAAAGGTTAAGTCATTTTTCTCTCTCCGTAAATGCCGCATGACCTGCTATGTGTTCCCAGCGACTTCTGCGTTTACATCACAATGAATGGGGTCTATTCATTCAGGATCCGCTTTAAAGACAGTTAAAAATACACTTGAGAGCCATTTCAGACCTTTACAGATATTTTTTTCAGGTTGGCAAGGGATTTCAGCAAACTGGAGTTTGGATGGAACTTTTCTGTGTTCCAGGTAAGTTTAGCCCCAGGTGTTGAACAGACGACAGCCGGGTCTGGCAACAAATCAGTGTGGTTACACTGCCAGCCAAAATCAACAGCAGCCGCTCCAGGCTAGGAACATGCCCCTTGCTGCTCTGCCGCTATCATAATAAGCCAGTGGACGAGCAGTGAAGGCGGGCACTAGCTCAGTCGTCAGGTCCACACATAGAGTAACTTGTTACCCAGCTGGTGCACAGCCTCACTGCTAATGGAACTGCTGTCCTCCAAATCCCCCAACTGACAATAATAATCCTTGCATTTGATATAGCGCCTTATCATGTTGTTAAAGATGTTAAAGACATGGAGTCCTGTATCTCACTGGTCAGAGTACTAGCCTCACAAGTGAGAAAACTGGGCTCGATTCCCAGCAGTGCAAAATGTTGAGCAAGTTTCCTTACTCCACATGACTCTGTTTACCTAGCAGTAAGTAGGAACCCGGTTATTAGTCAAATGCAAGGATTATATTATTAGTCGATTGGCGGATCGCTTTTCTGGGGGTAATAATTCCTTTCAAAGATAACTAATAATAATGAATTGGTCACTCAATCCACGACTGTTTGTGGGACGCTGCTGTGCGCAATTGGCTGCTGCGTTTCACCCACAAAATATACAGTCAAATCACTTTACAGTTTATTCTGTGAAGGCTTTGAGACATCTCGAAGACGTGATAAGGTGCTATATCAAAATGCAAGGATTATTATTATTGTCTCAAAGTGTTTCCCAGGAGGGTACTGTGAAGAATAGTGACTGGTTTGTGTATTTGTAGGTGAATGTGGCAACCATATGCACACACCAATGTCCCACAAACAGTCATTAAGTGAGTGACCCATTTTATTTGGGGGATTGTCAGCTAAGATACTGGGAGAGAACAACTCCCTTCTCTTTCCGATAAAAGAAAATAGAAAGAATACCTTAAGGAACATTGATCCAAATCGTGGTCGAAAAGCTATGGTTTTATGTGGCTGAAGTCAAGAAGAGTTTTGAAGAAAGGATAGACTGCAATGGTGATGGCTGAAAGGTTTAAGGAAAGGCAATAAGGAAATGTATAAAGAATGAGCAATAGACTAGAATAGAGAGTAGGGGATAACTATAGAAGAAACGAGACTTGGAGGGATTTGAAAGTCGGGTCAAGACACACTGTCTCACTCTGACACTGGAGCATTGTGAGCTCAAGTTCCAACAATGGGTTTGAACCCACAGCTTTCTGTCCAACGGGTGAGAGTGTTGCCAACTGAGTCATACTATTTGTCCAAAGCAATCACAAGGTTAAAGCTATTGTGGAGCCTTGTGGAGAATAACTGATAACTCATTTGCTCAACAGATTTGCTGGTGCCCTTCCACCTCGGCACAATATGTGTTCAATGTATTCCGAGGTACCCTGGTGCCGAGTTTTCAAGGTTAGAGTCACTTGCTCGCTATCCCATCCAGTCCGAGGCTTACAAAGCCATGTGATGACAGACTTACCTCCCCCTGTTCCCTTCATTTCCTCAGTTACAGCCCAGCTGCTCTCCTTTACATCTCATCTCCTTCCTGTCAGTTGGACCTCTCTCTCGGTCTCCTTTGCTGCTATTGCTCATATTACCATCTCCACGCATCAATGCTTTCTTTCTCTCCCTATGGCTCTTGTTGTTCTGAATCACTCCTTCACCTCTCCATCTCCTTCAGCTTGTCAAGATGTTGCTGTTATTTCTGAGCTCATTCCTCTGCTGCTCTCTCACCTGCTTACATCACTTTTATTTCTGCCCCCCTCCCCCACCCCCTCCAATGTGTTCTCAACAACAATTTAGCTTATATAGCACCTTTCACATAGAACATCTCAAAGTGGTCAACAGGGATCACAGACAAACCAGTGTCCAGAAAGGAATCTGAGAGAAAACTGGAAAGGAAACAACCATTTTCTTTAAGTACAAACTCAATAAAGTTCCTACGAGTCAATAAATGCAGATGTTATTGGGATCACGACTTGGCACTGAGCCTGTGAGAGGCAAGAATGTCAGGAAGGAGATGAGATGTGAAGGAGAGCAGCTGGGCTGTAACTGAGGAGATGATGGGAACAGGGGGAGGTAAGTCTGTCAGAGGACGGCTTTGTACTCACGCTGCCTATTATAAGTTGGCCTGACCTGAGAAAGTTTATTTGAAAGGATTAGTTTTAAAAGTTATAATTAAAGGTTGGGTGGAAAATGGATAATCGCATAGGCGAGAATCCAGGTAAATGCGATGTGTTGTTGTAGGCGGAGTTGCGTGCTTTTAAATCTTGAACACTTTTGGAATTGATATGTTTTTACAAGATAATGTGTGTAGGCGAGGGAGGGCAGGAGGCAGTGGTGGAGAGAAGGAGACTTGATACACACACCCACACAGCAGGAGAGAGACGGAAAGCATGTACTTGCTGTTGCTTTAATGACCAGTTCAAGTGGGCGTTGGGAGCATTGAGGTTACACTGGGATTATCCGATGGGTTTATGGCTACTGTGTGGTCAGGCATGTAGATAGTGCAGAGTACAAGAGATGCTGATTGAGGGACTGACTGCTTGCCTCACGTAATTTACCTTACAATAATTACTGTAATGCACTTTTTGAGACGTTTTGTACAACTGTACAGCGCCTTGGGACATCCTCCCGAAGTGAAAGGCGCTCAATAAATGGAATCTTCTTGTTGTTGTTGTTGTTTTGACATGATAGACACTATAAAGATGCACGTATTCTTCCTTACTGGCCAGCCACTGGGAGCAGGTCAGGAAGGATAATCAAGCTTTAGAGAATTGCTTGTGATTCAGCCACAGAGAAACTAGGATTCTCTTCAGACTGGGCTAGCGTCCAAAATAACTTGTTGGAGGCCGAGGTGGGAGGGGAAGGAGCACTTTGTGCAGCCGGTCTGTAGTTAAGAAGAAACCCAGATGTTTACTCACGCTCGGGTCAAGGCAAATCGCTACAGCAATGCCCAGCAGACAGAGAGTAAAACATAGCCAGGACTGACTGAAGAAATCTGTCTTGTAAACTCCCTGTGGCCCGAAGTCAAAACAGTTCCGGAGAGCTGAGCCCCTCTGTTTTAATCATGATTTATAGCGTATGGCATTTACAATTCCGTGTCGGAAATCTGTACAAGAAATTAGAGGAGGAATCTCCTTTACGTTCTGATCACTACAGTGATTACTCTGTGGTCACTTGCTTTGTGTCTCCCCACCCTATCCCCTCATCAATTGGATGAGCTTTTAGCCAATTTGCCACCCCCCAACCCCCCTTCTCTCTCTCTCTCTCTCTCTCAATCCCTCACTCCATTTCTTTCTACCTTCAAAACATGTCTAATACCATCTGTTTGACTGCTCCTTTGGCCACTCCCCCCTCTGTCTCTATTGAAGACGTTCTCCTATGGGAAAGGCATTATAGAAGTGCAAATTGCTGTTGTATTGCACAGTGTTTGGAGGCAGCCATTACCCTGTGAGCCTCAATGATCGGTTCGTTCTTGCTCTTTGTTCTTAAGTCCACAAAATATACAGTCAATTCACTTTACAGTATATCCTGAGAAGCGCTTTGAGACATCTTAACAATGTGATAAGGCGCTATATCAAATGAAAAGATTATTATTATTATTATTCATTCAGTGTCCAAAAATGAAAACACACAATCTAGATCGGTGTTGCCCAATCCATGGTACCACTGCTCTGGATTGTGCATTTAATAAATCTAGAAATATTCAATCGAACATCTTTATTTCATTGGCCGACCAAAAGGGTTGGCCACCACCGATCTAGAGAATCAATGAACAATATGTGGGCCGAGCTGAAGCTGAGGAAAGGCAGCAGTTATGGAATGTCAGTCTGAAATGACCGTAGTTCTCTCTCATTGTAAACCACAGCCCTTCAGTCTTAGATTAGAGATGATGGGCCAACTTTGTTCAAGAAACAGGGAAAAGAAAAAAAGGCTTCAACAGCAAAGGAAAGGCAGGCAGAGGATAGTAAAAAAAATATCGGGAGATAGTTTGCAACACGGTACTGCTAAAGTCTAAAGAAAGACATAACAATAACAATCCTTGCAATTTGATATAGTGCCTTTCATTAGTTAGGAGGACTTCTCAAAGTGCCTCACAAGATTTATTGTAAAGTCTAGCAGCAATACTTTGCAGGCAAAAACATCAGCCAATTTTGTGCACAGCAACATTCCCACAAACAGCCATGGAGTGAATGATCAGTTTTATTTGTGCAATTGCTGGTCAAGCCATCAGGAGAGGAAACATAATCCCCAATTACAGCCAATGTGATTACACAACAACAACAATAAAACCTAAACCTGAATTAAACCTCTCAGCGGGTTCAGGATCCACAACACTTCACCTGCTCCCCCAATGTGCCTGCGAAGAGTTACTGCACTTAACAGTAATTACCAGACAGGGACAGACCACACCGATCATAACAGAGCCTGATGCCATCCTTACCAACAGTACATATACATTCAGTTTCCACTGGACGCCACTGGACAGCACTGGATGGATGGATGGATGGATGGATGGATAGAACCCAGTCTCCCTTTCTCTCCCCCACCCACCCCCAGTCCAAGTCTCCAAGGCCTGTAACTCCCTCGATCAACACCCAGATGAGATTAGTATCTCTGCACAGAGCATGAATTGAACCTGACAACTGGCTGGTTGGATGACTCAGTGCAACACTGGGCAGTGCCTTCAACTGCTGGCAATGTAATAAACATTGCTTACCTTTGGATCCACCTTCCCACTGGCTTGAAGAGTGGCGTCTGCCAAAGCTACCTTCTTCTCCGCGTTCCGTCTGCTCTTTGGAATCCGTGTTTTACACTGTGCAAGAGATGATCAACCTGGGTTAATTATCAGAGAGTAGGCACGAACTCCTCAACTTCAAATACAATATATTACTTAACAAACCACCCTCATTTTAGTCATATAATCACAAATAAAACATGAATAAATGGTGCACTAATCATTTGATTCATTGAGCGCTCACCATTGGACAGGTCAACTCCCAAATAAGGGGTGAGAACATGGAAGGTGCAGAAAGTGCTGGTGCTCAGGCCACTGACTCTTTGAAAGAGTGTGGACAGATGTCGAATGGAAGGGAATGTTCTCCTTATTTGGGGCTTGGATGTTCTGGCAGGAAATGATCAGTTCCTGGAGGGATTTTGGCACTTACCCCAACGCCTGGTATTTCACAGCAGGTCTCCAGTTCGGCCATGGAGGGGCCACAAAATACAATCATCTGCTGGATGTCAACCTGGGACCGAGAGCAGAGGTAAGATTAGAGACAAGATGACGGCCTTCTGTGTGAGCTGCTGGTTTTGTTCACTTTGAGTACTGACCTGTGCCCACTCCTCCATATGGACGGACAGAGCAGCAGATAAGAGTCTCTGCCTTATTTTTGGCAGCTAGGTACCTGACACACGAGTAAACCCATAACCATGCTTAAGAGAATCCAAACCAAACTACAGAGAATTCTACTATGTTTGCTAATTTCCTGTCCTCTGGCATGGAGTATGCTCTCTCTCCCAAGAGGGACTCACCCTGCTTAATCCTGAGTCTAGGGGCAAGCAGGCAAGAGCCAAGACTTGGTGGGTGGGGCGCAGAAGTCATTTGGCTACTGATGATAGTTTAACCAATTAAAACCATGCAGCTAACCATTGCAAACATTGGCACACTACTTCCTGTTGCTCAGGGCTATGGTTTGCAAAGTTAACAATGTATCCCACAGCCTCCAATATTAAATGTTTTATTAAGTATATTTTATGGTATTGGCCCATGTGTGTGCTGGGAGCTTTTTTGTTACATAGCATTTAGCCAAGGAGAAAAGACTAGATTCAGAGAGGAAAAATATATCCATAAAATTTATTTCACACATATGGTAAACTTTTATAATATATGTAGCGCAAAAAAGCAAAATGGTTTCACGGAAACTAGACTCTCAAATCTGGTCAAAGGACAAAATACTGGAAATACTGTTGGAAATTTGAACAGAAATAAGAACAGCAGTCACTGGGAACACACAGCAGGTCAGGCAGTATCTATAGAGAGAGGAAAAATAAGTTAATGTTTCAGGTCTATGACCTTTTGTCAGAACTTAGGCCTATGTCACTGGGTTACCTCGAGCGGCTTCTCCCCCTCGGCTGTCTCTGCGATGACGGTTCTCCCCTCAGTGTTGATACTCGACCTCTCCTCGATCGATTTGATGGCGATCAGCTTGCAGTCGAGGTAGAGGGATGCCATGTTGCCCTGCACGCTGATGGCGAGCTTGTGCCACCGCAGATCAAACATGGTGGCCACACCAGCGCTGCCGAACACCCAGCGCACAGAGTCCTCGAAACGTCCCCGGGCTTTGTACTCCACCGTCTTGTCCCGACCGTCAACCCGCACGGAAAACTGGAAGCAAAATGCAATCACCACCAATACATATTTCATATCTTGTCATCGGGTGACGATTTCAAGATTACACTCTTCTTCAAATGCCTCCATGCCCTGACACCTGCCTACCTCCCTGACCTGCTTATACCCCAACCCACTACCCATTGCCTCAACTCGATTAGCTCCGGCCTCCTCCTTTGTCTGTCTTGCCCTCTGTTCCACCATCAGTGGCTGTGCTTTCAGCAGCTACACCCTGAAAATCTTGAGCACTCTCTCCCTCTATCTTGTCCCCTTTCCTTCCCCATCTTCAGGTCGCACCTGAAGATCTTCCTCTTCGACCATGCTCCCCGGCTCAACGTCGTGCTCCGCCACTGTCAAGCATTCTGAGAACCTACCCTGGGTGAGGGGAGGTGGTGTTGGTGGTGGTGGTGGTGGGGGGGGGAGCGCAAGTTGCTGTTGTTGAAGACAACAAAGAGCTGAGCTAAAGTATTTCAACCTCAAAATAAAACCTCTCAAAGAGCGTGTAGAAGGTGTTAAACTGGGTTGGAAAAGTAAACCCAGAATAATTATTTCTCCTGGACTTTACCCCAACAACAACTTGCATTTAGCTAGTGTCATTCACTCGGGGTAGCGGGTCAGAGTGCTACCCTTTGCCCTCCCTGTAACCCTCCCTGTGTTCTGACCCAAGATCTTACCTGTGTCAGACCCTCCTGATCTGCGACCTTGATGAGGTACCAGTTCTCCCTCAGAGTCTTCCTCTTCAGCAGCAGGATAGCGGTGAAGGTGAACTGCTGTGGTAGCCCTCGTGGGAACACATGCCTACACATGGAAAAAATCACAGCATCACTGATCATGCTGCACGCAGCGTGTCCAGAGAGCATCAGCCACCCCAGAGGACAACACACGACAAGAAAAGCACTAAGAATGAATACATTTCGCCCACAAAACACACATACAGTTACTACACTCTACAGTATATCCTGTGAAGCGCTTTGAGATGTCTCAAAGACGTGATGAGGCGCTATATCAAACGCAAGGATTATTATTATTATTAACCAGACAAGTGCCTCAGACAAGGTGATCCTGGGATCTACAAGGAAACCAGGCGAGGGTCTGGTTTTGTTATCAGGAGCTGTAAGTACTAGACCAGCGCCTAGAATTGGAAATGCAGTTGATTCCCTGTTATAATGTGTTTTTTATAGGGTGGGGGGTTTGGGGGCAGTTCACTTATAGCACGCTTGTGTCCCTCGGCATTCCCTTACAGGAAAAAACAAAGTGCATGCAGATAGCCAGCCACTGTCCGGCATCCGAAAACTCAGTGACTTCCAATAATAATAATCCTTACATTTGATATAACACGTCAGAAGGACATCTGAAAGCACTTAAAACAGCTGATTGGAAGACCGAGGCTGTGAAGAGGGACGGTGACTGAAGGCACAGTCAACATAATAATAATCCTTGCATTTGATATAGTTCCTTATCCCGTCGTTGAGACGTCTCAAAGCGCTTCACAGCATATACGGTAAAGTGAATTCATTGTATATTTGGTCACTGTCAACATAATAAACAAGGCAAACAGGAGGATGGTCTTTATTGCTAAATGAATTGTGTTTAGATCCCCATACGGCATAGTCAGGCTACACGGTGATCTGGTCAGGCCACACCAGGAGTAGTGCGTACAGCTCTGGTCACCACAACGTAAAGGGCTGTTGAGGCCCTCGAGGCTGTGCAGGAGAGCAAGGAGCATTATCCGCAGTGTTAGAGGAATGAGCTGCGAGCTGCGACTAGACAAGATCGTGCTCTTTAGTAGAACAGGAGTACACAGGCTTAGAGGTACAAAGGGCAATTTCAGGACAGATACCAGGAAGTCTTTCTATACGTGAAGTGTAATCAATGACTGGAACGGGTTGCTAGAAAAGGTGGTAGAGGCCAGGACACTAGACTCATTTTAAAAAGCATGCTGTGATGGGACGGTGGGGCGGGTTTTTTGGAAGGATGAGATGGGATGTGCTGCAGGGCCAAATTCCTATGTTTGCCTATAGTTATCACACTTCACAGTAAAATGCTAGAACGCTCCATTGCAGCGCTGGAGGAGGGGTTGGTGGTGTTGCATTGTGAGAGGTACCATCACTCAAATGAGATATTAAAGACATGAGACTTTAAACTGAGGTCCCGTCTGCTTGTTCAGGTGGACGTTAAAGATCCTCTGGTACTATTCGAAAAGAGAATGGAGTTTTCGATCGCTCCTTTGGTCACCCTCTAACCCCTACCCTCCGTGCCCTCCACCTCTCCTGATCCCAGTCCCTTGCTCGGGTCCAAATCCCTGATTTTCCAGCGCCTTGGGACATCTTCCCGACATGAAAGGTGCTATGCAAATGTAATTGTTTACTGCTGTTGTTTTTCCCGCTATGTTGCTATGCCCACGGCACAGTAAAAGCGAGGTTTTAAAGAGGGTTCTTAAGGCAGGCAGAGAAGGCACATGATGAAGAGATTTAGGGACTGAGTGGGGTTGCATTGCCTGGAGCTTGGCCACTAATAATTCTTAAAGACCAATTATAGCTTAACATTTATAGCAAAGGAAACTGCTTGGGAGAATTGTAAGGGATGCTAAACTGTCTGTGTAATGTTTCTGGTATGGTCATAAAACATAGGGTTCTCCCAGTGGGATTTCCTGGAAAATAAAGGGATATGCTATGTGTGTGGGCAGAGATGCCGAGAGGTACAGGCAAGGTTCAAATTTGTTACCCAAAGCGATGCACCATAATTTGGTCAGGTCTTACACTGAGTGAGAGGGCTTTGTGTGTAAAGTCAATAACTCCAGTTATCCTGATCCAGCAATTGTTAACCCGCCAATAATTCAAACACAGACATCTCTTTAGCAATGGAAACAACAGATGATGAACCCAGAAACACTGCACACATTAGAGCAACTGCACGAGCAAGGTTTCTGTGCCAGAGCTATCAAATGGACAGACTTTAATTTAATTCCCTGAAGTTGTGAGACAGATTAGCCTGCTCTCCCTGCAAATATAACCCTGCATCAACGCCCAAATGCAATTCAGTAAAAGTTGCATAAACCTGATCCTTTCGTATACATTGTATAATCACCTAAGTTGTACATCTGCCCAAGGCCCATTCAAACGTCTATATTCTATGCAAGTTTGACATAATTCATACTTTCCATAAATCATATTAAATGTACGGTCCCACCTGATACGACTTGTGAGGTTTACTGTGATATAAAACCAGCCACCATGTGACTAACACGTCAAATCTGAACTTGAAGAGCAAAATATCTTCCAGCATCAGAGAGGCCTGACAAGTCATTGCGGGTTAGTTAAGACATTACCAACTCAAATTAATCCTCACTAAAAAATGCCCGTGTGAGTCCAACGATGTCCTGAGAGCTGAAAACCTCTCTAGCGCACGCACGTTTAATGTAAACGCACTACATGCTGTCGCTTTCTCAGGGTAAGAACAATGCTGCTAAGGCTCTCAGAACAACATTGAACGGGAACAAAGATGACAATTGCGGAAAATTGTATTGAGAACATACTTTGACATTGCAAATGAGATGAGAGTAGGGTGGGAGAGAGTCAGAGTAGCAAGCTCCAGCTCCAATGTGGGAGCGAGCACCAGCACAGACACAATGGGCTGAAAACTTTATAGTTGTGACGCTTGTCGCACCTCCCAAGGATCAGAGACGTAGAAGCCACAGACAAGCTTGTCTTTCCTTTTCAGTGCCCTGAGGAATTGCCTCCTACTGGGGCATGTTCCTCTGGCACGTCAGGCAAGGAACGTGAGCCAAGAGGTACTCGCCCTGGGACCATTCCCTCACAGCAGCTTTGGCAGCGACTTCAGGCCGAGGGCTGGCTCCTCACCCTCTCACTCAGAGCCACGTATGAGGCCCAGAGACAGGCAATGCCGCTAGTTACACACATGAGCAAAAATGAGTGCTGTACACGCTCGCTCTGACACGCACAAGCTTTCAATACCACAGGGGAGGGAGAAAGCAGAGAGGTGCCCAGCGGGTCTCACATTACATGTACAATTGCTGAAAAACAAGGCTTCTCAGGGTTTCAGCTTTTACCTGACGTGTGCTGACTACACGGGAACTGAGACTGAAGTACATATGAGCTGTAAAACACCAGACAGAGGTGAATTGCTCCCTTTTAACGAGCAGCGCACAGACAGGAAACTGAGATAAAGGAGCTGTACAACATCAGTATTTGCCCTCAAGTTTAAAGAACAGAAACATCGACCCTAATGAATGCTGCGTCTCTATTTAAAATACAGTAAAAGTGAAACAAAATCTCAAACCTGCCAAACAGAGCAGCTCGTGTCTCTGAACTTTAACAAGGACACACAGTGCCTCAAAGCAGTAAAAACTGGCTTGTGAGTTAATTACTCTCATGAATTGAGTTCCTCACGAGGCTGGTTCACTACGGAATCAGGGCTGCACTTAAACACCCGCAGTGTGGGGAATTAAACGCTGCTCTTGTGGTCAACTCACCATCTCTGCCGGCTCTTGTTCAATGCAGCTTTTTAACAGCTTTGGGTTTTAAAAAGCTGATGCTTTCACCTGCCTCAAGGCGAAAAGATCGACCTGCGATGTTATGTAATAATCAATCCTTTGATTTAATACAGCCTTTAACATCAAACCATTTTGCCCACAACTCACTTTGCAGTATATTCTGTGAAGCGCTTTCAGACGTCTCGAACACGTGATGAGGCGCTACATCAAATGCAAAGATTATTATAAGGGTTATTATTAACATCTCCAATTGCTATCAAGTCACGAGGCGAATCAATGATTTATATGAAGGACTGTTGCTCAGAATACCAAGAGACACCCCCTTCTCTTCTACAGATGGGTGTCTTTAAAATCTATCCAAAACGGGAGCTTGATTTAATCGTCTCATCCGAAACACGGCTGCCTGATAACGTGGTTCTCCCCCATTATTGCCTGGAAGTGTCAGCCTAGACTCTGAGCTCCAAGTTGATGCACTGAAGAAAATTGCAGCCGATATCCAAGTGAGTCACTGCAAACACTCCGTGTGATGGAGAGACCCATTCGCTGCAATCATTGCGTGTGATCCCTATCAATGAATCGTTACCGGACTCTGTTTCACTAAGTCCACATCCTTTTAAGCTAGAAGACTGCAGCTTATAAATAGCCTGTAAAAGTAATGCACAGACTAGTTGGGCCAAATGGTTTGTTTCCTTGCTGTACAATCTATGTACTCAACAACAATCACACAGCACTGGTCACCACAGAATCATAGATATTTAGAGCGCAGAAGGAGCAATTCAGCTGATCAAATCTGCACTTGCACTCAGAACAAGCTGTCCATTCAATCCCACTGCTTTGCCCTGTCACAGAATAAAGACATAGCTTCAAGACCTTCATATAGGCTGTAACTTACTCAGTGGGTTTGGAGAGAGGAAGTTTTCCTAGTTTTGCGATTAAAGAACCCTTTGAAGTTCGGATTTTCTTGATCGCTGGAGTCTTAAAGAGCGAGAATCTTTTCATCAGGTTAAAGCCTGCACGGAACAGTAAAGCCATCAATGTTGCAGTATTTCATCCTCACATCTGCATATTCCTTATGTTCAATGGACTCCCAACATTTTCGCCCACAAATTACACAGTCAATCCACTTTACAATGTATTCGGTTTGAGATGTCTCAACGACGTGATAAGCTGCGATATCAAATGCAAGGATTATTATATTATTATTATTATAATGCGAGCAGCAAGGTTGGCTGCAGGAGCTTCTCATTGGAGCTGAGCCCAAGCCTGTCCTCACCCAATATCTAATTTCAAACCAATATCATTGGATTTTGAGTGTAAATCTTGGCTAATTTCACCCTCTGTGTTCAGTGATCCCATTTCTGCCTCTACTGAGAGGAGGTCTGAAGTATGTGACTAACATGTGATCACTACAGAGGTCAACGAGCCTCGGCTGGTCACAGGAACTTGCAGGGACAGAGAAAGGGCGTAAGAGGCTGTCTTGACGGACTCATTTTCAAATCCCACCTTTCCCTGTCTCAGATATCCCCCACACCCCCCCACACACACAATCCTCATTTCAATTAAAAACAATCAAATTCCCTCTTATATATGGCCACACTTTCCACTTCCACAGGCAAACAGTTTCACTTTAATCACTTGCCAAGCCATTAACTCAATTCAATCTAAATTGTCTATTTGGCCCCCTCGTCCTTCTGAGATTCAGATCATGGCACTAGTTGAAAATGAAGATAAAACCAGTCCTGGGGTCATCATTTTCCCTGGTAAACATTCCCAGCTCATGTCACCTCCCACTCAGAGCTCACACACACAACCTCATGCATCAATCTAGTTGCTCTTTGCTGTACCTTCTGCAGCACTTGTACGTGATAATTAAAGGACAGATTGCTCAGCTCGGACAAACCACATCTCACCTTAGGCTGTGAGATCACGTGGTTGTAAAATTTCACATCATGCAGAATTCTGAAATTCAGCCTTGATGTGAAATCTGGTAGTTCTTGAAAAAAATAGGGTTATAAAGACATTAAGACTGAGTTTAAGAATTTTTTCACACTTCTGAACAGTCCTAAATTTTAAGACAAAGTGGTTTGCAAGGTTGGACTGAGTGGAATTTGGGGTTTTGAACTGCAATACCTGCCTTGGGACGTCCCCCTGACGTGAAAGGCGCTATACAAATATAATTTGTTGCTGTTGTTGCTCCAAGCGCAACCAGCTTCTAAATGAACAAGAGACAGTCATCACCTGAAGCATTAGCGTACTGTTCCTGGCCCTGCAATTTCCGTCCATCATCGTTTAAACGAGGGCATGGAATATCTGGAAAAGAAAACATTGGCAACTTGTGACAGAATGCATGACACATTGCTGAGAATCCCCACAGACCACCCACCTCCTCTATAATCAAATCCCACTGCTGTCTTTCTAGTCCGTACTGTACACAGATTCAGAGCAGCTTTAACCGTGGGAGGTTAAAGATGTTCTGTGATCCCCACACACTGAGTTCATGTGGAAGTCCAACCAGTGTGCAAAGCTTCATCATCCCTTAGGAGCACAGGAAAACAGAAACAACAGGAGGCTATTCAGCCTAGCAAGCTTGTTCCACATGGCTTATTACATCTTGTCAGAACTTTTGATCCCAATGCCTTGCCCTTTAGTCATACACCCCTCTACTGTCCAAGCCTCTGCCTCGCTCCTTTTATTGATTCCCTGCTTTCTGGTGCAGAATGTTCCACATTCTCACAATCCTCTGTGTGAACAAATGCTCCCACTTCATCATCTTTTCTGCAGTTCGACAGTAAATGGCGGGTTATCTGTACTAATTGGCTTGTTGCCAATAAACAAACCATGTGAACAATCAGATATCATTCAAATGGGTTATAGCACAAAGTAATAATAATCCTTGCATTTGATATAGCGCCTTATCACGTCTTTGAGACGTCTTAACGGGTTTCACAGAATATACTGTAAAGTGAATTGCCTGGATTGTGGGTGAAACCCGGCAACCATTTCCTTACTCTACACGCCTTTGTTTACCTAGTGGGAACCTAATTGTTAGTTGATTGGTAGATTGCTTTCCAGGGGTAATAATCCCTCCAAAAAGAAATCTGGTCACTCAATCCATAACTGTTTGTGGGACACTGCTGTCACAGTTGGCTGCCACGTTTCTCCCACAAAATACAGTAAATTCACTTATAATAAATTGAGACGCCTCAACGACTTGATAAGGCACGATATCAAATGCATGGATTATTATTATTAACTAACCCACCCACAGACTCCACCTCTCTCAAACTCCCTCCTCCTCGGTGTTAAACAACCCTTTAAAGAGGAAATAGACAATTAATTGGGAAAAAATGAAAGAAGACCAAGAAGTACAGGGTGATCAAAAAGTTGCGATACCTACCCAATAACCAAAAAAAATCATTATTTCTTTAAGACTTATTAGACATTATAATGATATCACAACTTTTTGGTCATCCTGTATGAACACGGATTCTGGGAGAACAATTGGTGTGGGTTGATGGTTGAAGTTAACAATAAAATATGAAAAAATTATTACATGGTGTGTGAGTGAAACTGAACTTGGATTGGAACAGACCATGAGATTGAACATGGATGATAAAGTGGCAAAATGAGTTTGGGGAGCAATGGAAATGGATGCCATACCAAGGTATGTGCAAATACTGAGGCCGTTGAAAGTTAGTAGGCAATTTACGACAGAATTGGCAATTGTTTGAGTGAGATTTTGAAATATTTGCAATAGCTCAAATGTGATCCAAACTGCTGTAAATGCAGAATTTTCTGCTATCCCTGAATGTGACAGGAGAAGAGGCAAGAGATCCTTTTGCAACTCTGGAGAGAGATATAAGCATGCTATTGGATGATACAATGATGATCCTGTGGGAGATATGTTGTGGACAAAACAATGTCACAATAGATGGATATAAGTTCAGAATGAGGAAGCAAGGGCCTATTGAATCATTTCACCAGTACCGTTTGGTATTTTGATGTTAAGTAAAGTAAAACATTAAATTATGGTCCCTTAAGCGAAGAAACAAGCAGGGACCAGACTATAATTGGAATAAAAGATAATCAAATATGCAGGAAGTTCCTGGAACAAGAGACTTTAACACTGCAAACAGCTTTACGGTTGTTATGAAATGTCTGGAGCAGCTCTTGCAGACAGGAACATTGGGAGTGTGCCAAACATGTGGAAGATAAGTTGGTCTCTATCACTGATAACAGCAAGTAAACAGCCTGTCCTCCAACCCCAACCAGGCTGGCGAGGCTTACACACTGTAAGCACAGCTCTAAGCTCAATAGCTGCTCAACATGTATTATTGAGCGCTGTGCGCAATCGGCTTCCTCGTTTCGCCCACAAAATATACAGGCAATCTACTTTACAGTATGTTCTGTGAAGAGCTTTGAGACATCTCGATGACGTGATAAGGCGCTGTATCAAATGCAAGGATTATTATTCTTATTCTTATGTTAATAAGAGGCTGTTGCTGGTGAGCGGCAGAGAACTTAACCCTAACCCTCTTAGCACACAGGACAAGAAATGTTCCTGTTTTCACTCATTGGATGTCACAAATTGCTGAGTGTGTATCACCACTTTGACCGGGTCTGGTGTTAATCATTGCCTCTTTAATTATTCCTTTTCCTGCAATATTGACCCTTTAAATGTACTTCTCCCTCAAATACAACCACCCAGAATCTACAAGCGCTCAGTCCAACCCAGCGGGCTTCAGTACACGTGGAAACTTATTTTTGGAAAAAAAGTACTTGCTATTTCCACTTAAGCATTCCCAATCTTTTCTCAATTACCCGCAAGGGAGCAGCCAAAGAAATGGAGCCAGCGAGTAAATTATACAATACATCTTAACCCTTGCATCTCCTGCTGGGCAGAACATGGGTTGGGGTTGCAAGTATTATTATTAATTATTATTATTATTATTATTATTATTATTATAATATGGCAACACAGATTTTCTGCACAGAAATGGGTCACAGTATCTGTGTCACTGCCGTCTGTTTTACGACTTTATTCTTTTTAATCTCAAATTGAAGGCAGGCTAGGACCTAATTTCCACACGCACCACTTTCCTGTACTTACCTGCGGTTCGGGAGATTCTTGCCAGGAAGTCTATAACTGGAAAGAATGATCTAGGTTTGGACTTGTATTTACAGGAATTGTCATGCGAATAATACAGTATAGAGAGAGTGCAGCAGTGATTGCTGGATTCAGTCCAGGGACAGAGCTGCCATGAAAGTTTGGCCACTTCAGGATTTTTGTCTCTTTTTTAAAAAAATTGTCTGCACTTATTAGAGGTGTTCAAACTGATGAAGGGTTTGGATACATTATTATGCTTTTCTGCCGTGTAGTAATTGACAAACGAGTCCCAGATTCAAACTAAGTTCCTGTAGCTAAGAACAGTAACTGGGGAATGTTTTTCGTAACAAGGTTATTGAGGATGTGAAATAAGCAGTTGAGTGTAGTGACTGTTTATTTGTAGCCAAAGAAAATGGCCAATTTCACACAGAAAGGTCCCATAGACAACCTTACGGTGAATTAGTATTTGAAAGACCTGTGACTGTCACACCAGGAGAAACTCGTCTCTGTTCAAACGATGTCACTGCAGACAACAACAACAACAAGATTCCATTTATAGAGCGCCTTTCACGTCGGGAGGACGTCCCAAGGCGCTGGACAGTTCGGTCGGGACCCGAGCAGGGAGGAAATGGTCAGGGTGAGGAGAGGGAAGGGAGGAGTGGGGAAATGGCAGGGGAGGGAGGGGAGCGAGGAGGGGGTAGAGAGTCGAGAGGGGAGCTGAAGGCATGGTCAAAGAGAAAGGTCTTGAGACCGGCCTTGAAGGAGGAAAGGGAGGAGGCGGCGAAGGCACTGGGGGATAGAGTTCCAGAGCCTCGGGGCTGAGAGGCTGAAGGCCCGGCCACCGATGGTAGGGCGGATGGGGCGGGGGATGTGGAGCAGACCGGAGCCAGAGGAACGGAGGGTACGGGCGGGTAGGTAGGGGGATAGTAGGTCAGAGAGGTAGGAGAGAGCGAGGCCATGAATGGCCTTGTAGGTGAGGATGAGGATCTTGAATTCGATCCTCTGGGGGATGGGGAGCCAGTGGAGGCGAGCGAGGGTGGGAGTGATGTGGTCGCGGTGTCTGGTGCGGGACAGTACACGAGCTGCAGAGTTCTGAATGACCTGCAGTGTGGAGGGAGGGCCGGGAAGGCCGGAGAGGAGAGAGTTCCCATAGTCCAGCCTTGAGGTGATAAAGGCGTGGACCAGAGTTTCAGCCGCGTGAGGGGTGAGGTAGTGCCGTAGTCTGGCGACATTCCGGAGGTGGTGGAAGGCGGTGCCAGTTGTGGTGCGGATATGAGGGAGAAAGGACAGCTCAGGGTCGAACAGAACCCCGAGGTTCCTGATGGCTTTGAGAGGTGGAGAGTGCGGCCTTGGATGCTGATGGTGTCAGCGCCTGAGGTGCGGAGGCACTGACGTGAGCCAATCAGGAAGGCCTCAGTTTTGCGCACGTTGAGCTGAAGAAAGTTGTCTCTCGTCCAGGACTCGATGTCGGACAGACAGCTGTCAGGACATCGGGGGTCGTGGAGTTGAGGGTAGAGGAGGAAAGGCAGAGTTGGGTGTCATCCGCATACATGTGGAAGTTAACCCCATGTCTGCGGATGATGTCACCACAGGGGGAGCATATAGAGGGTGAAGAGGAGGACCTCGGTTTAATATCTCAATGGAAGGACAGCACCTCCAGCAATGCAACGCTCCCCAAAACTGCACTCCATGGCTGATTGTTGGGCAGCACTAAGCGCAAATTACCTGTGGCAATTCGCGCGTAGCCATATACTCCTGTGAGCTTTGAGACGTCTCAGTGACGTGATAAGGTGATGTATCAAATATTTATTATGATTATTATGATTCCATCTTCCTAGATTGGTGATGAGATGGACAACTTCTGCTTGAAGCTCTTACATTTTTTCACCTTTGTATTTTCCGACACTGCGAGCCGTAGCTCTGACCCCGACCTCCTCAATATGCTCCACCTTTAACAGATGCCTCAGTAGCATTTCCCGATTAAGACAGAATCTTGTAGCCAATATGAAATCACTTGATCATGAAACTTTATCTAGAATATTTCAGGCAGAACATCTCGCTTCAGTCCGGCAACAAACGTTAATCTTTATGAAGAGGTTCAAAGTGCTGTCGAGGAATAAATATCTACCTGGGTGGGTGGTGAGTAATGCTTCACTGGCCCACTGAGCGAAGACAGACACCCACAGTAAGGAGACCCACAACATCCACATCTCTGCGACAATACTGGTCAACACCACTCAACCATCACCTGCAAAAGAAAGAGCAAGATTTTTACATTACTCAACGTGACAACAGCTCGCATTTAAACAGCACCGTTCACACAGGAGAACGTCTCAGAAGTCTTTTACAGAGACGGAGTGGGAACCTGAGGAAGTGGGCTAAGGATTATTTTATAAAGCACTTACTATATAGAAATATCTGAAAATGCTTTAGAATGATTACGCTCAAGTGTTGTGACTGTGTATTTTATGCAAACCAGGCAGTCAGTTTGCACACAGCAAGGTCCCACAAACGGCCAGGAGGCAAATGATCAATGGAAGGATTGATGGCCGAGCACTCTGCGAGAAACTCCTTTTTATTTTCGCCCACAAAATACACAGTCAAACCATTTTACAGTAAAGCGCTTTGAGGAGTCTCGACGACGTGATAAGGCGCTGTATCAAATGCAAGGATTATTAAGAGCAAAGAGTTGAAAATGAAACTCGTGCCTTTTTTTAAGGTTCTGAAGATCACAGAGAAAAAAATCGCCACTCAGTCAAACACAAAATCACTGGTGTTCTGCAGCGCTCTGAGGGTGAGTGTTTCAGGCAATCCATGAAGGACGCATCAGCACAGCAACAATGCAACAAAGATCATAAGTCCCGAGCTCCAGGAGTCGCACACTGAAGTTAGTAACTACTTAAGTAAGGAATATAAATATAAAAATTAATACTTATAATTGATATAGCACCTTATAACATTCTCAAAATATCTCAAAGCACTTCACGGGTTATTACCGTGAGGTCATAGAATCATAGAATTATACATTACAGAAAGAGGCCATTCGGTCCATCGTGTCTGTGCTGGTTCTTTGAAAAGAGCTTCCAAATCAACCCCCACTCCCCCGCTCTCTCCCCATAGCTCTGCAAACTTGTCCTCCCCAAATAATTATCTACTTCTCTCTTAAAAGTTGTTATCGAATTAGCTTCCACCAGCCTTTCAGGCAAATGTTTTGGACTTTGGGACGTCCTCCTGACGTGAAAGGCGCTCTATAAATGTCATTTTGTCGTTGTTGTGTACCAACTGGGTGAATCTGCAGGCAATTTACACACAGCAGTGATCCACAAACAGTCATGAAGTGAAACAACCATTTTTGTTTTGGACTGCCTTCTTGTTCTGAATAGTGCCATTGGGATTTTTAACATCCACCTGGAAGTCAGAAGGGAACTCGGTTCATCTGAAGGACAGCACCTCTGACAATGCGGCACTGCCCCAATGTTGTAGTGGAGTGTGAGCCTGGATTGTGCGTTCAAACTCCAGATTGAACCCACAAACTTCTGACTTTGCGGGGAGACTGCTAATAACAGGCTTCCCCAGGGCTCTGTCCTTGGCCCTCTCCTCTTTAATATCTCATGCTCCCCCTTGGTGACATCATCCGCAGACATGGGGTCAAATTCCACATGTATGTGAATGACACCCAACTCTATCTTTCTGCCTCCACCCTCAACTCCAGGACCACTGCTGTCCTGACAGACTGTCTGTCGGACATCAAGTCCTGGATGAGGGCAAATTTCCTACAGTTGAATGTGAACAAGACTGAGGCCCTCCTGATTGGATTGCGCCAACGCCTCAGCACCTCAGGCGATGGTAGCATCAACCTCCATGGTTGTACACTATAACTCACCAACAGTCAGGAACCTCGGTGTCTTGTTCAACGCTCAACTGTCTTTTCTTCCCCACATCCAAGCCATGACCCGCTCTGCCTTCCTTCACCTCCGTAACATCACCCGACTCTGCCACTACCTCACCCCTCAGGCCGCTGAAACTCTTGTTCATGCCTTCATCACCTCCAGGCTCGACTATGCAAACTCCCTGCTTGTCGGCCTTCCCAACTCCTCCCTCCACAGGCTGCAGATAATCCAGAACTCTGCAGCCCGTGTCCTATCCCGCACCAAACTCCGTGACCCCATCTCCCCCATTCTCCACTGGCTCCCTATCCTTCAGAGGATCCAATTCAAGATCCTGGTCCTCACCTACAAAGCCCTCCATGACCTTGCCCCACCCTACCTCTGCAACCTCCTAACCCCCTACCAACCCGCCCGCTCCACCGCTCAGCCGGTTCTGGTCTGCTCCACGTCCCTCGACCCACCCGCCCCACCATTGATGGGAGAGCCTTCAGCCACTGCCCCCAACCTCTGGAATTCGATCCCCCAGTCCTTCCGCCTCTCCCCCTCCTTAGCCTCCTTCAAGTCTCGCCTCAAAACCCTCCTCTTCGACCATTCCATCGGTCAACCCCCTTCCCCTCCCCTCCCTTCTACCTCCCTGACCTCAGCTCGGGTCTGAAATGCTGTACTCTGTCTTCCCGACGTGAAAGGTACTATACAAATGTAATCTTGTTGTTGTTGAAATAATTTACCTATATTTCTACAGTAATATCCTTTGCAGTGCTTTAAGACGTTTTGATAACATAAGAAAACATTATACGCAAGGATAACGATAACGATAGTCTTGAAGGCAAAATGTGTATTTGGCTTCCAGCTGCCCAATAAACTGCTGATCTAACTAACAAAGGAATCTGACTGGTATCAGGACCCTGGCATTGAGAGCGAGTGGGAAAGGAGTCCGTAGCTCAGTGGTTAGAGCACTTGCATTGCAAGCGAGACACCTGGGTACAATTCCAGGCAGGGCGAAACCTTGGGCAAGTTTTCTTACTCCATACGCTTATTAATAATCCCTCCAAAACAAAACAATAATAAAGTGGTCATTTTCAATCCACGACTGCTGTGGGACACTGTTGTGTGCAATTGGCTGCCGCGTTTCGCCCACAAATATACGGTCAATTCACTTTACAGCATATTCTGTGAAGCGCTTTGAGACGTCGAGAAGACGTAAAAAGCGCTATATCAAATGCAAGGATTATTATTATTATTAAAGGGGTCGCCTCAAGCAATTCGTATCCAATATTGTAAGAAATCACTGTTAATCACTGTATAAATACAATAGGTTTTCATTCAAATGCACCAACACACAGCTGAGTTCTGGTTCATATCCGTAGGCAGAGTGCACGTTACACAAAGACAACATCACAGTGTTACGGCAGCTCTACCCAACTGGACAGGCTCCTAGGTGACATCTCTTCCTCGGGGCACGGATTTTTAGAAAAGGTGGAGTTTTCATTGTGTCAGGGCCTGACATCCACTTTTTTGCTTTAACTTTTATCTATAGACAATATTTCCTGTTTTTATTTCTGTGCTTTCACTCCGCTGCTGAGAAGGAGGCTAGACAGTGCACTCCAGGCCTCTCCTATCCTCCCTCCTCACTATACTCAACCTTTCACTCACTCCAAGATCATTAACTAAACAACAGCTGCATTTATCTTACAGTGATGCAGTCACTACACTTTACATAAAGTGCTTTGTGAAGTGCGTTGAGATGTTCTCAATGATGTAGACGCTGTATCAAATACAAAAAATTATTATTAATCAAAAGATAATATCTCGAAGCACTTCACAAAGTCGCTACCAAATACTGAGAAGACAGAATAGGGAGGGGGCAGAGGAGGAGGATGGTACAGAAGGCATAGTTGAGGAGATACATTTTCAGGAGGCTTTTAAAGACAGGGATGAGGTAGAGGCATTGAGAAGGACTTCCAGGAGGATAGAGTGGCCAAAGGCAGGACGGAACGGGTGAGCAACAAGCAGCAAGCCTGAGTTGACTGAGTGGAAGGGAGAGCAGGAGAGTGAGGCTGGAGAAGAGGAGAGTTAGGGTCAAGATGTAAAATGCATCTCACAGAGGTAGGAAGGCTCGAGTTTGTCCCTTGATTTGGAGGTGAGGTTAAGGATATTATGCTCAATTTGTTGGCAGACAACGGAGCCTGGTGAGGATGTGAGATTTGGGTAAACTTTATACCATTGAGCTTTACTTTGATTTAAACACTCCACAACTTATGAAGTTACTGCCGATGTGTCCTGTTGCTGGAAAGTATTAAGAATAAACATTCCAGAGACTGTTCCAGTTAAAAGGAGGCATTGTGCCAATACAAGAGCACACAGACAGATATTTAGGCCCTAAGCCCGACCATCACCACCCGCCACAGCTGTTGCTGGAGTCCTGGTCAAATTAGATGTTGCTCGTTTGCACTGCATTCTATGTGGTTTGGCAAGGTGATGTTGGACAAGCATGGGTTCAACATGAAAAGGATAGAGTCCCATGGCACAGTGGTTAGCACACTCACCTTGTAGGCGAGAGGATCCAGGTTTAATTCCTTGAGGGTGAGAAAGCTTAGGCAAGTTTTGTTACTCCATTTGCCTCTGTTTATGTAGCAATAAGTAGGAACCCAGTTGTTAGTTGATTGGCGGATCGTTTTCCACGGGTAATAAGCCCTCCAAAAAAAATAAAATAATTGGTCACACAATCCACGAGTGTTTGTGGGACATTGCTGTAGGCAACTAACTGCTGCATTTCTCCCACAAAATACAGAGTCAACCCACTTTACAATATATTCTGTGAAGCGCTTTCAGGTGTCTTAACAACGTGATAAGGTGCTATATCAATTGCAAGGCTTATTATTATTAAATGGTAATTTCACCAGATGGGCCAAAGGAGCAAGAACCATAAAGCCTAATTTCTGAAGGTGCTGCTGCTGGTAGTCTCTATTTTATTTAAGAGTCAAAAAACAGGAACCTGAAGCAAGAACTAGACTTGTGGGTCAGCCTGTTTCAGTTGGTAGAACTCTTGCCTTTGAGCCAGAAAGTTGTGCGTTCAAGCCCCACATTGTAATTGGCAACTCATGTAGTCTCTGCTGACACTCCAATGCATTGCTGGGGGGGTGTGTGCCTGTTCAGGAGGATGTTAAAAACCCTATGGCACTATTCTCCCCAAAATGGCAGTTTCTTCCAGTGTCCTGGCCAACAAATCCTCCAAATAGAATTGGGCATTCCCTTCATGGCAGTTTGTGGGTCACTACTGTGGGTAAATTGGTTGTCGTGTTCATCTATAGTATTCACAGTAACTACACTTTACAGTAAATCCTGTGAAGCTCTTTCCTCC